GGCCCTATTTCTTATCTATTATAAACTTCGTTTATAGCTAGCTAAGGAAGAAGTAAAAGGACTTAAGCTTACTATCCTAAGTCGGCTAAGGAAGCGGCTTCTATATTAATAGTACCGCCGCCGTAACCGGTATTACTAAGGTCGTAGGGGTTAACGCTAGTCTCGTAGATAGCTCCCTTAGTATAGCGAGAACCTCGTTCTTCTCGCTAGCCGTCGCGCTTCTAATCGCTTCTAAGATAGCTATAATACTTCCTATCCGCTTAGGGGGTAGCGGGGTACTCCTTTAAAGAAGCGGCACCCTTTCTAAGGAGATATCTATTAGATCTATTAGTTAATAGCTTATACTATTATAGAGTAGGTAGAGGTATATACGTAGGTGCTATCTATAGGATAATATTAATAAGCTATATAGAGCTCTTCTATACGCGGCTAGCCCGCCCTTATACTTATAGGATCCGGCCCTTTATACGTAACTATATAGCTTAGGCCGTGGCCTAAGCCTATTACCTATAATAGTTAAAGACTCTTATAATATCCGCTCTTATTAGCCGGTCTTAATCCTTTTAAGAAAGTATATTTAAGACTATAGAGTCCTACCTTAGCTAATACTTAATTAAAAAGTTAAAGTATAAAAGGTACTTTACTTAGTAAGCTTATAGCTCTAAGAGGTACTAATAGGTTATAAAGTACTTAAGGTTCTTATAGTTTATAAGAACCTTAAAGCTCTTATAACTTTAATACTTTACTTATTATTACTTAAGGTAGCTAATAATTACTAGTATCTCTTTATTATAAATAGTATAATTTTACTTTACTAAGGTAAGCTTATAAGAGTATAACGCTATTAATTACTTTTATTAATTTACCTTTTAAGAAAGCGTCCTTTTAAGTACCTAGCTATTATAGGTTACTTTAATTATTATAAACTAGTTAAAGTCTTACTAAAGTAGTACTAAGGCTTATAAGAATAAGTCCTTAAGTATATAGAACGCTCTATCTTATATAAGCCCTTAATAAAAAGCAGTCCTTTTTTTAGTAATCTTATTTAAGGGTATTATAATATAAAAGAAGCTCTTAATAAATATCTTATAATAGTTTATAAACTTAAGGAAGCTTTATATACCTATTTATATAGTTAGGGCCGCTTAGTCTTATATTACCTAGATCGTTATAAGGTCCGCTTATATACTTATACTTATATAGATAATAAAGCTAAGGTACTTAACTTTTTTATCCTTAAATTTATACTTATCTAAGTTAAAGTAAAGCCTATAAAGTTAAAGGCGCTTTAAGACCTTTTATACTTTTTATATATAGTCTTTATAAGATCCGCTTATATAAATAAGGATATTATCTATATATATAGAGGCGAACTTATTAAGGAAGTCTTAAAGTATATTATTAATAAAATACTAAAAGGTAGCGGGTACTTTTAAGAAGCTAAAAAGTATTATAAGCTACTTAAATAAGCTATAGTATATATAGAACGCTGTCTTTTACTTATTACCCTTTAAGATCTATACCTTATAAAATACCTATTTTATATTTAGCTTTATAAACTATTTTACCTTTAAAAAGTTATAAAGTATATCTAAGATTAAAGGTAAAAGGTAGCGGTCTAGCCTTATAATTATATTTAAAGCCTTATAGTTATAATAAAACTATATCCCGCTTTTTAGCTTATATATAAATAGGACTAGCGCTTATACTTTAAAGCTACTTACTTAAATAAAACCCTTATTTAAGAGGTCCCTTAGTATCTTTTTTAATACTAGTAGCTTTATATATAATATACTATATAGCGGCTTAAATAGTATAAGTAGTTCCTACCCTTTTTTATTAGTATAAAGTATAACCTTATAGTTTACCCTTAGCTTATATAGGTTAAGCTTATTTACTTCCTAGGACTTAAATAGTAATAAAAGATTATAGAAGCGCTTTAGTATTTATTACTATAGCTTAGTAAGCGACTTTAGCTTTTTTATTTAAAGGGCCTTATTAATATCCGCTAAGCTAACTATATAGACCGCTATATTAGCTACTATACGACCTTCTTCTTACTTTAATTATTATATAGTTCGTATAAAGATAGAAGTAAAGACCTTTTATATTAAGTATAAAGCTTATATACTTAGTCCTATACTTATAAAGCTATTATTATAGTAGACCTATTATTATATAAGCTTAAACTATAGCTTCTTTTAATATATAATTAAGTATAACTTTATATATAATAACTAAGGTTTCCTAAGAATTAAGAGAAACTTTAGTTAAGGGATTATATAGGCTATAATAAGCTTATAATAGCTATCGACCTTTATAGCTAGCTATATAATACCTTTAATCTCTATACCTTCTATTATACTTAAAGCGCCCTTTACTTACCTTAAGGTAATTATTTTTATTAGTACTTATATCTCTTATATAAGTGCCTTATTAACTATAGTATAGTATTAATAGCCCTTATTTATAAGAGCGGCGATTAATAAGGAGTTATTAATTATAACTTATATTAAAGTAAGCTCCTTTTTTATATAAGTAAATAACTCTTTTTTCTCTTTTATTAGTATTAGTAATTAAAGCTTTAAAGCTTATTTTTACTCTAAGGTTACTCTTTTTCTTTTAGGCCTAAAAGAGCGGAGTCCTTCTTATTATCTAAGGTAAGGAGCGGTTTTATCTTTACTACTTAAACCGCTATAAGCTACTTAACTAAAAAAAGAGGTATTTTAATATAAAGTATAGAAACGCGCTATAATATAAGTAGTAGCCGTTAATCTTTCTTTTCTTAATTTCCTTACTTATTACTTACTTAGCCCGCTACTTAAAGTATAGGGCGGTATAAAGGGTAGTTAATAGTATCTTCTTACCGCGTTTAGCCCGGTCTATATAAGTAGCTAATATTAAGGTATCCTTATCTATATTAATAGCTAGCTATTTATTTTATAATAAGGCGGTAATCCTATCGCTACTATATAGTATATACTTATAAAGCTTTTAAAAACTTAGCGTTTATTTATAGCCTTATACTATCTTTATTAACTAGCTTATATACTTACTATAGTTAATAGGTATTATTATAAGAATAAGTAGCTTTTATAAGGCTAGTATAATTAAATTCTATAGCTATATAAGCTTTATACTATTTTCCTATACTATAGTCCTTACTACTAATAAGAGCGTCTCTTTAAAATTAAAGAGGAATTTACTAAAGGTTTATCTATCTTTTTACTTAAGAGTTTATAGCCTATCTTATACCTTCTCCTACTCCTATACGTTACTAAACGTATATATAAGGTATTAAAAGAAGTCCTATAAGTCGTATTTACCTTTAAGGCCGCCCTTATCTTAGAATCTAAAGATCTACTATATTTAAAGCTCTAATAGCGTATAAAAGAGTAAATACTACGCTATATCGCAATAGCTATTTAAGCCTTATTTCTTATTAGTTATAAACTTTATCTATAGCTAGCTAAGGAAGAAGTAAAAGGACTCTAGCTTACTATCCTAAGTTAGCTAAAAGAGTAGCTTCTACGTTAGTAGTATCGCCGCTATAACTAGCGTTATAGAGGTTATATAGGTTAAAGCTAGTCTTATAGATAGCTCCCTTAGTATAGCGAGAACCTTATCTTTCTCGCTAGCTATCGCGCTTTTAATTACTTTTAAGATAGCTATAATACTTCCTATCTATCTAAAAAAGAGTAGAGTACTCCTTTAAGGAAGTAATACCCTCTTTAAAGAGATATCTATTAGATTTATTAGTTAATAGCTTATATTATTATAAAGTAAGTAAAGGTATATATATAAGTACTATTTATAAGATAATATTAATAAGCTATATAGAGCTCTTTTATATATAGCTAGCCTATATATATATATATAAGATCCGGCCCTTTATATATAACTATATAGCTTAGGCTATAGCTTAAGCCTATAACTTATAATAGTTAAAGACTCTTATATATATTATTATTCTAAAGTATTTAAGATAAAATAATAAGGAGAACTTATAATATAATAATAATAAGAAAGAGAAAAAAAGAAAAGGAGTAATAAAGAGTATATATAAAGTAACTATATTTTTCTTTTTTATATTAATTAATATATAATTAGCTATAAATATATATAAGGTAATTCTTTAAAGTATTATTATTTACTTAAGACTAAATCTTTATTTAGCTAAGAGTCTCTTAAAATCCCCTTTTTTAATTAGCTATATTATATTTTAGTTATTAAAGGAAAATATAAAGTATCTTAAAGTACTTATTTTATATATCGCGCTTACCTTACGTAGGGGTAAACCCTTATAGTAGGGCCCCTACTTAAGGGGGACCCCTCCCTTACTAGCTTAAACGCTTAAGTACGCTACTTTATAGTTAAAGCTATCTAAGGGTTTTTAGGAATTTTTCGCTAAAGGAATAGTAAAAAGATAGTACTTATAAGATATTAGTATAAGATATTAAGGTACCCCGCATTTACTAGTATTAGCTAAATAGAGATTTAGTCTTAAGTAAATAGTAATACTTATTCTTTAAATTCTTTCTTATATACGCTTTTTTATAGCTAATAAGTATAAGGGCTTTTACCCTATATAAGCCTAGACTAGGGTCTAGGCTAAGTCTATATATAAGCGGCCTATATGCCTATATAAGCTAAGCCCGTACTTCTCTTCCTTTTCCCCCTTATAGATTATTAGCCTTCTTCTTATAGACCGTACCTATACCTACGCCTCTACCTACTCTATAATAATAAGGAATATATATATAAAGTAATTATTATTTTTCTCTTTTATATATATTACTAATATAACTATACGCTTATATACTTATCTATTAAGGTATATATCTATAATAAATATAACGAAGTATAATATAGCTATAGACCTAGGTATATATATAGACGAGAAAAATCTAAAAATGCCTTTTAACTCTAACTCACCTATTGGCCGCCGTACCACCCATTCTCTCTTCCCATTCATCACTCCAGAACCCGCGTCCAGAAAAATGGCCACCGCCAGCAACCAACAGGCCCTCGTCGTCAGCATCTCGGGCTGCTCCTCGAGCGGAAAAACCACCCTCGCCCGGCTGCTGCGGGACATTTTCCCCGGCTCCTTTATCCTCCACGAGGATGACTTCTATAAGCCCGAGACGGAGTGAGTCAAAGATGCCTACAACCCTCTGTCCTCCCTCTGTCCTTGGCCTTGTCTACAACCTACATATGCCAGTGTGTGTGTGTGTTTAGATGCATGCGGTGATTTGTATGGCATCGTTGGCTTAGAGTTCCTTACTTACACAACCTCATCAAACGTGCAGGTTGCCGTACAAGAATGGCCTGCGCGACTGGGACTGCGCCGAGGCCATCGACGTCGCCGCCATGGCCGACGCCCTCTGCTATATCCGCCAACACGCCTCCTTTCCGGTAAGCACGCCTTTTGCTCCTACGCCTGAGCCCTGGCCGTTGACCTCGACCCCAAAGCCCACGCTCGAATCCAAGGAGGACCAGAACGCTGTCGGCCAGTGTCCCGTCAACGACGCCGCTGTCGCCGCCGTCAAGGCCAAGGTCGCCTCGGCTCTGGGCGCGTCGCACCCGCTGCACGGCTCCCTCCGCCTCTGCCTCCTCGACGGCTTCCTGCTCTACTGTCCGTCCATGGCGGCCCTGCTGAACCCCTGCCTGGATCTCAAGCTCTTTGTTCGGGCCTCGTACGCCAGGACCAAGGCCCGTCGCGAGGCCCGGCTTGGCTACGTTACCATCGAGGGCTTCTGGCAGGACCCGCCGGGCTACGTCGACTCCGTCGTCTGGCCCAACTACGTGGCCGACCACGCCTGGATGTTCGACGACGGCGACGTCGAGGGCCGCTTCAGGGGCCGTGCGCTCGACGAGGCGGGCATCCGGGTGTTGAAGGAGGCCCCGGTCGATGCCGACATGGAGGTCCTGCTTGGCTGGATGGTCGACGCGATTCTGGCCGAGCTGCAAAAGCATGCATAGCAACCTCATTCTCGTCAACCCCAGACCTCATCTCGGTCCGTACACGATAATCTGGCCACGCCTGCCTCGCCTCTGCACGGTAATGCTCGCATCGTCAATCATCCAACCAAGCCACAGACTCGTCCAACATGAATCGTCAACTCGTCACATCACATCATTACATCGTCGTAACCAGCGTCAGCCGACATGCGACGACTCTTGCTCCCTCTTGAGCAGCCCGACAGCCTCGTGCGCTGCCTTCGTCTGCACCTCCTCCCTGCTCACGCCGTCGTCCACCTCGGCAACAACCCTGTCCCCCACTAGGACTGTGCACAGATACCTCTTCTCGCCGTCGTTGCCCTCCTTGGCATCGATGTCATACGTGACCGTGTCCGCGACGGCCAGCTTGCCGAGCAACTGCTTGGGATGCTGGACCTCGACCTTGTCCCCCAGCAGTCGCTCTAGGTAAGACAGGATGCCGAACCGCGCCACCACGGCCTCGCACGTTTCCTTGGAGCCCGAGTCGATCCAGACGGCCCCCAGGAGTGCCTCGAACAAGTCCGAAAAGAACTTTTTCGCCTGCATCCGCGCGAGCAACGCCCACGGGTAATGCGTTCCGCGTTCCATGGTCTCTAGGATTGCTGTCCTCATGGCGCCATGTCGCTTCCGCATCCGTCCTTGTTCGGCCCCGATGGCAGGGGAGGCATGGCGCATGAAATTCCACAACGCCAAGCCTCCATCCCGCTCACCACTCCCGGCCTCTTCCGCGGCCGCGCCATCACTCTGGCGCAGACCATTTTCCATGACGACCAAGGCGAGAAAATCTGCGTTGACCATGGCTGTCTTGAGTGTGTGCATGTCATAGTGCGGTAGGGGAGGCCTGACGCCAAACAGCTTCGTGACAACAATGTGGTCGAGAACTGCATCGCCGAGGAACTCGAGTCGCTCATATGATCGCCTGCCGGCGTCCAGTACATACGAAGCATGCGTCACGGCCTCGATGAGAAGCTCTTTCTTCTGGAAAGAGTACCCGACCAATTTCTCGAGCGGCTCCAACACGGGTGGCAGGGTATCGACACTTCGGGTGAGGTGGAAGAGTCGTTCTCGGCCTCTTCTAACATCCCGCCACTCACATTCGCGCAAAAAGGTCGACATGCACACCACAGCCTTGGAGACACCCCCGTCAATGTACGATGCCCCGATCAAGGCCTCAACCACGTCGGCAAGTGTTTTGGTCGACATCAGGATGCCCTTTTCGTGTCCTCGAGTCTGCTGTAGATACCCGTCCACATACAGCGGCCGCCATTTCTTGCCGGTGAAGCGCTTGGTGAGGATGAACTTGGCAAGGCCGCTGTCGATTGCGGCTCGGCAAAGCCTTGAATTAGAGATGAGACCATCTCGGAAGCCTGAAAGGTAGCCTTCGGGCCACTCAGGATCTACTCGCCAACGTCAGTGGAGGTCCTTGGTAGGGATGGGCTATGGCTTACGGTCGGCAGCGGCTTGGACCGAGGTGCAGTATTTGAGAATCGAATCGCCTAGAAACTCCAGCCTTTCGTAATGGACAGGCTCCGAGGCACTGCGGGCGCTTATTGCTTCTCGGACAAGGCCTAGGTCAGCAATGGCAACACGTTGCAGGATGGTCGTTGCCAATTCCTTTGCCGTCAGCATCACTTGCAGCTCATGTGCGATTGACGGAATCATCATGCCAAATTTGGCGTGCCTCGCCGGGACCTCGTCGAGGAGGGCCCACGACTGGGGAAGCACCCAGGGATAGCGCTCCGTGGCCGTGACCACGGAGCCAGCATCCGGCTGAAGGCGGTGCAGGAAATCAAACCGCTTGGTCCACCTTCTAAGGATCAGGTACGGCTCATCGCTCGGTGCAAGGTCATAATCGGTAAAAGGATGTTGCACTCTTTCGATGGGCGGCTTTTCTGCAATCTGGCCGTTGCACAGGAACGGAGTCCCGTATTGATCCCGAACGAGGAATTGTCCGCCGCTGTGGCCTTCGTCATGAGGATCGAACAGTGCTGAGCCAATCTGCTCCCTTGAAACGTCAACCCCCTTGGCAGTGAACTTGACAACCTGGGGGCTGTCCTCGACGTGCCATCGGTGAGCAAACGGGACTGCGAGCAAGGCCGACGTTTGGTCAGGCCAAGCCGCAGCTTCTTGCGTAGAGACGGCCCTCGGAAGGCCGAATTGTAGCTGGCAGACTCTCCCAACATCCAGGAAAAGCTCAATAGGGCGAATCTGGTCCAGCCGGACAGGAAGCAGAACCTCATACTCAGTCTGCACCTGATTCTCATCCTGGTAGCTCAGGGCATAGAGCCATCTGCGCCCATCCTTGTTCCAATCCCTCGCCACCTGATACCAGGGATCGAATGGCGGCTCGACATCAATCTCCGGTGCCCTCGTCTCCACGGACGGCGCTGCGTCGAACTTCAGGGGCAGCAAGTGCTCGCTGACGAGGCCGGCCCTGTAGAGCGCCACGTAGGCCTGAAATGCCGCATCCTTGGTAGCACTCTTCTCCGACAGCCACGTGGACTTACCCTCGACGCGGCGCAGTTTTCCCGGAACAAACGGGGGGAGCAAGACGGCCGCGCTCAACCTGGGCGGCGACGAGTCCCAATGACGTTGCAGAACATAGTCGGGCCGGCTATCGATGAACTCGCCCTTTGACACGGTACTGCAAAAATGCTGCAAGTGCTGCTTCGCATTGTCGAGATCGAGCAGCGCCCCGGTGGACTCCACCTCGAAGTTGATGGTGCCCCCGGGCTCGGAATCTTGCAGCATTTCCAGCTTGCGAATTTCCCTTTCCTCATCCTCATACATGTGCTTCAGCTCCTCCTCGAGTGCTTCCCATTGTTGGATGACGTCGGGCGATTGCTCCGTGAGCCAAACCAGCCTTGAGTCTCCCATTCGCGCCCTCCCACGCCGCTGCACAAAGGCCTTGGGGGTATGGGGCTTGTCAAAACACACAATTAGGTTGCAAGCCGGAATGTCGATTCCCTCCTCTAGCACAGACGTTCCCACGAGCAAGTTGATTGCTCCCGACCGAAAGTCTTGCAGACCCGTCTGGTTCGTCTCGCCCCAGAACTCGTATAAGGTCCGCTTCCTGGCCGAGTGCGTAGAGCCGCCAACCATGCAGCCGATGCGGTATCTTTCCACGATTCTCGGGCACGACGCAAGCACTTCGCAGAGCATCGTGACCGTGGACCGTTCCTTGATAAATATTATGCCAACAACATCTTGTTCAATCGACAGCAGTTCCTGCAAGAGGACAGTGACCTTGTCAGACAAGTCGGAACTGTTCTGCGGCCTCGGAGATGGGCGTTCGGGCGAAACGCGGCGGAGGAAATCGGCAACGTATCGCTTCTCCGCGTTCGACCATTGATCAAAAAAGTCATCAGTTCTCTCCAGGCGGTCTAGGTAGGATTTGCAAGCGTTCCAGAGATAGAGGTCGGCCGCCCAGGGGCCAAGTTGCTTGTGGACTTCGACACAACGGTTCCAGAGACCTTTGATCTGATTCTGCGAGTATGTCTCGTGTCTCTCAATGGCTTTCGCCAGGGACCGAAGGTTCCTGTCATTTGGCTCGGCTTGCAGGCTAATAATGTAAGGGTCTTGCGCAATGTCAAGATTGCAACGAGCATCCCACAGCGACTGCATGGTCTTGGTGAGAAGATCAGAGGCTTGGGGGGTGTACCAAGCGCAAAGTATTTCTGGCTTCTTGACGAATTCGAGGAGTGTTTCACGATGAACAGTTGGTGACACGCACTTGGCGTGGAGAATCGCCTCAAGGGTCTCAACGCCTTTGAAATTGGATCTCATGCTCGGGGTTGCCGTCAGGCCTAAGATGCAAGGCATATCGCCGCCGCGATCTCTGCGCCTGTGGTAGAAGTTGGCCATGACTTTACTTCCCGGGTGCCTGTCGACGCAATTGTGGGCTGTAGCGCGTTAGATTGAAGACGCACGGGGAACCGGACAATTCTTTGACGTACCCTCGTCGAAGATGATGAGAGCTAAGCGGTTTATACTGAGGAAGGCATTGCTGAGAGCGTCGAGCAGTATCTGGTAGGTCGAGACGACGATGCGAACATCCTCCATGGCCAAGTCCCAAGTGTCTGCGTTCCACGTGTCAACGTTCTCATTGCCGGTCAACAGCTTGATGCGCGTCGAGGTGATCTGGAGGCCGATAGCGTTGAACTGTTGACCGCAGAGCGACACTGTCGGAGCGAGAAACCAGATTATCTTTGTGCCTTTGATCAGCATTTGGGCCTGCCGTTCGAGGGCAAAGGCAGCGGCTTACTTTGTCCGGGCTCGCCCTCTCCAGCTCAGCCTTGATCCGAAGCACGGCGCTGGAGCCAGTGTCAGCTCGACTCGCAGGCAGCAAGGTATGGAAGTCATAGGAATGCAAAGAGGCAACTCACATTTGCGTTTTGCCGCTACCGGTGTCCATCTACCATGACCCAGTCAGTGGATCGAGCAGTAGGCGGCGGTTTTCTCAAACGCACCACAACGATGACGCTTTGCTTCAGGCTCTGTTCGAGCATCTCGAGCTGATAAGCTCTCGAGGTTATCTCGCCAGGGACTTGGGCCTGCCCGGCCTCGGGAGCCAGCGGGGCATCTTGGGCGGCCGCAGAGATGTGCTCCCTGATCTTTGGCTCAGGGGTAGAAGCTCGTTCGATAGCTGCTTGCGTCTGCGTACGATAGAGTCGACCAAAGGGTTCGGACTCGTCTTCACTAGAGTCGACGCCAGGCATAGCCACAGACGCCATGTGGTTGTCAAGGCCGCTTGCGCGCAGGCGTGACCTATTCGTAGAGCTGGGGCGGAGGCAACAGTCGCAGAACTAGTCATCGGCGATGCCCAAAGTATCAGCATCGTCGGGCTCTCAGCCGTTCCAATGCCACAGGAGAGCAAACATGATTGTCGGGAAAACAACCAAGCCGGAGTTCGGCAGGGCGGTCGTTTCAGGCACCAAACAAACAGCAAATGCAGACTTTCGTCAGGCTCGGCCGATTGGACCAGCGTACGTGCTCTCGATGACGGTGAGTCTCTGGTTAATTGACACTCTTTGGGAGCATCGCATCGCTCGTTGCATTCGGCGCGCGACAACGATTGTACAAGAAAGGGTCAACGTCGTTTGGCAATCCTCTGAGGCAGCGTACTTGGTCGACGTACCGTACAGAGTGCGGAAGAAGTTCAAACGGCCTCTGGATCGACTGGATGGAGGCCAACAGTTACCGAAGGCCCCGCGTATATAACTAAAGGGGCAATCTGTTTTATCGGGCAGGTCCCACTTTATGTACGCATCCCTTTTTTCTACTGCCAGAGCTCAACTCAATTTCTCAGGCCAGGCCTGTAATATTACTTTGATAAGACTTATTGGGGACGGTGGTCAGTCCTTGGATCCTGCTGAACGTATGCAAAACGATGCAGCTTGAACTTCAAGTGAATGGGCTTAAAGTCGCCGACTGTCACCGACAGAAAGCTCTCTTACATTTGATGGTAAATTTGTCAGGGATTTTACGTTTGTCTGCTGTCGTCGGCAGCTGCTGTCGATGATAGCTTCGGTGTGTTGATATAAATCGAGTTCGCAGTCAATTGAACCGCTGGCTGCTTACGTACGACAACAACGACCTCACTCTGACTTCTGATCCACCTGGCTGAGGGCATCTCGCCATGAGCGTGCTTTGGGGCTAAGAAGTGGCAAGGTCAAGATCCATCGATTGATTGTCAGGTAAACATGGTTGACGCACCGCCCAATCCGACGCACATGCTTCTTTTCGCAGCCGGCTTCAACGCCTGTGGCCAACTCTCCTTTGACTCCAACTCGGATCGGCACGAGCCAGATGACTTGTTCTGCTTTGCAAAAGTACTTGAGGCCGAGCGCATCGAACGCCCCGTGGCCCGACTCTCCTACACCCAAGGTGCGCGTTCTTGTCCTCGACGGCCCAGCGCCTACTGACTTTCTTACCACTCCGTGCAGTGCGGATAGATGGCCGGCTGTGCATTGCCGGCATCGGCCCGCGAGACAGTCGGATCCATAGTCTTGCTCACTTTTTTGCTGAGGCGGCCAACGGCGAGGTCCTCATGGTCCAAGACGACGACGTCTCCGTCTGTGATGGACAAGGCCGTCGTCAACCCGGGAAGCTTCTTGTCAAGTACTCTTGCATGGAGAGAGTGAGAGCTTGCGACCCTCTTAAATCGTGGCCGTTGAAGGGCGCTGCCGTCAGTACTATTGCAGCTTTTGCTGCTGGTTTCGCCATCCTCTACCAGGACGGCACCGTCGCCACAATGGGCGATGCGCGCTTCCAGGACTGCCTAGGGCGCGACGTGTCCGACGAGGCGTATGGCCAATCCTGGATAAGACCGAAAAAGACAGGATACACGGACTGACCGTCTTCCAGGCCTGCAGACCAGCCCGGCATAGTACTCGACCTCGCTGACCTCGAGGAACCAATCAAGCATGTGTCAGCTGGAGGCTACACCATTGCTGCGTTGACGGAGAGCGGCGGCATCTATCTCTGGGGCATGTCACCGCATCGAGCAGAGTCTCGCAAGAGACCCTTTCTAGCCCTCAGCCGAGTCCCCAACTATATCGAGGTAGATGACGGCAAGGATGTCAAGGATATGGCAGTTGGTGACTTGCACGTGCTAGCCTTGACCACGGACGGGTCCATATACGCCCTTGGCGACAATAGGAATGGACAAACTGGACTGGGAAAGTCTGCTGGGCACGGAGTCCAAGATTGGACAAAAGTCGATTTCCATGTGCCTAGTGGACAAAAGGCGATCGCTGTTGCAGCAGGACCCCGGTCGTCCTTTATCTTGACAGCTCCCGTGCCGGCCTGAACATTCGACTCATTAAGACAGATGGAAGTGACATCAAAACACAGAGGTGCTGCTCCATGAGCATTTATGATCCTCTATTGTACAAAGACCTGCTCGCATTACCCAGCCCGGCAACTCCATTATAGACTCGTCAGGTAGTCCTCAATCTCCTGTGGAGTCAGCTTCCTGAATCGCGGCCCGGTCGCTCCCTCGACGCCCTCAATCCCCAGCAAGTGATGGGCGGGAGGTCCGACAATGCCTGCCAACAATTAGCACTCGACCTATTGCAGCAGATGTCAAGTGGGAAGAAACGAACCAATCTCAATCGAGTCTCCGTTCATCTCGCCCTCGATGTTGTCCTTGAGAGTCAGCAGGGCAATGTGTATCGCATCCTCGAGCTCCAGCTCCTCCGAGTATCTCTTCTCCAGGAACGTCTTGGCCTTGGTGGCGCTCTTGCCAATGGCCGTAGCCTTCCACGGAAAGTAGCTCCCTGTGGGGTCGACCTGGTACAGCATCGGGCCGCCCTTGTGGATGCCGCCGGTCTTCTTGCTCGGCTTCTTCTCCCCCTCGGCGGGCATCTCCTCTTCGCCCTCGGGCTCGATGCCGTCATCCCATCCGGCTACAAGCATGCTGACGCCGTATGGCCGCACGCCGGCAGACTGGGTGGCCTCCTGCATGACCCGTGCCACGTCCTGCACCAGTATCCGCGTGGGAGGGTACTCGTTGTAGATTCTCTTGTAGCCCGTGTGCGAGACCTTGCGCGCGCGATCGACCAAGACCCTGTAGTCGGGCCCCATGCCGGAGTAGACGGTGCCGATGTTGGGGGTGATGTTGCTGATCTTGGCCACGGTGCTCTGGTCCGCGAGAGGCGAGGACGACTTCTTCTCCGTGGCGAGGACGATGCCATTTGTGGCTGCGACCTGTTAGGCTCCAGGGCGTCTGTCGCGGTGACGTGTGGGGGCTGCGCACCTTTGATGCCCAGAGCTGTGATGCCCTGGTTCACCGCATTGAGGGCATACTCTGCACGCATTGAGGGTCAGCTTGCCCGATGAAGGACCTCGAGAACAGCTGTGGAACTGCGGCATCAAAAGCCGAGAGGCAAGGCAGAGGCGAGCTCGTACCGATCTGTACCAGCTTTCCACTGTGTCGACTGTGAGCAAAGATTCGGCACGCAGGGAGCAAGAGGCGGGCACGCATACCTGGGCGAGAAGGTGGTGAGGGAGAAGGAGTATCGGTCCGCCATGGCTGCAGCGGCTGTCGAGGATAGGCTCAGCTCAATGTCTCTGTGCGAGGAGGATGGAAGAGGTGACAAATTGGTGGCTCGGGGAACAGCTGCAGCGAGCTGTGATGAACTCGGCTGCGTGTGGTCATTGCTAGGCACGGCGGAGCTGCGCGTCCAAGCTTAACCGGCCTTGGTGGCGCTGAGCCCGGGCTTTTAGTTTTGCCGGTCTCCGGCTTGGCACCGAAGACGAAGCGTGGCCGAATCTTCGCACCGCCCAACCGACGACGTCTCCCTTTCAATGCTTGCCGAGCCTTCAAACCCGCCACGATACTGTAGTGGCCCACGTTTGCGTTCTGCATAATGTGGCGACTGCTTCGCCTCGTCCGTGGGTGAGCACCAAGCTATCATTAAATCATTGACAGTCATTTTTCTTTTTCTCCTCGATGAGCTGGCCATTCTCGCTGATGAAATTGTCTCGGTGCAGCACGCGCCTCTACTCAGCCTGGTCGAAACCCTTTTCTCCCGCTATCTAATGACCCTCCCTCGACTGCTTGCAGAATCAGCGTACACTTTTTTTTTTGGATCACACAGCCCTGCTCATGATGAGCACACAGCCGACCTGGAACTGGGACCTTCCAGTCGAGAGCGACTCGGCGCCGGATGGCCCGGGCAATCCCGGAACTGAGTCTCTCGGGCAGCAACCGGCAGGTGATGATAGTGCCGGGGAACCGGAAGCATGCCATGCTCAAAGCACCAGAAGAGGACACTACGGACCGAGAACATGCCGCATATGCCTCGACACTGAGCAGCCCAAATATCCATCGAACGTGACGTCTACTTTGGGCTTCTCCTCAGCGTCTTCCCGCCCGTCCTATGTTTCCGACGACCCCGAGCTGGGCCGATTGCTGTCGCCCTGCAAATGCAAGGGCTCGCAAAAATATGTTCACGAAGGGTGCCTCAACTCCTGGCGACTGACCAATCCCATGGCCGCAAGGAACTACTGGCAGTGCCCAACGTGCAAGTTCAACTACCGGCTGGCGCGACTGCACTGGGCTTCCATGCTGAGCAGCAAGTGGGCGCAAGTGGCCTTGACTCTTACTGTCGTTGTCATTGGAATATTCTTGCTGGGCTTCATCGCAGACCCCATACTGGATCTATGGTTTGATCCAGTGGGCACAATCAGCGACACGGTCTCGAGCGTTGTGGCAGACGTCGAAGCCCTGAAGCCCTCGCGGCATGAAGAGCCTGCCTCGTGGACAGATCATTTTGCCAAGGGCTTTTTTTCCCTCGGCTTTGTTGGCTTTGTCAAGTCGTTGGTTGCAATGGGCCCCTGGCAGTGGTTGAATCTCCGGACCAGCGGCCTGTTGGGCTCAGGTCGTCGGCGCGGGACCGGAAGAGCGAGAATGGACAACTTCAACCTCGTGTTTGTCCTCATTGGTGCCTTTACGTTCCTCATGGCGATATGGAAGGCCGTTCGGGCGATAAGCACGCGGGTGCTCAACAATGTGAGCGACAAGGTGCTCGATGTAAGTGAGGATGATGACGATGACGAGGTCGGGGACGAAGCAGGCCCGGGCACGAAAAAGGATCAGTGATGACTGTTTCTTGCTCCCGATCCGATAGGTAGAGAGGCGGACGCGTCGTCTGCCCGGCCCAATGACTACTCTGCACACTCTTAAGTTGTCTCGACCAAGCTCCTCCTTGTCAAGCCAACTAGTCTGTGTGCAAAAATGGACCTCCGCCGGGCGCCTCGAGCATGGACCGTTTTGGTTCCTTGCTCATTGGCCAAGGCTGGAGTTGTGATCAGCGACAAGCGGACTGGCGTCTTGACGCCTTCCGCGAGCGTCTACTGGGTGCATTCCGCACACCGCAATGAGTAGATCGCTTTGTAACAGCTGATACATTCTATCACATGTTCGATGTACATACTGTACATACTTTGAGACAAAATGACAAGAGCGCGTTCGTACCCTTCCGTGCACGTGGAGCGATGCGGGTGTTTTTGTGGCGTGCAAGCTGTCGTCACACGAGCGCCATCTCGTGTTCTGCTTCACGCCCCGTCTCAACTGCCCAGCCCGGATTGCCAAGAACAACGGAGATGGAGTGAATTTTCATCCATTGAGTGCTGAACAGCTGCTCTATGCTGCATTACCTCATTACCTACATTGGCATTAAACGCTTCTTCGAATGAACGCGCTAGCGATTCGGGCTTTGAGTCTGTTTATAGACGGGGCCGGGGCACAACTGTGGGCTTAATACTCCGTAGTAGTAGTAGTAGTAGTAGTATTGATTACCGTCTGGGACATCCCTATAAGGGCAAAAGACGTGCTAGGCTAGAGAAGACTAGATACATAGAATATCCCGAGTACCTGGACTAAGGACCGTGTGTAGCACCTAACCACTCCATCTAGCAATTCTGAGGCTCTGAGGCCGGTCGGAAATTCGGGCCCTTCCCCGTCAGCGGGTTCCAGGCACGGCAGTGAAGCTAATAGTAGTCAGTCTTTGGCCGAGGCCGGGTGACTGAGAAAGCCCACGAAGTCATGGGCCGGCCGCAAGCCCTCGAGGAGGGCCTACGGGGCAGAAAGAAAAGAAAAGAAAAAGGAAGCAGAGAGTGTAGCAATGTTAGTCGGGGATTCGCCCCGATGGCGATTGTCTTCTCCGCAGGAGCGTTCGATCCGGGCCACTTCGTGGTTATGACATTCGGCGAAGTCCCCGTGCCTGCTCCTCGTAGCAAGCAGGTGGTGGAGGTGTTGTCGATTGGTGTGCAGCTCCGGGGACACCGGGTGAGGCCTTGAGCTCTAGGCTCTTGTAGCTCCTCGGGGCCCCGGCGGCCCCCAGTCCAGGAGGAAGTCGGGCCGCTGGGCGGCAGAAAGGGCCGCAAGGCGGCAAAGTTCGGAGCCGCGAGACGGCAGAAGGAGGCAGAGCCGCAAGGCGGCAGAAGGCGAGGCCAGCCAGTAAAGGCGGCAGAGGGTGCGAGGCAGCGCGAGGCGTGCCAGGAAGGGCGAGAAGAAGTCGGGCCGCGAGGCGGCAGAAGAGGTCGGGGCCGCGAGGCGGCAGAAGTCGAGGCCAGCCAGTAAAGGCGGCAGAAGAAGGCGATGCCGCGAGGCGGCAGAAGGCGAGGCAGCGCGAGGCATGCCGTTATTCGAGACCAGCTTCCCAAGAGGAGACGAACTCTCCAAAGTCTGCCTTTGGTGCTTGCTAGAGCCCCGTTAGGGCTAGAGAGGCAGAAGCATGGTCGGGTGACCTGAAAATAATTATCCACTAACAGGCTGCTAACAGCCCGCAGAAGAGAAGAATTTTTACAGGGGAGAGTTGGCTTAATACTCCGTATTGCACGTTGGAGTCGGTGTTAAGTGGGCCCGGTGCCGAAAGTGCCACATCTTAGTTTGGCTCAGTGGGGAGCGTTGTATGGGCGTGGATTGCGCCACGCTTCGCTTTCGAGCTGCGATAAAAACTTCCATTGCAAACCCCCCCCCCCCCCGAACCCTTGCCGCGATCCGTCTCCGATCGATTGCAGTCGCTCCGGTGCCTCGCGACGATTGCGTCCGACTTTGCCGCTGATCCGGGCGCTCAAGCTTCGACCGTTGATGCTCCGCGTCTCCCCATCGGAACGCAGTCGGCCAACACATCGCCAGAAACGACAACGACAACAACAGCCAAAACGCGATTCAACGCGGCCCCAAACGGATGAGCTAGGACGCTGCGAAAACCCGTGCCCGCAGCGCCGAGCAGACCGCTCCCTTCAAGCCCCATTGAAGCCCTGTCTGTTCGGGCGCGCGCCGGCCACCCAAGATGCATTTCGCGTATCCGCCTCGCAAAAACTCCAACCCGCCGCCCTTCCGGCCCAGGTCGGCGAGGCTTCCGCTACTACGGAGGAGCCGGTTGAGAATGATTGCTCTGGTGTGTCTGGCCTGTGTGGCGGCAGCATACTTCCTCTTCGGACCCAGCAAGCCAAGCTCTTACCACGAACGCGTGCCGTCCGGCTCTCCGCCTGTGGTGCTGGTGACAGTAATTAATCCAACCACGTGGGACAATGCCTACCTCAAGACTGTCAGGGAGAACCGCGAGACGTATGCGGCAAAACACGGTCCGCGTTTGCCTCCCGCGACGGCCACAGAGAGCTGCTAACAAGGGCATTCCAGGATACGAGGCAATGGTTGTCAAGGCGTTCGACTACGACTCTCACGGCGCGCCTCCGTCCTGGACCAAGATCGTGGCGATGCGCCACGCGCTTTCCAAGTATCCTGACTGCAAGTTCATATGGTATCTAGATCAGAACGCCTTCATCATGGACCCAAACAAGAGCCTCGAGGCCTTGGTGCTTGAAACCAAGACGCTGGAAGGCCTCATGATCAAGGACTATCCAGTCGTGCCCCCCGACAGCATCATCAAGACCTTCTCGCATCTCCGTGGGCAAGACGCCGATTTCATCGTCAGCCAGGACAAGGATAGCCTGGTGCACTCGAGCGTGATTCTGAGGAACGGGGAGTGGTCCAAGTTCTTCCTCGAGACGTGGTACGATCCGCTTTACAGAAGTTACAACTTTCAAAAGGCCGAGCGGCATGCACTGGCACGTCCATCCGATGATTCCGCGCGACAGGGCACGAGAGTGGCTAATAGAGACACAGGAACACATTGTACAATGGCACCCGACGATTCTTTCAAAGCTTGCCCTCGTTCCACAAAGGACATTTGCTGCGTACTCCAAGGCAGAGCTCGGCGACGCCTACCAGAAAGGCGACTTTGTTATCATATTCCCCGACTGCAAGCAGACGGGGCCCCATAGCTGCGAAGCGGAGTCGAAGCGGTACTTGTCCGACTGGAGAGGCGCTTTAGGCCTGCGCTGAGCGCTCTGGAGGGAAAAAGCAGACGTTGGGCTCGCGTGCGTTGATGGCGTTTGTCGGAGTATAGTCGGTGTCGAGCTCGTCCTTTTTTTTTTCGTTCTGCGGCGTTGCCCGGGCGGGTGGAGCATTCAGGGAGCAAGGCGAGGCAGAGACTGCGAGCGAGACAGCCATGTACGTGTATGCACGAAGGCACGGCACGGAAAGGGGACAGACTTTTTTGTGCGGGTATTCCTTTCAGCCCTGGAGATATGGGACATTTCTGGACAAGTGGAGGGATACGCGGCTGATGCAAACACGAAGTTAACGCAGATGGACCAGGCTGAGGAGCTTTGTGTGATGTAGCCTTGAAGAGACGTACGTAACTCGTGTAAAGATGGGAGGCATCCGTCTGTGGCGACGCACTTCAACACGGAAAGGCAACCCCCTTTTCTCTCGTGTGGTTGGACCAAGTGTCGTGCCGTGGTGGACAGCATGGTTTGATGTTGGAACACAATACCAGCCGCCTTGGCCGATTGGCACCGGGGAACAATATGCTGTGGGCCAAGGTCGAAACAAGAGTCTCGCGGCGCTCGAGTAGAGACAAGCTTGTGTTCGAGACGCGTCTCGGGGACGGCTTTTACGGCGTTACAGCCTCTCGTCGAGGACACGGTTCAAGGAAGAAGGCGATGTTTCCCCTCACTTGCGGGCCTCGGCACCCGAAAATATACTCTAGATGGCTGTGCAAGGGATGCCTTGGAGCAGGCGTCCCACCTCGCCCGGCATCACGGCAAGGCAGTCGTGTATGTATGTGCGAGCGTTGCACGGCCTAAGACGCCTCTCACACTTCCCGGGCAAGGCAACTTGGCTTTGCAACGGCGAGGGTGATCGGATCGTCTCCGATCTGTCCGTCTCTTCAGCCCGAGTCCAGGGATCCCGCGGGCACCCGAACATGCATTTGTGCTCATGCAGCTGCCCATTGCCTGCCCTATACATTGACCGAAGAGCTGACCGATGTTGTCTATAGGTAGGTAGGTAGGTAACTTGGTGCAGTCCGTACAGGGGACAGTACACATGTCAATGGAGATCAACAAGAGGCGGCCGTTTACTGTAGCGCGCCGAGACCCGGCCGGGGCTTAAGCACTACGTATTTGACAGTGGTATAATTAAGAGTATTACTATTTGCACAGACAAAAGTCTCTATTTGCACAGACGATCCACTTTTTCTGCGCGTACCCCGCCCGCCCAGCCCCCGCCACCCAATTTAGCTGCACCAACGTGGCAAAGGAGGGAGCCGCGCTAAGCGTAGCGTAAAGCCCCGCTAAGGGAGAAATCTGCCCTTCCCACCTACATCGCAAAGTGAAGCTATTCGCGATGGACCTACGATTTATCCTCAACGAGCCTGCCGAAGAGCCTGCCGAAGAGCCTGCCGAACAGCCTGCCGAACAGCCTGCCGAAGAGCCTGCCGAACAGCCTGCCGAACAGCCTGCCGAACAGCCTGCCGAACAGCCTACCGAATAGCCTGCCGAACAGCCTGCCGAAGAGCTCGTCGGGCTGCCAATTCCACCTCTGCCGCCCTCGCTAACCTTTGACTCCTTTAACGAGCTCTACGACTTCCTCCAGAGCTTCTATCGCAGTTATAGTGCCGCTATCGTTAAGAGCTCTAGCTTACGTAAGCGTAAGATTAATGGGTAGGTCTTACCTATATATATTATATTTATTTATAATCGTAGCCTCTAACGAGCTTCGTTAAGTAGCGGCCTTCGTAAAGCTTCCTTATAGAAGCTTAACTGCCCTATTAAGATTATCGCATCCGTAATAAAGAGATCCTACTAGAAGTAGACTTTTTGCGTTAACGATAGTTAATATAACTACGGGGAATTAATCGACTATTTAGCTTATAACGTCTATCGCCGCCGAACCTAAGCATAGTAAGAGCTCGAGAAGCCTTTCTAAGTATCGTGCCCTTCTAGCTCGCGAGATAGCCTCGATTATTAGGGACTCTACTAAAGAGAGCTTCTTCCGCTAGCGAGATATATATAACGACCGCTAGAAGATCCGTGCCGCGGCCCTTAGTAGTAAGACTATAACCTAGGCCTTTATCGATTACCTCTAACGCGGCGGCCTTAAGTATATAGTTAAATTTAGCGACGATAACGATAAGTAGAAGGTCGAAGCTATCTTTAGATATACCCTAGTGCGAGCAGATATAGAAGCGCTTTCCGAAGTCTTAGGACTTAATAATATATATAAAATAAACTAGTTTAAGATATCTCTTCTAGGCTACTAGAGTTACTAATTAACGGTCTATAGCTAACTTCGCTTTTAGCCTTATTAATATAGAGAAGGAGGAAGGGTTCTAGTAGCTTTATAAACGCTTTAACGAGCTTCGCCTTAAAGTTAGGGTCCCGGCGCCTTCTATTACGGGACACCCTACGGTCGATAATCTAGGTACCTATAACGATATCGGCCTTTCCTAGGGAAGTTACCCCTAACTCCCTAAGGCTCCCCGCGGAAGAAGGAACCTAGAAGCCACCGGGTAAACTCTAGGAAATTACCCGGAAATCCTAGAAACGATAACCGAGCGGATTACACGGACGTTTTATAGAGATTTCCCCTAGGGATATATTATATAGGGAAGGCACTACGATTTCCCGAGTAATAATAGCTCCTTAGGGATTATACCGATACTTCTTTAAGAAGTTACTACGAGAATATAGCGGGGAAATTATAGAGAAATACCTATGCCTACCCGGGGAAAATACTAGGAAATACCGCTAATACGCCGTACTACCGTCGTACGATTATAAGGTTAAGATATTACTCGGTTAAAACCCTAAGTAAGGTCTTACGCTCGCTATAGTATATATAGAAGATAGAGGACCCGCTAGATCTTAGGCGGGCGGAGAAGAATATAAATAGTTATTACTACTCTTACTTTAACTCGTAAGACCGGTAGCTAGTCTATATTTAATGCGCGTAATAATATACGGTAGCTAGTCCGTATAATACGTTTAATTACGTACGGTAGCTAGTCCGTTTAATTACCCGTTAGACCCGCACCGGATCTAGGTAGACGGCAAGGTTAACGTACTAGCCCTATACCGAGGGACTAGTACTTAATACCTTCTATAGTTATTAAAGATAAGGAAAAAGCCCTTAAAAATATACTCTTATGCGTTTTCCCTTTATTATAATAATAACTTTATATTTACTATATTAACGTTAATATTAATACGAAAATTAAATTACGTTAAAAGGAGCTTAGCGGCGTTAATAATAATAATAATAATAACGATAACGAAGCTAATAGCGTTAACGGCGCTAACGATCCTATTAATATCTTCCTTAGTAGAGTCGCTACGTAAGAAGAAGCTAAAGATAAGATCTCGAGCGTATAACCCGTATAACTTAAAGACTATAGCCGCGAGGGGATATTTACTGCTTAGAAGGCCGTTATCTACGCCCTAACTAAGGTAGGCTTTTAGTCGGCTTAGCGGGCGCTTAATTATAAGTATAGATAATACTAAGGCTATATCGTAAGATATATTTCTAAGGAATATATACTATAGTAAGAGTAGTAAGCTTATTACTATATTAGCCGCTATCGTAACTTCGGCTAGAGGGTTAATAGCTTAGTTAAGACTATATATAAAGATATAAAGTCGTATTTACTTATAGGCACCGGCGATCTCTTCTATCTATATACTACGTTAGAGTAAATAATCGCGAATAAAGAACGCTCCTATATCTAAGAGGCGGCCCGCTAAAAGTTAAGGCAGCGGCTTCTTTATCTTAGCTAAAAATAGCTAGGCAAGCTAAATATTAAACTTACCTATTAAGCGGTTAACCTCCTTACTAAGCAATACCGGCTTACCTTAGCCGCGATGCCCTTAGAGCCTAGGTAAGAGCGGGAGTTATAGCCGCTACCGTATTATACGGGTTAATTTATATAATAGTAAGGGCTTCCTTATATATATACGATCTTCTAACGCCTTTAAGCTAACGTTCCGCTTATAAAGTACGATATTTACCCTTAGTAGTAGCTTAAGAAGCCTCTAGTAGAGAAGCCCCCCCTTTTATATACGAATTACGCTAATCCTTACTATTAGGATCTCGACGAGCTACTTCTTCGAATCCGAGACCCTAATATCGTTTAAAGCCTCCGTGGCCGACCTCGCGTTGCTAAGAATACTAGCCTACCTATGCCTTAAGACCTAAGGCCATATCGAGACGAAGACGACGATGCCGCGTAGCTAGCTTCGCAGCCGGCCTTATAGTTAGTTAGAGGCACGCAGAGACGGCTGCCGCGGTCTAGTCAGGCAAGCACCCGCCGCCTCAACGCTAGCATACGCCGCACGCGCACATAAGCCGAGATCGATGAAGGAGGCAGTTAGGGCTCTACCCGGCCGTTATTAGGAAGATCGCGAGCGCGCGCAAATACACGGGGAAGGGGATCTCGAGGGAGACGGGGCAGAGGTGCAAGGGCTACGCCGGCCTCGTCAGTAGAGGAGGTTATCCCAGCTACGCAGCCCACGCCCACGTAGCCTAGGCCGGACTATTAGCCGGGCCGTAATATACGACGTAATATACGCATATCTCGCGATAATCGCGAAGATGCGTTATTTAAACGAATTAAGGTGCCCTAGGCTTATAGGTATATATGATCTTTATGCTGGCGCGGCTCCCTCCTTTGCCACGTTAGTGCAGCTAAATTGGGTGGCGGGGGCTGGGCGGGCGGGGTACGCGCAGAAAAAGTGGATCGTCTGTGCAAATAGAGACTTTTGTCTGTGCAAATAGTAATACTCATAATTAATTATCCGTACGTACAGCAATTACAGTACAAGCTTCGGCAAAAAAGCCCACCAGGCCAGCTTGAGCTACATGTAGTAAGTACATTATCCGTAGCGTTGCATGTGATAACGCCATGGGTGCCAGAGTCGATGGAGGCGCACCCACAGCAATGGAAGGCAGGTAGTACCTAGGTGGCCCCACGGCCAAAATGTCCAAGTAATGGCCGTCGCCCACGTCTTTTGGCAGATGCAGACACTTCTGTAGCGGGGAGGCCGGCCACCTTACAGTAGGTACGTACCCGCGGTGGCTTAAGCCTCGGCGGGCAGCCCAGCCATGTGTGGCACTTACACACCGGGTAGTATCCGTACTAGGTAGGTACTCGCCAGTTCCTCAACCGCTCCATATTCTCCTCCTCGTCATCCTACTCCTCTTCGCACACCCCTTTGCCCTTCCCCTCTCCGCACAAAAGCATCTAGGCGCATCGGGCACGCCCTGTGCGACACGATACGATGCCTGGAAGCTCGAGAATGCCCGTCAGCCTGCGCGGAAGTTTCGGATCCGTCAAGCGACGCCGGCCTGCGCTCTCGCTGAGCATGATCAGCCTGGACCTGTGAGTCGGCGACCCCCCCTCGGTCGTGCTGCTCGAGCCGTTGCGCCCCATTCGCATGCACGGCTGGCTCTGGGCCCTTCCGAGCCGCGCCGTTGCTACACGGCAGCCACTCGCTCCGGTGGCGGTCCATGGCACGGGTCGAAAGTGGCATGCTCGGAGACAGGAGTGGGCTGACGGACTGGCGTCGTGGGCGTTGCTCGACAGGCTGCGCAACATCGTCTTCTTCTACTTTGTCCTACGGTGGACACGCCGCCTCTTCTGGAAGCTCAAGGGCCGTGGCCTCATCGGCGCCATCCTCGAGCTCTACCGCGACATTCGGCGCACTCTCTATGGCTACTTCCTACGCGCCCCGGGCGTCCGCGGCAAGGTCCAGAGGCAGGTTCAGGAGTCGCTCGCCAGCATGTCGGCCAAGCTCGTGCCCCAGACTGAGACGCGCTACCTGACGCTGCCCAAGGAGGGGCTGCCCGCCGACGCCGTCCGCGCCGAGCTCGACGCGCTGGCCAACATGGATCACACCCGCTGGGAGGACGGATACGTCTCCGGCGCCGTCTACCACGGCGAGGACGGCCTGATCCAGCTGCAGACCGAGGCCTTTGGCAAGTTCACCGTCGCCAACCCCATCCACCCGGACGTCTTTCCCGGCGTCCGCAAGATGGAGGCCGAGGTGGTGAGCATGGTGCTCAACATGTTCCACGCACCTCCTGGCGCTGCCGGTGTCTCGACGGCCGGCGGCACCGAGAGCATTCTCATGGCCTGCTTGGCCGCTCGCCAGAAGGCATACGCCGAGCGTGGCATAACCGAACCCGAGATGTGAGTCGCCGACCTCCCTGATGAGTGAATCGGCGACAACGGTGACGAGGTCGTCTGTTAACCCCCTGAAAAGGATCATTCCGGACACTGCACACACGGCTTTTCACAAGGCTGGAGACTACTTCAACATCAAGATCCACATGGTCGCCTGTCCCGCTCCCGACTACCAGGTCGACATCCGCGCCATGTCACGTCTCGTCAACGCCAACACGGTGCTGCTCGTCGGCTCCGCGCCCAACTTCCCGCATGGCATCATGGACGACATCGCGGCGCTGTCCAAGCTCGCGCTGCGCAAGAAGCTGTGCCTGCACGTCGACTGCTGCTTGGGCTCGTTCCTGGTTCCGTGCCTGGAGAGGGCCGGCTTCGAGACGCAGCCGTTTGACTTTCGTCTCAGGGGCGTCACCAGCATCAGCTGCGACACGCACAAGTACGGCTTTGCGCCAAAGGGGAACTCGACGGTGCTGTACCGCACGGCGGCGCTCCGGACTTTCCAGTACTTTGTGTGCCCGGACTGGTCGGGCGGTGTCTACGCCTCGCCAGGCATCGCCGGGTCGCGGCCCGGCGCCCTCATTGCCGGCTGCTGGGCGAGCCTCATGTCCGTGGGCGAGTCCGGCTACGTGGACGCGTGCGCCAAGATTGTCGGCACGGCCAAGAAGATTGCCGACGCCATCCGCGACGGGCCCGCGCTGGGCGGCGAGCTCGAGGTGCTGGGCAAGCCACTGGTCTCTGTGGTGGCCTTTTCGGCGCGCAACCTCAACATCTACGACATTGCCGACGGCATGTCCAGCAAGGGCTGGCACCTCAACGCGTTGCAGAGCCCGCCGGCGATACACGTGGCCGTGACATTGCCCATTGTCAAGGTCTGGGAGCGGCTGGTGAGCGACCTCGAGGCGGTTGTGGAGGAGGAGCGGGAGAAGGAGAGGGTGCGACTGGTGGAGGGCAAAGGGGCCAAGGGAAAGGCGGTGGGCGATTCGGCTGCGCTGTATGGCGTGGCCGGATCGCTGCCAAACAAAAGCGTCGTGGTGGACCTGGCGACGGGATTCCTGGACCTGCTGTACAAGGCATGAACTAACACATGGGAGACGGATCATGTTACGATTTACGAAGCTTGGCCCAGGGGCAAGGGGGGGCCGAGACGGCGACTCAGCTTTGCTCCAAGCCGCCGCATGCATACACGCAGGCCTATGCATGCATATGTATAACAGCAGCTGACTGGTTGGAGACGGCCAGCGTTTTGTTTCGCATTCTGCTCCAACGCCCCGCGGTTCTAGACGGAGGTTAGGGACGCAGTGGGCGCTAGCGGTAGACAGGGATGACCGTGTGTGCGCTGTACTGTACGAGCAGCCATCTGCTCCAGCAACACGATCTATCACCTCGGCATCGTCATTCAAGATGATATCAGAACTCTATCCACGATAAGTTTGTTTTGATCGATCAAAGAACGGCAAGAAGGGTTTGGCAGGGCCCCCTGTTGCCATGTCGTCGTCCCTCCACCATGCGGCTCTGGCCAAGACGAGGCGTCCATAATTTGCCTCGCCGTCGTCGGTTGGGCAGCGTCGCTTTCGAGGGTGCAGGTCACGAACCACTACCTCGTACGACCCGCACAGTCGGCCAGCCAGGAGCGTCCACGCCTGGGGAGATTGACGGGCGGCAAACGCCACTGCGTCGCGCATGGCAGATACCATTAGTCCAAGATATGACTTGCAGGACGGTCGCCCGGCAGAGGGGGGAGTGAGGCTCCCTCCAGACTCTCGAGTGGGCGCCCGGGCCGACGCGGTGCAACCGTGTGGGACGGCCAGGGGAAGGGGGGGCCGGACGGGCTCCGGGAGATGCTGTGCGGTATGGGCATGCATGGATGCGCCCACGACCCTCTGGCGATGAGGAACGCGGCATGTATGATACCTGGTACGTGTATGCGTGTATGGATGGGCGTATGCATGCGGGCGGATTCAGAAGGGGGTTGGACTGGGATGGCCGGTGGGTGATGTTGATGCCCAAGTCCGAGGCAGAGAGACGGATGGGGAGAGAGGCTTCAGGTCGTACGGAGACGCCTCTCGAGGACGAGAACAGGAGGCATGAGGGCGACGTCGTGATGGGGGAGTCGAGCAAGAGGCGCCATCGGTCGTTTTCGTCTGCCTTTCGGGTTGTCGAGAGTGGACGAGAAGGCCTTGGGCCACCTGACACGCGTCTGACGTATGCCGGGCGCATGGAGTGTGCGTTTCTGTGGCATTACCGGGCGACGGGCCATGTACGCAGCCACTTTGCATGCGATATATATGCGCCGGCACGCACACGCACGCACGCACGCACGCACGCACACACACATTTACATACACACAGTATGTGAGTTAATACCTACCTACCTAGGTATGTACTCATGTATGTAAGGTACCTGTTTGTAGACAACCTGTCTACAGCAGTGCTTCTAATTGCCCCATACCTTACCCAGCAAAAGGGTAATTACTAGCCGGGCATAAGTAGGTAGGTGGTGGTGAGCCAGCAGGTACCACGGCCGGGCCCGGCGGAGCCGGATTAATACTAATTATATGCCTTCCATATGCCTTGGCGACGACGAGGACAACCCGGCTCACAACTCCTCTTCTTCCCACCACCTAGGATGCATCCATCATGGCTCCCATCGGCCCCGACTCGCCGGCCGTCAATCTACTGCGCGTGCATGGCATGCGCTGTCTTGGTGCGCATCGAACTCTCTACTGGATAGCTCTGTCTGTACGTGCGTACAGCTCAGCTGTTTTCGCCACCCGCTCACCCATAGATACAGCCATGTCTCCAAGGCGCTGAGAGAAGCTCGTCCCGCAGCCCGCCCGCCTGCATGCACGCGTGCGTGCGAGACGGTAACTGCAATGTGGCACAGGCCTGGACGCATGGATGGACGCCGGTACAGATGGCGCGTCGCCCGGGCGTGCTGGCGTCGTGCAAACCTGTGAGCTGTCGAGGCTCCCTCCCTCGGCGGCTTTCCCCCTTCGCCTTGACCGAGGCGGACGCCCACAATACCAATCGCGGCGCAACAAGGGTCGGGACAGCTGATACATGCTCGTTCGTCTATGCGCCGTCGCCCCAGCTGCCGTACAGTACCTGCGGATCCAGCGTCGTGCAGCGTTTGGGCGCCATGGCTCGTCCTTGGCGACGACTGCTCGTCCCGATGTGGTGCGCCATGTGGCCGAGGAGAAAATGTCGTGCAGCGCTGCGTAGTGCAAGAAGTCGGAACATTTCTGGCACCCCACGTCAAGCAGTGCTTCCTGAGTATGGTCTGCCTCGCAGCTGCCTGCTTTGTTACGCCCTCCTCGGCCTTTCGATTCCCGTCTTCAAGCCACCGCCCCCCCTGGCGGCTGCGAGATGAGACCTTCTTGGGCCAATCGTCCATTTCCTCGAGCTAAACACACCGCCGTCTGTGCTGCTGTCTCTGCATCTCCGCAATCATGGCGAATCAGCTCCCAGGGGCCCCCGGCCATGAACTGTGATTGTCCAGCACCGGCAGGGGCCTGACCAGTATATATCGTCCGCTCTGCCCTACACCCGCCCTTGATAAACTCTGTCCACTTGGCATCTCGTTCAAGAGTCCACACAGGGCAGGCTTTAGCATATCAACAGCATGGCTTCCGGCGGAGTGGCTCCAACCAAGAAACAGGTCGAAGACGTCGTCAGGGGCACAAACCTTGGTGACCTGGGCCCGGCCTGGATCGACGACCTTGTTGGCTTGGTGCAAAGCAAGCGTAAGTTTCCACGCTTCATCACCTCAATCGGTTCGCCATGCTAACACGGCATACAGTCAGTTCGAGCTGTGACTCTACCGATGCGTCTGAACCATCGACCCCCAGTGACGTGCCGTCTACACCAAGCTCCGAACTCAGCGAGCCCCCAGACTGGTTTCCCGGGTCCAAGCCGTTCCAGGCCACGGTCGAGGACGAGGACTGCTCCACAGCAAAGGAGCGCAGCCCCGGGTCCATGGCAAGCCAAAGGCCAAGCTCAAACACATCTCGCCGGCGACCTCCAAAACTGGACTCGTCTAACACCAGCATGCGGCCGCCCACTTGCTTGAAGGACGCGCCCCTTGAAAAAACCAAATCATCCAATCCTCCGTTTGCCCCGTCCGCCCCCAGCAGCCCAAAGCTCCGGCCCACCGTTCATTTCTCGGAACGTCCACCGCCCAGGCTGAACAGCCGGGTGCTCGCTCGCTCCGACTCGGCGGCAAAGACAAACTCGGTTCCAGAGCTGTCCGTAGTAGACCTCCAATGGGGACGACTGTTCACCGGGTGCGGTGAGCCCACCACGAGGCTCCGCCAGGTCCTGCGCGGCCTGGCCAACTACATTGTGCGTCCAGTGTCGTGTGTCCAATTGATCTAGACGACAACAGGCTGACAAGAGTAGAATGCCGAGTACGAGCCAAAAAACTCCGTTGTCATCACGCCGGGAAAGCTCTATACGTTCTACAAGAGATGCCAACTTGACGTGGAGCTCTACCCATTTCAGGGTAAGCATGCTTCCTCCCCAATTCTCCTCACCCACGACCACCTTGCCCGCTGCTGCAATTCGAGTCTGACACGAATTCCAGTCATCTTTGACTGCTCCTCCCGGAAGCCGATGCGATGCCTCGAGTTATTCTACCAGGACCTCAGGTGCGAGTACCATCTCGTACAGGGCGAGAGCAGAGACAGGCCCTACATCCCAGCTCTGACATCGGACGGGTTCGTCAACTGGATGTCTGCCTTCATCCAGGCCAGCCCCGACGCGGAGGCAAAGCGGCTAGACGGCATCATGGCGGCCCTTCCCATCGAGGCGGACAGCGAAGCGCCAAACGAGAAACCCGAGAGGCTACCAAAGCAGCTTTCCAGACACCTGTTCCCTTCAAGGCCGCATGAGAGAACTTGCCAGTACGTCAGCAATGCCCTCAAGGTCTGGTACGATGCCCAGGGCCTGTCGAATTCGCGCCCGCCATCGTACCTGGACGCTTTCCGTAACCTTTTCGCCCGAAGCCTGAGCCCCAGGCCCCGTGACAGAGACCGTCGCGAAGACAGAGGCCAGGGGTCCGCGCGCGATGACCGGGAGACATTCATTGAAGTCATCGAAGTTCCGCCTGGCCACTCGTCTGACTCTCAGAGGTCTTCGGGACCATACCCCCGGACCAGAGACTGGGACGAGTACTCGACCCGATCTTCCCGATCTTCGCGGTCTTCGGGCAAGGTCTTGGTCGAGGAGGCCTCCAGACACAGCCGAGACGCGTCTCCGAGACGCCGCCACCACCGCCACCACCGTCGCGAAGGCAGCCCTCGCCCCAGCAAGCATCGACATTCTGGGTACGACGGGAACCGACGCGTCGAGCCTCGGGACAGCCATCGCAGCGCGGCATCTGGATACGCGTCCTCGCTGCCGCGGACGACACCTCCGTCGTCGCGTGAGGGAAGCCCTAAGGCGTCGGCCAACCGGGCAGAGAACTATGCCTTTTTCCAGGGCCGCGAGTCCGGGCCGACATACGAGGGGATTCTGCGGGAGACGCCGACGACGAGACGCACTCAGCGCGCATCGCGTCACCGAGCCTGAAGCCGTGCTCTTGGGCGAGGTGGCCGAGCTTGGTGGCCTGCCTGAGTGTGCGTGCCATGTCCAGTTTGGATGTTGGATATTGGGGCAGAATGACCTTGCATCATTGGCGTCCAAAAGACTGATTCAGGCTCGACTTTCCACTTCAGGAGCGCCTTTCCTTCTGTCCTTCTTTCCTTCTTTTCATTTCTTATGTTATTGTTTGTAATCATCATCCCGTGCTCGCGCGGCAAGCCGGTGCGGCGTGGAGGCGAGGCGAGGCGGGTGTACTAATCCTTGGCCTGTACGAGTTTAAAAGGACGAACGAGAGAAAGGACACGGGAAAGGGGGGAGAGATTGAACTTGCGGCACGGGGCGGCGACGAGAGCATGGCCTCTAATGACGAGAGAGAAAAAAAAGGGGGAGTCGGGCCCTCCAACGCCATGACCATGTACGCAATGCATAATCGTGCAAAGGGGGAGAGAGGACGGGGACGGAGAAGAAGAGACGAGGGAGGACACAGTCCCCGCGACAGATTTTATCAAATAGTCTTTCTTGCCAGTTCGCGATGCCTGGCTTGGCTTTGCCAGCTGTTGACTGCCTGCTATGCCCTTCAGATCCCCCGAGTAGACCTTTCCCGGCTTATATTATTCTTAGACGTCGAAAACAGTCATGCCGGGCGGTGGTCAGACTCTGCGTCGCCTCATTACAATTCCAACGTTGCTGCTGCTCGTTCTGTTCAACAAGGGCGAAAGGGTATAAGACGGAAGAAAGCAAGAGAAAGGGTAGAAAGCGCGAGAATCAAAACGAAAAGCAAAACATGTGTCATGAAGCAAGACGTTTCGTCGTTATCCAAACCTTGTTTGCAGCGCCATGCATTAGAGAATATAAAGGGCCGGAAGAAAAAAAGACGCTCATCAACATTTCGGTCCTTTGCGGCGGGGACAGGAGAAAGAGGAGGAGGGGTCGACGACGCATCATCGCGTCCGCGTCGGAGAGTTGGCCGTCGACGAGTCGAAGCTGCCGAGGCCGGCGCGGCCGGCGCGCTTCGTCTTGAGCGCCTGGTAATCGTGCTTGAAGGTGGCGATGCAGCGCTGGAGCTCGCGGTCGGGGTGCGGGGGCATCTGGATCTCGACGGCCTTGAGGCAGATGCGCAGGTGCTGCAGCTCGTCGTCGTTTTCCTCGAGCTCTTGCTCCCTGAAGGACAGAGCTTGATCAGCAACGGGGCTTCTCTGCCATGGTTTGACGGGGAGATGTGGTGGATGGGGGATTGGACCACGCATCCGTTGAGGAGGGGGGGGTGAACGTACAGATATGTGATGCGGTTTTGGAGAAACATGATTCGTTGGGCTGCCCGCTCGGCGCGCTCGACGAGGAGGCCGTGGATGTGCTGCGGCAACGTCGCGTGTCAGTATGGGGTGAAGCACTAGGCGTGATGAAGGCCAAGGGGACCAAAAACCAAAAACTCACATCCGACTCTTCCTGGCGAGCCTTGAGGTTGCTGACGACGGCGGACAGCTCGTCGTTGAGCTTGCCCATCTCTGCAATGACCTTGTTGGCCTGGTCGACCGTCATGCCCACCTTTTGCGGCGGCTCGTGCTCGCGCTCCGCCTCACGCTCGCGGTGCAGCGAAGCGGACAGGTCGGAGAAGCGCGAGCGGAACATGGAGGAGACGGGCGAGCCAAGGATGGAGCCCATATCGCTGCGGCTGGGCATCTCGAGGCTCGTGGAGCGGCGCGAGGGCGGGCTCGGGGTGCCGCTGGCGACGGCGTGCTGCAGGCTGCCGAAGTGTGCGCCGAGGGCGGGCTCGTCGGCGTCATCGCCGTAGGAGAGCTGGTGGGCGAGCTGGCTGAGGCGGCGGGCGAGCTCGTGCCTCGAGGTGGGCGACGAGGCCGGGCTGTCGCCATGGTCGCCGTCGGTCGAGTGCGAGAGCTGGCGCCTCAGGGGCCGGTAGCTCGGCGCCGGGTTGGTCAAGACGAGGCTCGAGGCAGGGCTGGGGCTGGGGCTGGAGCCGAGGGGCGAGGGCGCGTAGACGCCGTGGGCCGAGTCGGCCCTGTCGCTGTAGCTGCTCTTGCTGTGGGTGAAGGAGCCGTTTCTGCTGTGGCTCCTGCTGCAGCTCTGGACGCTGCGGCGATCCCGCACGTCGTCGTCGAGCTGGGGGCGGGTGCGGTGATGGGCTGGGAGCTGCCTCTCGTCGCCTCGGGCTCCTCCTGGCTGGACCATGGCGGGCGCGGCGTGATGATGGCCCCCTAGGAATGCGATGTCTGTCGCCGAGGGGATGAGCGTCGCATCCAAGGCTTGATGGCACACAGCCGAGACGAAGGGGAAAAAAGGGCTTGGTTTTAGGTTTTTGCGAGTCCAAGCAAGCTGAGGTCGGCGTGCGTTGACCGACAAGTCTTCCGGCTCGGGACTAGCGGACCATGGCCTTATGCATGCGCCCTGGGTAGCTTACCACGGTTCAGGGGCCGGGCGGATCTGCGCCGGCAGCTTTATAGCGGGTAACGTGTTTAGCTAGGAAGCTGGCATCGGTCTGGACGTCGCATGTCTCTGTTGCTGTCGTGATCAACGGATGGCGGGTGTGGGCGGCGCATGTATGTAGTAGATGCTGCGGCGGGGTTCGCGACAGGGCGGCCGAGAGAGAGGGCGGCGTGACGGATGGGACGGCGCTCGAGGGACCCTTGTGAAAGACGAGATGGCGCGATGGGGCGCTGGGGGCGCGCGTCGAGGGCCTTGTTGGTCGAGATGCGCGGTGACAAGGAGGAAAATGTGGAAAACAAGCATGGGCCGGGACGAGGGGGGCTGATTGGGTGCACCGGACGAGGGTGCGGTGCACGGTATTGAAGAGGATTTATAGTGAGGCCGTCTAGCGCCCGATGGCTCAGTTACAGGCGGCTTGCAGGCGATCCTCGGACCCTGAATGCAGGCCAAGAGCTGACCGCCCTCTTTTCGCGCCGAGAGGGATTGCAGTACGTACGTTAGTAGTGCTCCGTAGTAGTAAGGCAGTTAATTAGGTACAGTAGATGCTCTGCTAGGCAATCGTCGGCATGCATGATCCGAGGGTTCGCGAGCATCAAGCGAATGGACGCCTCGAGCCACGAAACACGGCTGGCTGGTGGTCAAATCCCCTTGGCTGGCGGCCGCAAATAATAAGTGACTGCTGAAGAAAGATTCGCGATGGCCAACAGCAGAACAACTGCCGAGGCCCATGCATGAAACCGACAAACCGCATCCAAGTCTTGCATCCCTGTCCGTGCTCACAACTCTTTGCTGGCGGTTTTGCCTTTCGCTCCTGGGGCACTAATGATAGCAAGACTTCTTTTCTCCCGCATCTTTTGCCTCGGAGACGTCTTGGTTCAGATGCCGCTCTTCTACAGAGGTAGTAGGGCACTGACTGGGGCGAGTACCCTGCGTTGGGGGGGTACGGCAGAGTACCTACGCGCGGACTGGCTGTTGAAGAGTCCAAGGACATGAAGTACATGAGCCGCCCCCAAGTCTGGGTCCGCATGTGCCGCACATGTACCGTGCGCCAGAAACTACCGCCCTCATGGTGATGATGCATCATTACACACCGCCGCCCTTTTCCGCTACTGCTTCTTCCCTCTTCATCACCCCTCCCCCCCACGGACTGTCTCCATCTTCCGTCTCTCCCTCGCCAGCTGCCTCTCCCTCTCCTTCGTCCGCTTCATCCCCGGCCCATTGCACTCTCTGCGTCCTTTTGCCTCGTCGTCGCTGCGGTCCTCCTCCACAGTCTCCCGTTAAATGGGCCTCGGCTATCGTCGCCAGCTGTGAGCTTCGCGCGGGGCCCCATTCGCTGCAGCCCTTTGACTCAGACCCGCCCCGCCATCCTCCGAAGCCGCGGGTCTCTCGCCAACTCCGACGACTTGGAACCGACTCTCGCACTTTCGCACTTTCTACCACGACGGCGACCCCGATTGGCCCCCCCCGATACCCTTTCTTGTCTCTTGTTTTCTTCCTCCTCTTCGCCGGCCGGCTCTCTCTCTCCTCTTGGACACGCCAAACCACCAAGCCACACCCCCGGCGACACGCAGACTCGGCCTCCGTCCGTCCGTCCGCCCGACATGTCGTGGAAGTCGTCGGAGAGGCTGATGGACACCATCCGGCACTATGCCAAGTTCCCCGCCACGGGCGTGAGCTTGCGCCAGATGGTGCAGTTTGGCGACAAGCCCTCGACCGGTGCGGTGCCGCCTTCTTGCACCGACCCTTCCCTCGCTTGCTGACCCTCGGCTTCTCCCTCTTGCTGCAGGCACCCTCTTCCGCGCCTCGCAGTTCCTGGCCGAGGAGCTTCCCATCCGCCTGGCCCACCGCGTCAAGGAGCTCGACGACCTGCCCGACGGCCTCAATGAGATGCCCTCGGTCCAGCGCGTCAAGGACTGGTATGCCCAGTCCTTCGAGGTAAGGCCATCCATCCAACCTCGGTCCGCCATCACATGCAACCAGACTGATCCGGGCCCCTTCACTCCCCCCCTCGACAGGAAATCACGCAGCTGCCACGGCCACAGCTCAGCAAGGACATACGCGATCGCCTCACAAAGCCCGCAAAGAACTCGGGCCGCCCCATCCTCCAGCAGCTGTCAGAGGCCACCCCCAACCCCTCCATTGACGAGGGCGACGGCTCCGGCTGGGGCGGCCTGCAGCCTTCCTCGGCCAACAACGGCGCAACCACAAAGGCCAGGTCCGTCTCGAGGCGCTACTTTGCCACCGTCGACGACACGGGCGACTGGCCCGCCGAGCTGCAAATGTACAACCAGCGCTTCGCCAAGACGCTTCACAAGATCAAGCGCCGCCATGACGGCGTCGTCACCACAATGGCCCAGGGCATCCTCGAGTACAAGCGTCGCCGCCAGCGCATGCAAATCAACGGCACCATCCAGTCCTTCCTCGACCGCTTCTACATGTCGCGCATAGGTATCCGTATGCTCATCGGCCAGCACATTGCCCTGACGGACCAGAGCCACCACCGCGACCCCATCTACGTCGGCGTCATCTGCACAAAGACAAACGTAAAGGACCTCGCCCAAGAGGCCATTGAAAACGCCCGCTTCGTCTGCGAGGACCACTATGGCCTCTTCGAGGCGCCCCGCATCCAGCTCGTCTGCAACCCGGGCCTCGACTTCATGTACGTCCCCGGTCACCTGTCGCACATGCTCTTTGAGACGCTCAAGAACTCGCTGCGCGCCGTCGTCGAGGCCCACGGCATGGACAAGCAAGAGTTCCCCGTCACAAAGGTCATTGTCGCAGAGGGCAAGGAGGACATCACCATCAAGATATCCGACGAGGGCGGCGGCATCCCCCGCAGCGCCATCCCCCTCGTCTGGACCTACATGTACACCACTGTCGACCGCACCCCCAACCTCGACCCGGACTTTGATAAGAGCGACTTCAAGGCGCCCATGGCCGGCTTCGGCTACGGCCTGCCGATTTCGCGCCTCTATGCGAGGTACTTTGGCGGCGACTTGAAGCTGATAAGCATGGAAGGGTGAGCTCCCTCCCTCCCCCCCTCCTCTCTCTCACTCTCTCCCAAGAAACGCACGCTAAACCACTCACTCGTCGCGCAGCTACGGCACGGACGTCTATCTCCACCTCAACCGCCTGTCGTCGTCGTCGGAGCCTCTCCAATAGCAATTACACTCCGCCGGCGCCGCCTTCCCCTCCCTGATCCTGCGCAAGCGTCTCCGGCTACCCCGCGAGGTGACGGAGCGCAGGCAGGTCGGCGATGCCGAGGCGGTGGTCCACGCGCCCCCGACGCAGCCGTCGGACAGCAACCAGGACCGTGAGCTCTGAGCGGCGCTTGCGGCGCTTGCGGCTGCTCCGAGGATGAAGTAATGGCTGTGAGGGAAAAGGAAACGGAGAAAAGGAGGAAAAAGAAAAGACTCGCGATGAAAGCGAAGATCACACACAGCAACGGCACCAAGCCCTTCCTGCCTCTCGTCTCTACTACTAGCGAGGACCGAGCCGGGCTGGCCCCATGGACACTCTACGCACGCCACGACGTCCGGTCGGACTACCCTTTTTTCGTCTCTCTTTTTTCTCGCGTTCTTGTCCACGGGATGGATGCTTGTGGATGGCAAGCTTTCATCATCTCTCCCTCGCCCCCTTTTCGTCCACCACTCTCTCCGACCACCGTCGCCGGCTTGGGAGACATAATTAGTGTAGGTAATAGGCTCACGGTATAGTGGCCGAGAAGATGTTTGCATCGACGACAGGGTCGAGATTTGGCCCGGGTAGCGGCGGGCGCGGCAGGCACTCATCCGCTCCGTCCATTGGACTCGACTCCCTCAGCTTTTCTTCTCGTCCTCCGCCAACAGAAAAGCACAGGGATGGGCCTCGGGACACGGAAGTGGGCGTGTAGCATGATCCGTGTACAAGGCGAATGGCGAATGGAATTCATCTGGCTGAGGGACTCCCTCCGGTCGTCTCCAAGACGGGACGACCCAGCCCCTACATGTACTGAGGGCGCTCTACGAGCATCTACGATTTATACAGGTCGACAGCGATATGAGACCAACCGAGATTTTCTCACACCACTTGCTGCTTCGTTTCGCCTTTGCTTCTCTCTCGTGATCTGACCGCAAGATTCCCCGTTCTGTATCTACGCCCTTTTTCTCATTACCCTGATTCCATCGCTGCGATTCTGCCCATGCTAGTGTTTGATACGCCTTGGGCATCGATAGACTTCTATCTCGCAACCATGCGCCTTGAAATGCCATCAAACACGAAAGCCCAAACGACCAGCCGCCGGGTGGCTCGACTGCGGAAACCGAGTCGCTGTCGATCGCCATCTCCCATGTGCAATGTTGCCAATCAAAAGTCCGAGTCTTCCGACTCGCAATAGTTCATGCGGAGTTGGCGGTCCAGGTTCGCATCGTGGTGACGTGCTGAGACGTGCGGAATAGCGGGCTGTGCCTGGAGCTCGGCCCGCGACAGGCGTGGGGCCTTGTACCAGTTGCCCTTGCCCCGAGACTTTGGGGTTTCCTGGGCGGCCGCCTGGCTCTGGTTACTGGACTTGCCCAGGTCGCGACCTTGGCCGCGGCTGGCAGCCGACCCTTCGTCGGTGCTGGAAGGCACCGTGGGGGACTTGACGCCCTTGTGGTGCTTACCATCAGGGCCCCAGGCGTTGAAGGCGACGTTCTCAGAGGCTCGTCCCTTGACTGCGGCCTCGCGCATGGTGGTCGCCGTCGACATGCTCATCGACATGAGTGCTGAACCGAGGGCCGAAGAAGAGTCCCCGGTGTCGTCCAAGGCAGCCTTGCTCGCTGAGGAGCCTGCTTGTAACTCCCGAGCGCGGAGATGAGGGGGCAGAGAGCTTCCAACGGACACGACCGAGGAGGCACGACTACTCCCACTGACCGACGCAGCCTTGAGCTGGCTCAACACTTTCTTGCCTTCGATGCCCAGGGAGGACAGTTCCGTGATCGGGGCCTCGAGGGTCGGTCAGTACAGAAAGGTATCATCAAGGTACGTCCAATATATACGCACCTGGGGCATGTCGTCGGGGAAGAAGTCGACACTTTCCATGTAGTTCTTCTCCCAGACTTCGTTTTCGTCCTCCTCGACGGAAATGTGACCCGTTTCCAGGGGAGAGGGAGTAACTTCAGGCTCTTGGGTCTCACTCCAAGCGCAGCAACGCTTGCAAATCTGCAGACAAAGTAAGCCGAATCGATCGCGGAAGCACAGCTGGGGCTACTCACGTAGTCTCCGCTCTTTCTACTGTTCTGGCTAAATTCGGCCAGCGGCTTTATGAGGGCGCAGAGCTCGCAGCGAATTTCTGTGCGAGGCACCCCAGAATGGTCACGGCATGTCATTCCCGTGTTCGCGGCATTTATTGGTGCTTGGCGGTCGACGTGACCCTGGATGAGACTTTGTTGCTTGTTGGAAAAGGAGCTCAGCGGCTTCCATTCGCCGCCCACTTTGCATCGGAACCTGCCAAGGGTAAGTCGTGGGCGTGGATGAGGGTTGCAAGCTGGACATACCGAGTTGGAACGGCCGACTTCCTGGCGCTGCGTCAACGTTAGCTGAGGTGTCCTGTTGAGATGGCTTGACTGCCTAGAACAGGAACAAGAGAGCTGGAGGAGAGGTTGCAAAGAGGTTGGGATGACGAAGAGAAACGTTGACTCACAGGTTGGCCGGGACGTTGTTCTTGCTTCCTGCCATGCTGCTTCTAGGGCTGACGGGAAGTGAGAGGAAACAGCATGTGCGTGCAGAGATTGTTGCTCGTATGTGCAGCGCGCGAAGGCAAGACGTGCAAGACAGGAGGCGGTGAACGAGCACAGGAAGAGAGGTGGATGGAGAGGAAGAGAGTGAAGAAGGGGATGAGAGGGTGAAGAAGAGGATGAGAGGGAGGGTGAAGAGGAGGAATAGAGAAAAGGGTGAAAGGGCTTGAAATATCTGCCGATAACGCCAGACACGTGCGAGGGACCGATAAAGAAAGGGGAGCAGCCTGAGGATTGAGGCAGAGGCAGACCCGGCAACAGCTGGCAGGCAGACGAAAGGGGAAAGAGCCTTGTACGGCTCGTCGTCAATGTTGATGTCTAGGCCCAGCTCTCCACGAGACGTTACCACCACTCACTGCATTACTCGACTAGGCAGATGGGCTGGTCTGCTGCTTGCTGCTTGCTGCTTGCTGCAAGGCCAATGCTTCGCTGGTGCCGCTCGTTGGACAGAGAAAACGGCGTCCTCGGGAGAAAGGCGTGCCAGCCAGGCGAATGTTCTTCAAGACCAGAGCGAGACTGAAGACCAGCCAAAGGTCTGCATCTCCAAGTCCCAAATGCCTGTCGAGCCCTCGACATCGTCTTGAAGACCCGTACTGGCATCGCCAGGCTGCATTGGCAGTCTGGGGGCGTCCAAGGCAACTGCCCGCCTCGCTTCCTCACCAAACAGCAGACGCATCTCGAGCGGCTCCGGGGCCGAGACTTTCGCTTCGACGCGCCTTGTGCTCTCTCCTGTGTCTTAACACGTTAGGTAGGAGCATCTCGCAAACTCTGCGCATTCGTCGCCAGCACGGCCTTGACCGCCCTTGGGTCTACTCAAGCAGAGCAGCGCCCACAACCTTCTTGAGCATCTACGCACGCCAGCCGCATGAGCTATTTCAAAGACATTGGGATCCGACAAGGACATGTGCGGGACAGTGCCTAGGGAGGCATCATTTGCTGTTTGCCATGCGCCAGGCCAGGCCAGCCCGAGTGTCAGCGCCTCAAACGCCAGGCTCACCATGGTGGCTTTCAAAGCCCCTGCAAGGGACGGCGGTTACCCCTTACCAACGAGCTTGAAGGCAGCTCCTGCCTTGTTCGATTGCACCAGGGTAACACATCACTGCCAGCAAATCTAGGTGAGCGCGTTGATTCGTTTGCCATATTCAAGCGTTGTAATACTGACCATGACAGGTTCCGGTGTCAGAATCAAGCTCCAGATTCCGTCGATGCGGCTTGCCGAGAGCTCAGGGGTTGGAGAAACTAACCCTTACACATCCAACAGAACCGAGGTCAAAGAAGACTGGCAATCAATCGCCGGATCGTTCCAACATTTATATTCATCTTGCAAAGAGTTTGAAAACCATCGAGATGTGCCGCGGTAAGATTCACATGGAGCTACTCGTATTGACCAGACCGCGGGAACTCCAACCCGCTCTAGGGGCTCCATACGCCTCAGGCAAGGGGGAATTCAGGCTGCTTGAGCCCGTGTCCTGTTTGCGGGTGCCGTCGTTTTCACCACACATGGCTGGACAGAGGATGCAGACGCCGTTGCGGCCTGGCGAAGTGGCTGGTGGGGAGCCGGAGGAGCTTGCGATACATTGGCATTCATCGCAGGAGTTCGTCGGAATATCTCAGGGTACGTTTTGGACTGAATGTATAAAAGGGTCGTCATCGCCAGAAAGGGTGGTTGATAGTAGTTTCTCAACTGACTGGTTTCAAACCGGCCTGCAAAGCTGTAGGGGAGCCCATCTACTCTGTATCCGCAGAATTAGCATGATGATCGAAATACGAAGGGAAGCGAAGACAGACTGCGGTCGACCACAAAGATGATCATGGCCTGCTGGGAGTTATCTCGAGCAGCTTGACCGACTTGGTGCGACAACCCCCTCGGCCTGGTCGGGAGGCAGTGCATTTCCTTCATCGTCAAGTGAATTCAAAAGGGTCAAGGATTCCCATTATTCATTCTTTATCAACTGGCCGATGCCCTATGACCAGGCTCTTCGGCTGAGCACCAGAGAGAAGTCAAACAACCCGTTGACATCACTGTTACTACCCTGCAGGACTTTGGACCCATAACCGGCTGGGAGATTTCGACGAAACACGGGTTCGCCTGCCATCTGGTCATTTCGGCCCAGCGAGGAGCATCGTCAATAGAAACAAGAACAAGACACGGCAGGCGCCTCAAAGCCGTGGGAGGCTTGACCGACTATTTGATTTCAGCTTGACGAGACTCTGACGCAGGGGACTCACCCACGCCTTGTGCTGCTATGGACAGCGTGCTGAGGAACAACGTGAAGGGGCCCGTTGGGAGACGGGGACAGGGCGACGCTCCTATTCCTTCGCTAACCCCTCTCACTGGCCCTGAACTGTCTTCTGACCCGACTCAGCTCTCGCTGCACAGCGGCCCAAGGCGGGCGGCCAGTTGGGAGTCAACGACTACCACGCCTCACAGTAACGGAGCAGATGCACACGCGGCTCTTGCAGCGCGTTCCCAAACGTGTCCGTAACATAACTATCCGTCCCTCCAATCCAAGCGCCTCTGCGCAGTTGTAACCTCTGCCTTGCGCCTACGGCATCAACCAAGACTGGTGGCCTCCCGGCGTGGAGTTGGTGCTCAGGCGGCTGACTACAGGGCTGAAAGGCGATGGTGTCTCTTCCCGCGCGCAGGGACAGCCTTGACAGCTCTGCAGACTATTACCTGACTACCCAGGCCTCCGGTTCCCGCAGCAAATCCAAGACAACTTGACCGCCCGCAAGCAATCTCGACTCCCCTCGCAGATTTTACTCCGGGATACGAAGAACCGGGTAAGCCTGTAGCGCCGATCGTCTTTGCCCCCTTCACGCCCCCCTTCCATGGCGCGCACGCACGCGTGAGAAAGGGCCTCACTTGTTTAGTCGGGCCGCAAGGCGGACGCGTCCAGTTGGGTGAAAAAGAGAGGCGCATGGTCTGAGGCGAGTGAACCCAGCACAGAGCATTCTTGTCTTCCTCCTTGGCTGCCTCAAACCAGGACTTTGGTTTCGGCGGCTTATTTCTGGAGGAGAGGAATCCGGCGTCCATACTCTGTAGCGCGTCAAATTGCAGCACCGAACTGGACGCGCTACCGAACCCGTTGTCTTATCCTGCTCATTGTCCGCATCAAGGCACCACTCGCTCATCCAGCCAGGGCGAGAGGTCTCTTCACCGTTCTGCAGGGCACAGGATGGTAGCCCGGGCACCAGCTCTGTAGCCGATCTGATCCCGCCCGCGCCGTCGCGACGAGATGCCGCCGCTTGGCGCGGGCAGGGCCAGGGCGGCACCGATCCTGGCGCGGCCGGCCCCCTTGCAATACTTTGGCACGGTTTCGACGAGCCAAGTGCCCGGTCTGGTTCTCTAGAGCTAGCCTAGGGCGCGTTATAGAGAGACAAGTGCCGCGCTAAGCTTGGGGGAGGGGGGATGACTTGTGACACTTGGACGATCATTAGCGCAGCGGCACAGACGAGAGTCAGAGAGACACGGAGAGGGCACGGGGCGCTGGTGCTGAGTCGAGCGTCCGTGCCAGATGCCGTCGAATGGCAGCAGTCGGCCCCATCCGCCCGTTTGTTCGTTGCCCTTGCGTTGGGACCATCTGGGAGGGAGAGAAGAGGCGGGGACACAAAGCAAAGAGAAGAGCGAGCACGGGCCGGCAAACGGAGAAGGAGGAGAAGCATCTCGTCCTCTTGCCTCTCCCTTTTGGATCTGGTCTGACTAGGTGGTTTCGGTTGACACTGAAAGCAGCCGGGGGCAAAAGGGGGGTTGTTTTCTCTCCTACCCTCTTGCTGGCTTTGGAAGAGATAGGACGGTTGGTTGGCTGGTCGATATCGACAGAGAGAGAGCCATGACCAGACTGTGACACGAGCAGAGGGACGACGCTTTCCTTTTTGCTCCACACCGACGACGACGATCTCTTGAAGTAGAACAAGGGACAAGGCCAGGGGGGAGATGGTGAGAGTGAGTGCAAGGGGCGCAGGGCAAGTTGCCACCACCCGAATAGTCTGTGCCGCTACCGGCGCACGAACGAACAACTTTGTTTGCCTTCATGTCTCACTCTTTCCGCCATGGTGGTCTGTCGTTTGCTGAGGAAGGCTATCCGTACTGTACTGTACGAAGTAATCAGCCGAGGAGAGAGTGCAGCACCCAAGGGCAAGGGGAGCGATCCGACAGGCGGGCGGACGGGCAGCGGCATCGACTGCTCCCCTCCCTCTTCCTCCCGGGCAGAGATGCCGTGTGCTGTGCCGTGCAGCTGGTCCGCCCGAGGAATGCGCGTTTGCATGCGTACACGCTTACTGCACTTTGATGTGTACTCGGCGGGCTCGTGTTAGGATGCCGTCATGACACGGGCGCATCGTCGTCGTCCATGCAAACACGCACGCATCAACAAAGGCAACTTGCCACACGAGGAAACATGACATGATAAGGAGCCCCGTATTTCGCAGAAAGCATGGAACAAAAATACATGCGCCAGGATAAAGCATCAATGGGGACCCAGGCGGCAAAGGACGGGCGGCAAGACAACGACGAAGAACACGCATGAGATGCCACGCGAGCGGGTCATGCAACATTTGGATCCTTGTCCAAGCACGCCAAGCAAGCAGCATAATGGGCGGCGAGAAAGAGACACACAAAACCGCCTCTGCCGCAGCGTGGCGGGCGAAGTGAAAAAGAAGAAACAGACAGACAGATGGCATGACGGACGCATGGCCACCCGACCCGCCCCGTTTCATCACTACAGAGCATGAGCCTTCAGCCCTCTGTTTCCTTCTTCGCGGAATACGAGTGCGCCGACTGTGTTACACGCCCGGGCCGGCATGTCGCGCAATCAGGTCGAGCAATCAGGTCCAGGCAGACGAGACGAGACGAGCCGCGGGTCGGCGTGATTGATTGACGTTTTGACCCATCAAATTACTGTCTGCACCGTCCCGTCCTTTGTCTCGCACGCGAGCCGTTGCAGAGACAACCGAGTCGTCGAGTCCGAGGACGGCAATGGCAACCAACAAAGACATTGGGCTCCGTGCCGGGTACTGTAGGCAGAGACGGCCGCCGTCAGTGTCGAGACGCGCCGCTCGAGCCCCGTGGCAGCGACCGTGCATGGCATTGGGCAGGCGATAGAGGGCTGGATGGAAAAAGAAAAAGGGCAAGAAAAAAGCATGGCGCGTATGATTGTGGCTGTTGCCATAATTACAATGCTGGTGAGCTTGAGTTTGGAGACAGCAAACTCTCAACAAGAGAGAGAGAAAGAGGGCGCAGCCTGATGCTTTTTGGCGGGGCCTCCGGCTGCGACTTTGTTACTGTACTGAATGTAAAATACGTACCGTACGAAGACTGTTTCTGTACACTGTCCTATGTGCATTACTAAGACTCGCTTCACAAACGCTGCTGGCATTACGAGGCATCGACGCATGTCTGTCGCGTCGTCGCGTCAAGTGCCGAATGCATCCCTCCAACACAAAGATGCACTTGGGCACGGGATGCACCGAGGCCGGCCGGCATGCGCACGCGCTGACAATGGCAACGACGTGCCCGACTCGGAGAACCTCGGATGTGTCATCACCTTCCCCCCGCCCCCTTCGCTAATGCTCTTGTTGGCTCTCGCAGGGGGCAAGAGCCTGTCCTAGGCACAGTGTGCCGCTTGAGGCAACGGACACGGCCGAAGAAAATCCGAGGCACGCAATCCCACTTGTGCACAGTGCGTTTTTCACCTATAGCGACATCGCTTACTGTACCGCAAAGTTCAGCCGACTTTTCACTCTCTCTCGTGCGCACGTACTTTTGTACTTGGGAAGAGGCACGGCTGAAAATGACCGTTGATGACCTTTGACTGTCCTTGGCCGGTCGGTGCCAGCAGCGCCATTTGCGGCGTCCAACGACCAGGCCATTCTGTCAATCCTAGCAGCCGCTCATCTCGTCATGGGCAAGCAAGTACTACTGTACGATACGCGCAAGGAGCTGGTCGGGGGAGGCCGAGCTCCCTGCGCCGTCGTCATCCCAGCGGCAAGCCGGGTTCCTTTTCGCCTCCCTCCAAAAGGCGTTTCCCCACCTCGTGGATGCCATGCTGCTCTTTGCCTGTGCTATTGTGTGCGGTACGTACAGATTGACGCTTGCATTCCCCCCCCAGGGACTCCCCCAGGGACCAGCTTTCCATGCCTAGGGAATGACGCGCGGCTGACTCTTGTCATCTGTGTTAACCCGATGAAATGGCCTGGGCGAACTGGGAGTATCCCGACCCCACGCTCGTCACTGGTCAACGGGTGGTGTGCTGTCGTCCGCGTCCTGCATGGCGCTTCATCCCGTTCTGGCAACGGCCCTTCGATGCGAGCCCGATTGTCTTTTTCAGGCTCCGAGTGGTTGCTGCAGCAGCGTTCGCGCTCGCCTCGCTTTCTTGCTGCAAGCATCGCACATACATACGTATGTACATCCATCGTACCTGCACATGTGTAGGCAAGACGTCTGCACCAGCAGTGCACCAACAGAGGACAAAGACGGCGAGACGACGACTTGGATAAAGATTCTTGAGCGTATAGTACCGATCTTCCCTCCCATCTACTCTGTACTGTCCTGTACAGTACTAGACGGTACCTAGCCAGCCCCTCGCACCCTTTTGGGCATGACGCCTCCGTCTCGCCTGGATCGAAAAGACGTGCCCCTGTAAATCCTGTAAGTACTGGTGTACTGTACATGAATTCGCGCCTTCTGGGTGCCGAGGTTGGTCACCGTCCACGCCATCAAGAAAGATACAGGTACCTCGCGGCTGTTGATACGAGTTCGAGTTCTCGCCCACATGCTGCAATCATCCTCTTGGACAAGTGAGAGCGGACGCAGGACATTTTCACTGCTGATGAAATCGGCCCCTTGGTCGTCCGCGCAAATTGCCCAATTTGAAGCAGTGACAAAAGCAACCTGCCAAGGGGCCTGCAGGGCTCCAGTTTACTGGGGACCGCCGGAGTCTCCACTTGCGAGATTTGGAGGAAGCTTTGGCATGCAAGTTCCTGGTACGGAGTAGGCCGGGCCTCCTTTTCTTGGCGGCGGAGTGTCAGCGGTGCCTTGTGCCTCGCCTGGTTGAGACTCCAGGTGCGAGTACCTGCCTCGAGCCGGGTACTTGGCAGGGCCCGCAAGCTTGCAGGCAATTCCCGGTGGGGGCCTGTATCTCGCATTGCCTCGCAACCTGTCTGGCCGACGGCGAGTTGTGCACGGTACCAAAGGCAGCCAAAGTACTAGTGCTTGCCCTGCTAGGCTCCCGCTACCTTGGTGCTTGGTAGAGCACTGCTACCCTCTGCGCTGACAGGCACGGATTACCTGTCTTTTGGGTCGCCTTCGGCATGGCTGCCTGTACCCAGTACGACGAGCCCCGGTACCGCCCTGGCCAGGTCCGAGGTGTCGCGGGTCTCAGCCGCGCCGCCGCGACAAGTCCCGCTACCACTCGTGGCAGCATTGCCAGTGGAGTGGGTGAGTGCCGCTACCAGGTCCCAGCTATCGGTTCCGTTGAGCACATGCATGGACGGACGGCTTTGCACAGAGCAGGCACAATGCGGTGTACATACAGTACGGAGTACATGCCCGAAACCGTCCAGCTGGGCGGTGCTGGTACCGACCCGATGCCCTTGGCTGGTACAGGCCTGGCAAGGGGGAGGGGCGGCACACCACCGAAATCTTCCGCCCCCCGAACGGGACCCCCCCAAATCTTCCCCTAGCTCATCGTCTCCTCCGGCAACCAGCAATTCATGCTACTACTTTACAGGGGGCCGGGTCTCTTTTCCTCCTCCCAAGGCCCTGTCGAATCCACCGTAAGTACACCCTTCTGATCGCTCCCGGCCTGTGTGCCATTTTGTACAAGTCCGCCCGTCGGTGCTTTCTCGCACGGTACCTCCGGTACATGACCAACAGGCGCGGTACGAGTGGCGTGCATTTCTCTCTCTCCGCTACCTGCGACACACGCTCCCCCCTCTCCGCCAGAGAGCAACTCAGCACCCTCCTCCGGTGACTCGCACCACCACCACCAGCAACTCTGCCGTCGACTGGACTTCTGGGGCATTCCCCACGTCCCTGGCCGACCCTGTATCGCTCTCCCTCTCATTCCCCATCCCCCCCCCCTCTCCTCTCCCCCCCCATCCAACCGCCCTCGATTCCCTCCGATTTGGGTCTCGCCTCCTTTCCTTTTCCTTTCGCCTTTATCCACGCGTGACCCTCGCGACTTGCTGCTTCTGTCGTCTGCCATCTCCGACGACGTCAGCCCCGGCTCATTCGTTGACGACAGACCGGCAACATCCACTGCGGCAAGCGTTATTTGTCGTCTCCCCTATTCCATTACACATCCCGGTACCGACCGACCGACGGAGACGAGGTACCTGATCAGCGGGCTCGAGCTACCACCACCACCGCCGCCGCCTGCACCCCTGGTCGCCAGCCAAGAGCTCTCTCGCCCTCCTCCCCTTTTCCATTTCACTTTTCCTCCTGTCGCAATATCAACTCGATCCTCTCTCGTCATCACGCTCACTCCAGTCACTCCTTCTCCCCTCTCACTGCTCCCTCTCTCTGTGTAAACTTCGACCTCGGCCTTCCCGACCTGTCCTTCTCGGCGCCAGTTGCGCAACGCCCCTCTCCTTTCATCCCGACCAATCTCGTCCCTCGCCCCGACGCACCTGACCGGCCTAGATGCACCAGTAACTCGCCTGCAGCTTCTTGCACGGAGCTCGCTCGTTTTCCCGGCTTCCTCAGCAGGCACTGCGCGCCCCAGCCTCTGCCTCTGCCCGACAGGGCCGAGTCCTGACGGCGAATTCAGTCCCACGGCCCCCGTCAGGAGAACGAGCTGTCGGCGTCGCCCGTCGGCAACATGACAGTCGCCGGTGATTTGACGCCGCGCGGGCAGCCCCACGGACACATGGCTCTCGAGGACCGCTTCGAAGTGCTCAAGGAGATTGGCGACGGGAGCTTTGGCAGCGTCGTGCTTGCCAGAGTAAGGACGGCTGGTGCCAATGTCGCCCGCCGAGGCTCGGTGGTGAGTTGTTCCTGCTCCTGCATCTCCTGACGTCTTGTAACCTCGGAAACCTCAGGTCGCTATCAAGTCGATGAAGAAGACGTTTGACTCCCTTGCGCCGTGCCTGGAGCTGCGCGAAGTCGTCTTCCTGCGCACATTGCCCCAGCACCCTCACCTCGTCCCCGCCCTGGACATCTTCCTGGACCCGTACAGCAAAAAGCTGCACATCTGTATGGAGTACATGGAGGGCAACCTTTACCAGTTGATGAAGGCTAGGGATCACAAGTGCCTCGACAACTCCAGCGTCAAGAGCATCCTCTTTCAGATTATGCAGGGCCTTGAGCACATCCACTCGCACCATTTCTTCCACCGTGACATCAAACCAGAAAACATCCTCGTCTCGACCTCGGCGCTTCATGAAGCCTCAAACTCCTTTCGCCGCTACTCCTCCCTCGTCACCCCGCCGTCGACACCCCCGACCTACACCATCAAGCTAGCCGACTTTGGCCTCGCCCGCGAAACCCATTCCAAGCTGCCCTACACGACTTATGTCTCGACGAGATGGTACCGCGCGCCCGAGGTGCTACTGCGGGCCGGCGAGTACTCGGCGCCTGTCGACATCTGGGCCGTCGGCGCTATGGCCGTGGAGGTAGCCACCCTGAAGCCGTTGTTCCCTGGGGGAAACGAGGTGGACCAGGTTTGGCGCGTCTGCGAAATCATGGGCAGCCCCGGAAACTGGTACAACAAGGCCGGAGTCCGCGTCGGGGGCGGAGACTGGAGAGAAGGCACTCGGCTGGCTGGGAAGCTTGGTTTCTCGTTTCCCAAGATGGCGCCTCATGCCATGGACACCATCCTGCAGACTCCCCAGTGGCCCCCTGCCCTCAGCAGCTTCGTCACCTGGTGTCTGATGTGGGACCCCAAGAATCGACCTACCTCGTCCCAGGCCCTCGATCACGACTATTTCCTGGACGCCATGGATCCGCTGACGCCCAGGTCTTCAACCTCCAAGATGCTTGGACGCAAGCAGTCAGACTTGAGCCGCTCCAGCAAGGACACGCACGGCGCTACGCAGGGCTCTTCAAAGCCATCATGGTTCCGCAAGTCCCTTATTGGCCGTGGCGAGCCGCCCGAGCTGGCCGCGGCCCACACACACGCCAAGGACAACGCAGCCCCGCGGCCGCCCGCGATGCACGCCACGGGGACCCCCGACCTCGTCTCTGGGAAGCTGCGCGCCGGCGCCGGCAAGCGGAGCACATGGACCAACGGACTGTCCAACGTGGCCCCAATGCCCATCCTGCCCACGATTCGGCCCATCTCGCCGCTATCGGATGCTGTAACTGCCCGTGCCAACAATGGACAACCCGAAGCTAGCGCTAATGGCCGTCATCAGGAAAAGTCGAAGAAGATTGGCAGGCAGCTGTCCGTGGCCTCGAGCACCAACAACTACGCCGAGATTCATCGCCAGCAGGCCGAGCGCGCTCTCAACGGCAACACGGGGCTCGCGTCACCGCCCAACGGCCACAAGGAGAGCTTCTTTTCCCACTTACGCAAGCGGGCCAGACGCTTTTCGGGTCGCCACCAAACACCCGCCTCACCCTCGTACGAAGACATGGAAGCCCAGATCGGCTGCGGGCCTTGGGCTAGCAATCGGTCTTCGATGGTGGTTGACCAGCAGCAGAGCCCTGCCCCCAAGCCCGAGGCCTATGAATCTCTGGACAGGGCCCTCCGCGATGTCCAGCATCCCGTGGATCCACGATCTCCCGTACCCCCAACGCATCAGTCCACGTCTAGCAGCAAGCTGAAGCGGCACCACTCGTTGCCCCAACAGCAGGCCCGGTCGGTCGACAACCTCATTGGAGTTGCTCGAGGGGGGCCCATCTCGAGCCGCACACGACGCGCCCAGGCCGCTCAAGGCGTGCAGCAGTACGAAGCCCCGGCGGAAGAAGACGAGTTTCTGGACGAGGCCTTGTCGACGACGCAACGAACCATGAATCGGATGGATGGGACCAGCAAGCCGCTGCGGCAATCGACGAGTAACCTGGGTCTGACCAGCTCTCATCCTTACCCCAGCCCGTCGCCATCGACGAGCGGCACCCAGGTGCTGTACGGAGACGGCCAAGAGGCACTGACGCCGAAACCGCTCGATCTCGGCAAGAAGTCGGACCGCCAGTACAAGTGGCCGACGCCGCCGTACGAGGGAAGCGAGTGGGGTGCTTCAGCGTCCGCGAGCATCTGGGCCGCTAGCAACAGATTCTAGGTGAAGATTGCCCGGGTCCCGGGCGCAGAACTGGGGATATGACCCCAATCGAGAACAGGGGCTACATGAGACCCTGTCGGCTGTTCGTTTCGCATATAAACGGCGTTTTTTTTCGGTGTCGGAGGGCATCACATTGCTCTCATTATATTAACACAAAGTGGCGGCTTGATTTCCCCGACTTTTCTGCTCCGCTATACGATCTTTTGTTTTATTCCCCCTTCGATTCTACGGCGCCGCTTGTGCGCGGTCTGTTTTCTTCACTTGGCCTCGGCACGTTTTAGCTCGACACATGATATTGTGTATTGGATCTTTGTCTCTGCTCGAGACGTTAAACAACCAGAGCACAAATACCCCTACCACATAGACTGAGAAAGGGCGAGCCTGACTCTAGCCCCCCCTGCTACTGTTTCGGCTTGCTTGAAGCAGAAAGGCCGGCAACGTGTTTTTCCTTTGTCCAACCAAACAGAAAACCCTTGAGAGAGAAAGAGGCGGGAGCGGCGTATGGGGCGTTGCCGCGGGTGGCTGGGCAGCCGGACATGAGTTGCCCGCAGCAATATACCTTCAATGGCGAGACCCAGTTGTTTAGATGGAGACGGTGGAACCGGGTTGGGCGCAACAATCGGACGTCTGATTTACGCATCTGATGTAAAATTCCTATCTATATACATTACATTGATTCCCGGCCAACAGTGGGATGCAGTGCCCATGGTGCCCGGGCGAGCTTCCGCTTCGAGACGGCCACGGGCAGCTCATGTCGGGGCTTCGTGATTGACTTTGCGATATTAGGGATAATCTGCAATACGGACGGACCAGGGTCGAGGCAGGCATGATGTGCTTTGCGCTCCCATCGGACAGGCATCACATGACCTCGACAGGGCTTTTGCTACCCTGTTGATGGAAGGGTCTCGGGCTCGGGTAGGCCGTACCGGGAGGGAGGCGTCGATGCACGCACGGACCCGTGTATCGAATACTTGGTGTCGATCCGGACCCTGTAGCACCCTGTAGCACCCTGTAGCACCCAGAACTCGTATGTACTGTACATAAGTTACTGTACACCTAACGAGAGAGAGAGCGTTAACCGGGGCGATAGCATCTGGCAGGCAGCAGGAACATGCTTCTTGTGCGTGCACCTGTTTACTACCTAACCATTAGTTAACTTAACCTTCCTACTTCCACCCGCTTCTTCGCTTCCTTGGAGGGCCTTGTCCATGCCCACCCCCCCCCCCGTTTGGCCCTTTCTTACATGCTTCTTCCCCCTCTCTGGCGTGTGGCTCGTCAACGAAGAGTGTGACGGCGGCGGGGTAAGATTGATCAAGGCAGCTGCCTCTCGCGCTCTCACCTTTTTCTCCCACCTCCCTCGCTCCCTCTCTTGGTGCCCAGCGAAAAAGAGGGAGATTAGAAACTGTTGCCAATTTACCTTCCCGTCATCATCGCATCCGATCCACACACGGCAACGCTCAACCCTTGTCTGAGCCGCCCGCCCGCCCGTGCGGCCTGCGAGCTTCTTTTGACCCGGTGCCCACGCAGCTCCGGAGAGAAGCGTCTTTTCATTCGCTCGCCGACGGCGAATTGCACACGCCCCCCTGACCGTCCCCGTTGCCCGCTCCTCTGGCCCGTTGTCACGCGCATGAGAAACGGTACTCTCCGGGGGGAGGAAAGCATGCCGACAGCCTCGGGACTGGGCATGACTCAGGACGACGACCGCTCACCAAGCTCCGGCAACTGAGGGCCGCGCGCGCGCACAAAGGCACAGACAGGCGAGACCGGTGAAAAGGGGGAGGCGGGAGGGAGGTTCAGGGAAACAAGGGCCGTTTGCCGCGAGGGGGGGCCTTTGCGCGCTATGCAGGCTAGCAAAAACGGCGGCGGCGACGGCGCCATGAGCCTCAACTTGCCGCTGCGCACCAGCACCAGCAGCTCCGGCGGCCGGCGCAACCAGGAGAGCCGCAACTACTTTACCAGCTACACGCCGCCCAGCTCGACCGAGGCCATCAATGAGCCCGTCCGGGAGCCGGCCCGCGAGCAGCCGCCCGATCGTTTGATCGTGGGCGTCGACTTTGGCACCACCTTTTCTGGGTGAGTTTTGCGTGAGCTTTGACTATGGCTGTCGGTAGAAAACGCTCAAGCAAAAGGAGGCGAATGAGCTCATCCTTTGATGCAGTGGTGGCAGACGGTGAAGCACACCATGCCCCTTTCTCTACGCCTCCGCGTGAGCTGTCATGTGAACACACTTCTTCCATGAGACCAAGACTTTGCATCATAATGAACCACACAGCTGACGACTCGCAGTGTCGCTGCCGTCTACACGTCCACCCCGGACGATGTTGAAATCATCAAGACCTGGCCCGGAGGCAACGGCATCACCTCGGACAAGGTCCCGACGGAGATCTCTTATGACAGTCCACCCAATGCGTCTCCGGGGTCTGATACCATTACCAAATGGGGGTTCCAGTTCAAACCCGAGGAGTCGCGCCTCCGCTGCATCAAGCTGTTCCTCGACCGATCGCAGAAGTTGCCCTTCTACGTCAGCCATCACGACACGGCTGCCCAGCTGAAGCGCTTCAACAAAAACGTCGTCGACGCCGTCGGCGACTATTTGACCCAGATATACAAGCACACCATGGACACGCTGACGCGCCGCTATGGCGAGTCATTTATGGCTTCCACAAAGGTCGAGTTCGTCCTGACCTGTCCGGCCGTCTGGAGCGACGCAGCCAAGAACACGACGCTGCTGGCCGCCGAGCGGGCCGGCATGGGTGATCACGACGATATCCAGATGATCAGCGAGCCCGAGGCGGCTGCCGTGTACACGCTCAAGGCCATTCAGCCCAATCATCTCAACGTGGGCGACAACTTTATCGTGTGCGACGCCGGCGGAGGCACTGTCGAGTGAGTTTCTCTCCCTCTGTACAGGGACCCCGGCCGAAAGCAGAGCAGGATACTGATAACGCGACAGCCTCATCGCCTACAAGATCATGTCTCTGAAGCCCCTGCGCGTCGAGGAATCCGCCGTTGGCACCGGGGGGCTGTGCGGGAGCGCCTTTCTTAACTATCGCTTCGAAGAGCATGTCCGGAACAGACTGGGCGCCGCCCGCTTTGACGAGATGAAGCTGAGAAAGGGCAAGACGTGGCAGATGGGCCTCAAGTACTTTGAAGAGTTTGTCAAGAGGAACTTTAACGAGGACGAACATCAGGAGGTCAACGTGCCGTACGTCAACCCCCTACAACACCATTCATCTTGCGGGCCTTGACCCCCTGACTGTCAACAGCTTCCCCGGCCTGCCAGACGACGAGCATGCCGGTCTCGACTCGGGGTTCCTCGTCATGAGCGCGGAGCAAATCAAGGAAATCTTTGAGCCCGTGGTAAAGGAGGTGTGCGACCTGGTCCTCGGGCAGGTCGAGGGCATCCGGGTCAAGGGCGGCATCGTCTCGGGCATCGTCCTGGTCGGGGGCTTCGGCCAGAGTGACTTTCTCTACCGGCGGCTCAAGTCGCACTTTACCAGCGCCGCGCCGCCCCCTTACAGCGAGCGGCCGACGCACGCCAACGCGAGCGCGACGGAGGAGAACGGGTCCATCGAGGTGATGCAGCCCGTATACGCGTGGACGGCCGTGGTGCGCGGGGCGGTGCTGCGCGGGCTCGAGGGCAGCATGGTCATCTCGCGTAAGTCGAGGATGCACTACGGCACGTCGTACGCCACCGTGTACGACGAGGACAAGCACTCGGTCAGCGAGCGGTACTGGTCGCCGCTGTGGGAGCGGTGGATGGTTTCGGACCGGATGCAGTGGCACATTGCCAAGGTACGTTTTTCATGCTTGTGCGCTTCTGTGTCTCCGTACGCAGCGCCCTTCTGACGTTGCGATGTTAACTTGGCCAGGCCGAGGCCCTCTCTCCGCTGGCACCCATTGCCTTTCATTACACGCGCAACTTCCGGCCGGGCCAGTCGCTCATTGTGACCGACGACCTGATCGCGTGCGACGCCGACGAGCCGCCGGCGGCGTGGTCGCGCGGCCTCATCAGCGTCTGCACGCTGACGACGGATCTCAGCGCCGTGCCGCGGAGCCTGTTTACGCGCCTGACGACGACGCGCGGCGTCGAGTTTGACAACCTCGACTTTACCCTCGAGATGATTGTCGACAGCGCGGGGCTGGGGTTCGAGCTCAAGGTGGACGGGGTGCGCTACGGCCGGGTCGAGGCCGACTTTCACTGATGGAGACGGACGCCTTGCCGTCGTGTCACCAGCCGCGGCCGAGGCCACGTTTCAGGGTGCGGCAGCAGGTTCTGTGCATTAAAGGAGATGGGAAGCGTGTCGAGGGTGAATGAAGGAAGCCGGGGCACTACGACTTTGAGATATCATGCGGATGAAGACTGGGTTGAATGTGGGAGCATACGAGGTTCGTTGTTCTATCTCTACTAGCCCCCTCTGTGCAGGGTTACGTTATGTTTCCGTCTCACGTGGCGCCTGGCCTTGAGTATGTTTGCCTTGTCTCGGATGCTGGTGATCTGCAGACTGTAGGAAGTAGGGCCGCCCGCACCAATGCATACAAAAAAGGGAGGTTATCATGACATGAGATACAGTTTCTTGTATGCCCTGGGGGCGTTGAGACGTGTGTGTGTCCTTGGAGAAGGCCCTCGCCATATAAATCTCGCTGTACCTGTCCTTCTAGGACTTCTGCCTCCGCCTTATCTCAATTTACAGTCATCTTCTCCCACTCGGCCAGCACAAGCGACTCGGGCTCGGCATTTTGCGAGAGCTCTTGCGAGAGCTGTTTTGAGGGCATCGCGACGACGAATTCGTCTTGTGTGAGGTCAACAGGCTCAGGCTGGTGTTATGGCCTGCCAGCCCTGCCCGCAGCCTCGTCACCTGATGAGGCACGGGCAGGCTGAGGGTCACCGGCAAGCTCATCATCAGAGAGTGGCGTGCGGGTATATCTTTGTTGGCGTGCCCGTTGCATGCGTGTGCCCGGGTCATACGTATCGCCGCGTTGCTGAAGGTATCGTAGCCCTCGTCGAGTCACCGTAGCGGCAAACTCTTGGGCGGTTGTCAACGCTGGCGGCGGGAGCGGCGTCATAGACGGAGCCGTGCGCTTGATGGCAAAGGCGAGGGGGAAAAGGGAGAAATCGTCGGCCGATGAACCATCAGCTGGAGCCTCCTAAAGCTTCTTCTGGGCCAACCCTGTATGTTTGACGGGGGTAAGTCTAGAGACAGCTCGTCTGCGGATGTCTCGGACTCGTGAGAAGCGCCGTTGGTCGCCGTTGCGTGGCTGGTGACGACTGTCTCGTCGGCGGAGGTATCGCTAGTCAGGTTCACCCCCGCGCCAGTGGCTAGGGATAGAGCGCCTTCATCGTCGGCCACTCGTTGGTTTGCTTGTTGAATCGCGTCATCTCTGTCGCTGAGCCCAGTCGCTGCCATTTCGGTACGCCGCTGCCCCTTGGCGAAAGTCATCGGCGCTCCCCTTGGCGGAAGTCATTGGCACTGCCAGTCAGACTCCAAGACTTCACATGAGTCATGGCAAATCCGGATCGTCCTCCTGGAGTCGTAGGCGGGATCGGGGGACTCGCATACGTTTCAAGATGGCCGCCATAATAGAGGCAACCGAGGGTATAAGCTCGATTGTCATGGCAAGTAACAGAGCTGTTGAGCGCTAACAGGGAGTCTATGCCTCTTGCCCCCAAGGCCATGCCGTAAGACAGCTGCCGGTTGGCCACAGCGATCGTTCTATTGGGTCCCTTTACTTCAAGGAAGAAGTTGGGCAGAACAGGCAAATCCCGCTGAGTGGACGGCAAGACTTGACCGCCCAAGGCTTTGCGAATCCGTGGATCCAGCTGCTCTTATGGACAGAGATCTGTCTTCGCGCCCGGCTTCGAGGGTGCGGCTGATGGCGAGTGGCCTGGGGGGTTCTCCTGTCTCGCGAGCTCTTGCAGCGCATTGCGCGTAAGAGAAATAATCATCATGTGACAGGTTGTCCCAGAAGCGCGCAGGTGGGAAGGCTGGGTGATGGACTCTGCGCCTCTTGGACGGGCTGTGGTCGTCTACCAGAGACATCATGAGAGACATGATGCGGCGTTTGCGCGGGCCAGGAGCTGGCCGTGGGTCTTCGGAGCCCTGGGGGGGAGACATGCTTGGGCGCGGGGCCATGGCCGGTTTGTCTGGTTGCAGGAGGAGATCGTCGATCTTTTATGAGGACGAAGCGGCAAGGTGGTGGAGGTTGCCGACGCCATGTCACTGCTGGCCGCTGATTGGCCAGCCAGGTCGACGAGCTGCCGCGCGCTTGTTGCTGCAGACGGATACAGCCGCCGGGTCTTCCAAACGCCGAACCACCCAAAAGGGAAGCTTCCAAACGCCGAACCACACAAACGGGAAGCTTCCAAACGCCGACCACGCAAAGGGGGGCTTCCAAACGCAGCCTCACACAAAAGCCACAGCCTACAATTACAGCACAATCGATGGCCTTGGGCTCGAGACACGCCGGCCAGTGGCATCACGCAACCCACATTGGGATAAAAAGGGATGCAATTTTTTGCCTTGGTAAACGAGGCAAAGGCAAGCAAGGGGCTTCGTTCGAGGCAACCCTGAATCTATCCAAGCCTGGACCCGGGTATTCTTGCTATAGAGCTATAGTATGTCGGCGCAGTCCGGCTTCAAGGACCGGCATCAAAGATGATGACGGGATAAAGAGAGTGAGAGAGGAAAAGAGTGCCCTTCTCGGCCGGAGCGACTACGCCCTCGGGCTGGTAGCTCACTGGGATTGTGCAGTAACCTTAGCTGTTGCCGCACTTGTCAAGTCTGTTCTGTTCTGGACAGGATGACTGCACCCTGATGGGCATTCGCGGCTCACATGCAAGACCCTAGTCGATGCGAGTCATGCCCCCCCCCGTTGCCATTTGCCACTACGTATTGGGCTAAACATGCGGCCTCTCCAGACGTATTCCACGTCGGAATTAGACACATAAGCATATATCCAGCATGTCTCTATCTCCTGTTCCATCGCGGGGACGAGGCAGCGCAGGGGCTGAGTTCGTCTTGCCGTCTTGTTGCATGGAGAGCACTGCACACTCCTCCACAAAGCACAAGGGAATGAATGTTGATCACCGAGACCATGACGCGCAGAACTGGGGCTGGCAGGATCCGCCGCTTCCCATATTACGTTCGTCTTACAGTAGTCTCTATACTTTCCGTACACCGTCGTAGAGGTGTGTGCCCCTTTCCCATGCCATAATGGGGCTGTTATACGTGTGGGGGCTGAGATGCGTGAATGGCTGGGACCATTACAGTGGGTGTATGTGAAGCCCATGGCGTGATAGTAAGTTTTAGGTTTATGTCCTGTCTTTGTAAAGAATCGCCATTCATCTCGTCGGAAGGTATGGCAACTCGGATGGCTCATCGAAGCCGGCAGCCCACCAGGCACAGCCAGGGGGATCCCGGCAAGTCTTGTTTAGCGCAGCCGTTTTCGTCTGACAGCTATTAGAGCATAGCTTCCATGAGCGTCGTCCTGGCCCAGGCTTGGCGCCTCTTCGTTTGATGCATCGGTTTGGACTTTGGACACTGCCAGCAGTTGGGGTCACGCGCGGCCGAGTCCATCGCCCGTCGCGACCGGTGTCCACTACGGCGCAGGAGCTCTATGTTTCCGTGTCCGTCATGTCATTTCGATGCCGGATATGGTTTTGCCCCTTGGTTGAACCAGACATGCCTTTATTCGCAGCCTGCGGTATGTAATTGAAAGTGTCCCGCAATCACGAACGATGCCCGCGTCGTGCAATCTTGCCTGCGGCTAAATTGCCCGACTACAAGAAGGGAAATGACCTGGCTGGCACCTCAAATTGCATCCACCAAACCGAGACGGACGGGCTTGAGTACAGTGTGTACGCACATCATGTGCCATGCTATATACTTATACACAAACCACGCCCGGGGCCATTCTCTTGGCATCTCAAGAATCAAGGAAAAGTCCGCCTCCATCACGCATCTCAATTCTTCAACTTGATGGTAACAGTAACCGTACCGATGGCGCCGCTCTGCAAGCTCATGGGTCCCGTTTTGACAAGATACGGAGACGTGTACTGGTCATACTGTTGGATGCTGAACTCGTTGGATTTCGACCCCCAAGGACAGCTCCAGTAGATGCGGCAGATTTTGGTTTCGCCATCGTAGAGGTCGAAGCCACCCTCGGTGCCCGAGGCCGAGTCCGACCTTCCGCACGAGTGAACGTAGCTCTCGCTTCCAAAGGGGATGCCGATTTGGTTGACCTCTGCCGACGACATATCAGCGTCCATGTTGTCCCCTCTATAGAATTTCCCCCTGGAGACAATGTTAGAGTGCGCTCAAACAAGAGACGTGTAGATGGTGACTTGCCAGTTGAGTGACGAGTTTTGGACGCGGATTTCGGTGTTGAGGACGTTGATGATGGCAACGATGATCCATTGTGCGTAGGCCATGGCCGATGATTTGAGTTGCTGGTGTTTTCTGGTAGAGGAAGGGGGGGGGGGAAAGTATGATGAGCTTTGGCAACGGTTCAAGAAGGCCTCTGCAGATGGGGAATTGTTTCAAGTCAGGATCGGTGGCGGCGAATTCTTTCAACACAAGGAGGTGGACTGGTAGATTTATATGTGTTTTCAACTCTCTTGGGAAATCAAGTATCGTAATGACAAAATTTAGCCATAAAGCACACGCAGCCATCACTGATCCGGTGAAGACGGCACACGAGCATGTGTGCATGGCCGTACCCACCGGCCGCCCGGGGGCCCGGGGGTTCGGCACCGGCACCGGCACCGGCACCGACTGCGCCACCGGACCCGGCTCCGCTTTCCACATACGTAAATATGAGTTATGCCGCGTGATCACGGAGTACTCCGTATGTGCAAGCCGCAATTACTTATAGTCGTTCCTTTCCGCGCACATATAGGGAGGGGAAAGGGCAACGGCGTGCCGGGCTTCACACGGGGTCGAGAGGAGCAGTCGCCCAATCAGGCTTGCGTGGGGAGTCCAAGGGGGAATGCGCCCACTCGACGATTCCGCCTCCCCTATCTGGTTCCGAGTACCGAGTGCTCCGCAGATGACAATAGTTGTCTCTTTTATTTGCCTCAGGAGAATGTGTCGGCCGGATACGCGGCACCTCCCCGGCCGGCACCCACGCTCAAACCCGAGTGCTGGATAGATGTCTCCTCTCACCATGTTCGGTTGCCGTCAACCACAAACGCCTACGCGACCAGCACCTGGATCCGTCTGCCAACTCTCGCTACGCCGGAAACCGGAGTCTTCCCCGCAACTCGTAACCGGCCCTTGCCCCAAGACGGGGGATAGTTGGACGGCCATATAGCTGTGAGTATGGCGAGAGCAAGAGCTGAGCTCCAGCTCTACGATAAGTATCCAGAAAGACGCCCTCATTAGCTTAAACAGTTTCAATCAACTCTCTCTTTGCCGCACACAATACCCAACGCTGCCATCTTTATACTTTATGCTCTCCCGAGTTCCTAGTAACAAGCCCATTCAGACTGCCACCACAAGGCTACCATCCAACGTGGCCCGCACGATGAAGCGTAATCGTGGGCCATTTGCGTTGTTCAAGGGCCTGGCACCGGTTATCCTTGGTCGGCTCGCAGCAGCCGTGGAGCAGGTTCCGTACACGGACGGCCTTGGCCAAGGACAAGGGTAATTAGCAACTCCTTGGATATCTCGTGAACGCGCTCGCCGATTGCAGTTTCATGGTTTCTGACGCTCTTTGGTACCATGCAGTTTCAACACCTATCTCCAGACGGGCCGCTTGCACAACGCCGTGGGCATCACGACGCATGATGATCGGGAAGCGGACCCTTCGGCCAACCAGGCCGAGGTGACGTACACGGCCGTCAAAATCACCGACTACAAGTGAACATCTCCTTGTTGACTGCCACTGCAGTGGATGCTGACTCTGCCCCGTCTAGGGATCTCGTCCAGTCCCTCGACGTCACTGCTGGTGCAACCATTTCCAAGCTCGGCACCGAGGCGAGCGTCAACGCCCGGTTCTTCGACCGGGAGGAGGCACGTGTTTTCCCACGCCGCTTTATTGATGCCTTGATACTAACCTTGCTCCTAGTTCGAGTCCAGCTTCTTGACGTACCTGGTCAAGGTCGACGTTCGACGGCAGCCGAGCGCCAAGCTGAAGTATGCCTTTAACTGGGCCGCTCCTCAAGACGCCCGGGAGACGTATGGCAACCGTTTCATCAGTGGTAATGCTCCGCGGCTTTTCTCTAAACGTAGGCAGACCTGGCCGCTGACGGCAGGGCTTCAGACTTTGTAAGGGGCGGCGCCCTCTTTGCTCGCGTGTCCATCATCACCAAAGACGCCACCAAGCATCAGGAGGTTGAGCAATCGTAGGTCTCTCCTAAATATGCACCACGTCTCTTCTGCTAACGACAGGTTTCCACCCGCAGAGCCTCGGTTGCCTTCACCGTCTTCGGCGCCGACACCAAGGTCACGAGCTCGATCAAGACGAGCATCGAGTCCATGAAGAAACACTCGGAGATACGCATCTACCTCCACTACGTCGGCGCGCCTCCCGAGTATCAGGCCACAAACGGGTCGGACAATTCGTACGACGACGAGCTGCTCCAGCTCAAGGACGCGGCGGATAGGTTCCTCGCCGAGGCGCAGAGGCACGAGTGGATGCGATTGTGAGTTGTGAGCTTGCCGTCGATGAGCGTCGGATAGAGATTTGACAGTGAGACCCGGTCCAAGTGCGATCCTCGAGAGATATGCGAACGTTCCTGGGTTCAACGGTCAGTTTACGCCGCTGGATTACTCCGAGGCAACAGACAGGGTAAGCACGCGCGTCTCAAGCAGCAATCCATAACCAACACGGCAATCTAGAGCTGGGCTTTCCTGAACGACTTCTCCAAACATCTCGGAATCCAGAACATCATTCGTAAGAGTATGGCGCCCTGCTCTCGTCCCCAAAGCGGCGCCATGCATGGGCCCTAACCTTGTCGCAGTCGCTCCATCGCGTTATATCGGCGGAAGGGGGCAAAGAGACAAGCTGGACGATCGTTCAAGCGACATTCTTGCAGGATATAGAAGCTGGGTAAGGGGATGCAAGCCCACGGGCATCGTCAGACACAAGGGGCTCTACTGACGGCGACAGGTTGCCAACGTCAGCGCACATCCTGACAAGGCCAGGCAAGGGCCGCCATACGCCGATCCGTCCGTGTTCCGTGGGCAAGTCCTGGTCAGCCACGTCTCGACACTTGTCCAGCACTGGGGGTTGGTACTGACTTGGGACTCTTCAGCTTGCAGTCCAGACGACGCCCTACATTGCTCAGCGCTTGCGGCTGGCGGATGGCGGCAGCACCGATTGTAAGAAGAAGCTCGTCTCCCGTCCTTGCGTCTCTATCGTCTATAAGCCGGTGCTGATCCGCAACCCAGTCATCGACAAGAAGCTGCACCCCGGGGCCAGGAAGCTGTTCGGCGTCAAGGCGTACGACCTCGACGGCGTTCCCGGCACGACGAAGCTCGTCTTCGCCAAGAAATGGGGCGAGGACAAGTACATATGCCTGGCTGGGCGGTCGGCGCCGCCGGGCTACGACGTGGTGAGCCAGCTGTGGGTTTTCAAAGAGCCCGTCCGGGGCGTCGTCAACGAGACGATCCAGGTCGTGGCGATACCTCAGCTGGCGAGCATCGAGCTCCGGCCGAGCCCCGAGGTGCCGAACGCCCCCGACCGGCGGGCGACGAGGTTCCTGAGACGCCAGGCACTGGACCTCTTCCGCTTCTACGTCATGGCCGGCTAGGCCAGCAACTGGAGTGTGACGCTATTCGCCATTGAGCCCCGAGCGTCGTTGAATCAAGTCGATTTCGCTCTTGTACCGGTTGGTTCATCTTTATCTTTGGAAGGGGCCTTTTATTCTCGTCTGCTATGAGTATCGACATGGTCCAGCCAGGCATTCGGAGCCGTTCAGGTCCAGTGGGACTCGGACGGGACACACACACTCACATGTATATACACTCACATGTATATACACTCACATGTATATACACTCACATGTATATACACTCACATATATACACACTCACATGTATATACACTCACATGTATATACACTCACATATATATACACTCACATATATACACACTCACATATATAAATATACACCCAGAGAGGCACAACAGGGGGGGACTAGAGAAGCATCTGCCGAGGTCTGAAGCAGCGTGGAATCTCATGTCCAGGACAGACTGACGGTGAACCGTGTCCGAGTGCCAAGGAACCAGAGGCCATGCCGTGTAACAACAGGTATATAAAAGCCAATTACTTACATGCAGTGTTATTATTATCAGCAACTGGCCCCGGTAACCGGGACCGACGGATGCCTCCTTTTCCCACCACAACAGGGGACGGGTATCGTCTTGATTGGCTGTGCGCACCTGTAGATATAGAGAGGGATAGCCAGGAGGCTCGCTGGCGAGAGCCCGGCGGGGCCCCTGCAAATCCGCTAAAAGCCCGCCCGAACCCTGCATCTCGAGCCCGCTAGAAATTTCGGCTTTCCTCTCGTCCTCGTCCTCGTCCTCGTGCTTCCCTCCTCCTCTCTCTCTGGCCCCCCCCTCTCTCTCTGGCCCTCTCTCTCACTCTCTACCCCCTCTCTCTCTCGCAATGGGCGGCCAGCTTCCTACCAGCGGCGACAGGGCGGCGGCGGCGGCGGCGGCACGCATCCACACTCTCGTCGACTGGGCCACGTCGCACGGCGCTACCCTCCACCCGTCCGTCGACGTCTACCACGACGCCCGCACCGGCCTCTCGTTCCGTGCCCTCGCACCGCTGCGGCCCTACGAGCCCGTCGTCCGCCTGCCGACGGCCCTCGCCCTCTCCTACCTCAATGCCCTCGCCCATCCCCGGCCCCTGCCCGCGGCCTTCCTGGCTGCCGCGCCGCCTCACGTCGTCGGCCGCGTCTTTCTCGTCAACGAGTACCTCCGTCGCCGGGATTCCTTTTGGTGGCCCTACATCCAGGCGCTGCCTCAGCCGCCGGAGCCCGAGACGTGGGCATTGGCCCCCTTCTGGCCCCCCGAGGAGGCCGAGCTGCTCGAGGGCACCAATGTCGAGGTCGGCATGGACAAGATCAAGGACGACGTCGCGCGCGAGTTCACCCAGGCCCGCCGTCTCCTCGGCGCCTGCGACGGCCCCGGCCACGCCCTGGCCGAGTCTCTGACCCCGGCGCTGTACCGCTGGGCCTACTGCATCTTCTCCACCCGCAGCTTCCGCCCTGCCCTCGTCCTGGCCGAGACGCAGCAGGCGAGCCTCCCGCCCGGCGTCTCCATCGACGACTTCTCCGTGCTGCTGCCCCTCTTCGACATTGGCAACCATGACATGACGACGGACATCAGGTGGCATCTCGACGAGGCCGCCTCGAGTTGCGAGCTCCAGGTCGGCAAGCCCCACGGCCCGGGCCAGCAAATCTTCAACAACTACAGCTTGAAGACAAACGCCGAGCTGCTCCTCGGCTACGGCTTCATGATCCCCGCCACCGACCACCTGCACAACGACTACACCCACGTCCGCAAGCGCACCGCCGCCGCCCCCGTCGCTTCTGACGAGTACCTCATCTCGCTGCGGCCCCTCTCCCACCCAAGCTCTCTGCTCGGTCGCTCAAAGCAGACGCTGCGCCTTGATCCTTCCACAAGGGTCCTGGGCGCCTTTCAGCATGTGCAGCCCGACATGGTCTGGGACATCTTCTGCACCCTCACGCGCCCCGGCCAGCGCCACCACCTCATCCCGGCTCCGGGCAAAGCGGGAGACGATGCCGAGCGCCACCGGCGAGACAGCTTCTTCTCTGGCCAAGTGGAAGGAGAGGGTCGCGTGTATCTGGAACAGACCATTGCCCTGATTCAACACAAGGTCTTGCAAGAGCTGGAGCGACTCAACGAAACAGACGTCGAGGTGGCCGGGGGCCATGTCGACCTCCTCACGCGCAACCAGAAACTGGCGCTGGACTATCGTGAAAGATGCAGGCGGGTCCTGGAGAGTACGCTCGAAGCGATAAGCCAGGATGAAATTCTCATCGACTCGGGCGAGGACCAATGATGTACCTTCATCCTACAGCCGTCCTCCTTCACTGCCCGATCCGGCCTGCCGTCCCTCATCCTTCATGGCATTCCCTGGAGCCCTGATGGAGCGTATACGGCCCTCTCCAGCTCGTCGAACAAGCTCACAACGACTGCATCGCCGTGGTCCAGAACATTCACCACCAGAACTGCCGCAATACCGGTCTCGCCATCAATCCACTGTGCTGGAGGTTAACGTTGCATGAGATGCTATGCGACGCATTCGGCGGGGCAAACAAACCCAGTGGCTGTTGCACATGCCGCTCCACATCATGCTGCCCTTGCGCCTCTTGCCCGGCACGTCTTCCGTGTTGATGACGCCTCCGATGCCGTGGTTGAGGGCAAGCCCGGCGGGGAACTCGGGCGCAAACCCGTCCTGGACGCCCAGGTGGTAGCAAACAAACTCCAACATGTTGCTTTGCTTCTCGTTGAGCTGCGGGGTGAACATTTCCCTCATCGTCGCCTCGCTCAAGAGCTTGCCTTGGAGCAGGCCGTGGAGAAAGCGCGCATAGTCATCGGCCGTGGTGAAGAGGCCGGCGCCGCCGCTTTCCACTTGATGCTCCACGGGTGGCAGCTGCTTCCCTGGCCGGAGGGTCGAGGTGGCGAGATCGCGGTACGAGAAGGCAACGGTTCGCGGCTTGGTCTGGGGGAGCCTTTCCGGCCAGAAGCCAGTGTCGTGGAGTCCCAAGGGATCCAAGACATGTTGCTGCATGTACTGCCCCAGGCCTTGACCGGTGACTTGCTCAAGGACAAAACCGGCCCAGTCGAGCGCGGTGCCGTAGTACCAGCCGTCCCCAGGCTCGAATTTGAGCGGCGTGAAGAAGCCTTGCCTGCTCCACTCGAGGTTGTTCGCAGCGCGGCCGACCTTTTTGGACCACTTGACGAGGTCCGGGTCGGCAAGATCGTAGCCGAGGCCAAGCGTATGGGTAAGAAGCATGCTGTGTGGGCAAGATGAAGACGTTAGCCCTCGAACCCGACGACGCACCTAGACAGTTGTCACGCAGACTTGCCGCAGGGTGACAGGCTTGACGTTGTCCTCGAGAATCGGCGCATCGTCGGCATCAAACCCGCGCAGAATCTGCAACTTGGCCAGCTCGGGCACACGCGGACGCACGTCGTCATCGAGGCCGATGGCGCCGCGCTCGACGAGCTGCATGAGGCAGGTCGTGGTGACGAGCTTGGTCAGGGAGGCGACCCAGGTGAAGGAGTCGCCGGCGAAGATGCGGGCGGCAGGGTCGAAGTCGATGCGTCCCGCGGCGCCCGAGTAGACGATGCCTATGGTGGATGCGCGGTTTAGCCAGCCGTGTGTTTGCCTCGTCATGACGTGGATGCGCACCATGCTTGTTGACTACTGCAAAGGCGGCGCCCAGGAGCTTGCCGGTCGTGTCGTGGCCCTCGGCGACGTGCGCTTGCAGAATGGCGTCGAGACCGTCCATGTTACGGGCGTGATGATGGCGGAGACCAAGGTCGAAGGAGCAGCAAAGGACAGCCGAGCTGGTTACACTGTTGGACGGATAGCCGAGAGTCACATGATGACTCTATTGCCGTCCCCGCAGCCATCTCACCTCGCCTCACCCATGCCTGCGTTGTCGACTCAGGTACGGCGGGAATTTGGGCGATGACGGCGAGCAATACTTGGAGGTTGCCGCTGCTGGCGACTCGTCTCAGCGCGATGACCTTGATCCCTGGCACCAACGCACCACGGAGAGCTGGCCAGCTTCACTCTCCACCACTTCACCAGAGGGACAGTCCCTCCTCCGCCATTGGTAGGAGTGGAGGCTCATGCCCAAGGGCTCGCAAGTTCGGCGCGTACGAGAGGGATTGCAAGGCGCAGGGGGTGCTTCCGCTACTAGGTAGATGGCCCGCAAAGTTACTTACCGGGCAAAGCTGGCGTTGGCCTCGGTAACCTACATGCTGCTCAACAAGGCTTTCCAGGCTGACAAGAGTGCTTTGCTGTGCTGTTGGCGACGGACTGTCAAGGCTTGTAGACTTGCAAATGTCCCGGGCGAGGCCTACCGTCTGTAGATGGAAAGGTACACGCCAACTACCTGATGGGCGAGCCCAGAGCTACCATGTCTTCGAGTACTGTTACAACTTCAACTGGTCCCCCTTATCTCAAGCAAAGTACAGTCGAAGCTTTACGCAATGCGGTGCCGCTTATCCTCCTTCCCCCCACCCACTGCCCTCTTCACCATCCTCCTCCTTGACCAACTCACCATCGAGCCTCATCCATAATCATCACTCTTATCACCATCATGTTCGTCCTCCGCCGCCCATGCTACTCGTTGCGGCTCTAACCCTACTCAATCTAGCCCTCGGCCTCCTTCACATTCGTCTCTCCGCGTTTGCCGCCCACAGCCGCGCCATCTCGACACCTCGCACCGTCTTTCCCTGTCTCCCCCTTGCGGGATTCTACGACGACTGCTCTCCTCCCCTGCTCCGTCCAACCCGCACCTCTTCTTCGGAGCACCTCCAAGCCGGCCGCCATTGTTCCACCGGCTCCGCCATGGCCGCCGCCTTGCTTGTTCCATTCGACCTTGGCTCGTCGCCGCGTCGATGTGCCAAAGCTTCGGGCTAGCTGAGCAAGCATGATGTGCTCCCTGGCTGTTTGCCCTCTGGGTGAATGGCCCATCTACCGATCATCGGGCGCCACCGACTCGCCCTCCCTGCGAGGGTCGGTGTCTCGTTCTACGATATCCACGATCCGTGCCGTCTTGGCGCCCGGGACAGCAAGCCCGTCACGTTGTCGGCCGCCGGCAATACTTCTCTCCTGCCAAGTTGATCCTCTAGTCACCGTCTCGATCCAAAACACACCATTTAGTCACTGCGTCGGACAGTTGCGTATACGTCACATTTAGTTTGCACTGCTAACCAGACGGCGAGGCGCCCACTGCGAACCTCTTCCGGTTTTTTCAGGTATGAGGCATGAAAAGGAGCAAGCCGACCACGCGAGTTCCAATGGCTTGTGGCACTCAAGACCAAACAAACTCCTCACGCCCAAACCTCTCCGTGCGAAAAGCCCCCGACTTGATCTGGGCCCCATTACCTGTTCGAGGCCGTGTTCCAAAGATCAGGGATGCCAGGCTACCATCTGCGGCGCGTGAAAATTCAAGGTACGAATTGGGCAGGGACTGACGCCAGGGGATGCCGTGCGACAGCCCATTTGCTCCGGTGAGGCTTGCGCCCCCCTTCGTAAATCCAGTCCGGTTCGGCAGCGCATCAGCAGTGCTGCCAAACCGCCTGTTCCGATTTGCCGAAAGTCATCAAAGCCCAACGCCAAACTCTCTGCTCATGTCGTCTACTCATACACATGCGGAGCCATCCAGAAGGCGGCTACTCCTCTTCCGAATCCGAGTCATCACTGGATTCGGCCATTGGCGTCGGCGCCTGCGTGACATTCGGTGCATCGGATGGCTCCTGGCCAGGCTTGTGGTACATCTCACGAAGGGCCGTCAGCTGCGCGATCCGAGACTCCTGCTCCTGAGCGCTCATGGGCTTGTTCTTCTTCGACTTTGATGCCGTCTTAGGGGCCTGCTTGGCGGGGGCACCCCGGTTAACTTCGGCTGACGAATTAGGAGCTGCGGTCGAGTCTTTACCAAAGCCTGGGAGGGCCTTCTTGCAGAGATCCCATAGCTTGAACAACGCGTCGTTGCTGAGCTGGTCGATGTCGAGCTCGAGCTCGCCGTCGGGGTTCTCCTGCCATGGCCATTAGTCAACGGTGCCGCGCGTCAGCTGAGGGCGTCGGGGCGGCGACTTACAAGTTGGCCCGTATCCTTCTTAATAAGCTCGATTGCTCGTTCTAGATGTGGGTACTCGAGATCATTGATGGCCGTCGCGATCTGGTCCTTGTCCGCGGCCGTCAAGGTCTTCTTTGGCGCAGCCTTCTTGGACCCGCCCGACTTCTTGGATTGCGAGGCTCCGCCCGTCGACTTGCGGCCACCGGAGCCCCCCGAGGCTTTGGCCTTTGCGCCCTTGCCCGACTTCTTGGACTTTTCGTTCCTGGCGCGGACCTGAGCGTTCTGGGCCGCCTTGATCAGTGCGTCTTGGACCACGTGCACAATGCCCTTCTGAATGTCGATCAAGCTCTGGTTACCTCCGAGAAGCATGCCGTTGAGCTTCTTCGTCTCCTCTTCCAGCTTGGCCTGGAGCTCCTGGAGCTCCTTGCTGTCGACGGCGGCGTCCGCCGCGTCGTCGCCCTCGTCGTCGTCTTCGTCGTCGTCGTCGTCGTCACTAGCGTTGGAGACGGAAGCCCGGGGGGCCTTGGCCTTGGCAGCGTGCTTGCTGAGCCACGCGTCCTTGTTCTTCATCAGTGCCACGTAGTGGTCCTCGAGAAGCTTGCCAGAGTTGCCAGCCACATTACCCTCCGCGGGGGGGCCGTTGAACTTGTAGCAATTGTCGAAGATGAGCCGCACGTTCTTGTCGAAGTCCTTGAGGCTGGCAATCTCCCCACTGCCCAGCATGCGCTGCACCTTGCCCAGGTCCATTGGTTTCTTAATCTGCGAGTAGTAGGTGGGGATGTTAAGCCCCTCTGCGTCGACGGGCTCGAGGAACCAATGATTTACGTCATGGTTCCTGGGGTGCATGAGCTCCGTCAGGACCTCGTCGCAGAACTGCAGCTCCGGCTTGAGCTTCTTGCGCGACGGCTTGGTGGTGTAGTCAATGTCCTTTGGCTTAGGCGCGCGCACGGTGCGCTTGGGCCTGTCGCCGTCCGTCGCCGTCGAGCTACGACGATCGCCGGCCGGCTCCTGCGGGTTGGCGGGCGGATTGGCGGTACTGGCGGCCGCTGCGGGTGCTGCGGCCGCCGCGGGAGCCTCGGCAGACTGGCGCCGCGGGGCCGGGACGCTGGAGACGGCGCGCGACTCGCGGACGGGCTTGGGCTTGGGAACGGCCTTTGGGCGCGCGGGCTCGTCTGCGGGGATCAGAAGCACGTCCTCCCAGACCGTCTTGACGGCGTGCGCCGCGGCGGCGGTGACGCCGTGGGCGGGGCCGTTAAAGGTGAGAGCGTTTTCGAAGATGAGGGCGAGGTTCGTCCGAAAGTCGCCCAGGGTCGCGATGGGGCTGTCGACGGGGTCCTTGACGCTCCGGCCGAGCTCGCCCAGGTCCATGGGCTTTTCGATCCTCTCCATGTAGCCGTCCCAAAGCCCGGGCCACAGCTTCTGCACCGAGTCGCGGAAGTGGCCGCCCGACTTGGTCTTCTTGACCCGGTCAATGACCTTGCGAATCTCGCGGCGCTGGAATTGTGTCAGCGACCGCGAGTTGGTCTCCTGGTCGCGCCAGTTGCTCAAGCTCGTGAGCGCCGTCTCGTCGAGGCCGGCAGCCTCTTGCCCCGCCGCCGGCGCCGCGACCACAGTCGATGCTTGGGCCGGGGTGGCCTCGGCGGACGCGGACGCGGACTCGGCGGCGGCCTCGACGTCCTCCATGGGCTCTGTCTTTGCTCGCTTGGGCGCTGGCTCCTCGGCGGCATCCTCGTCGCGCTGGCGGGCGATCTTGACGCTGGGCGGCGCGTCTGTCATGGGCACGTCGGCGGATGCGCGGACAGGAGACGACTCCTTCTCGGTGGAGTCGATTGCGAGCTGCGACATGCTTGCGGGGCCGAGGTCGACCTCTGACGCTGGCAAGTTGGCCGTGTCTCCTACAGAGGGCATGTCAACATCAGGCTTGGGCGTCTTGGCTGATTCCTCAGCCGGCGGGTCGGTCATTTCCGTGTCGGGCGCGGCGGGGTCAGTGGGCTGACCAGGCTGTGGCTCGCTCGTAGATGGACCCTCTGATTTGGCGCATTCCTCTTCAGGGTGCAAGTCCGTCATTTGCGCTTCCTCGGCTTTTGCGGCGGGCGAGCGCTCGGATGCCTTGGGGAACGACTTTTCAGGCACCTTGGAAGGTGACTTTTCGGGTTCCTTGGCAAGCTCTACCTTCTTGACAACAGCGGCCTGAGGCTCTGGTTCTGGCTCTTTCTCCTCTGTAGCCGGGGCAACCGTCTCTGTGGCAGCAGGCGCAGACTCTTGTTCGGTGTTGGCGGTGGGGCTCTTCGCATCGGGTTCAGCCTTGGGAGTTTTGTCTGCAGTGTCGGCGTCGGTCGCGTCACCGCCCGAGGCAGCGTGGTCGGCGCTCGCCCAGTTCCCGTTGACTGTGGGCTTGTCGGCTTCCGTCTTGGGTTCGTCGGTGGCGGGTTTGGCTTGGGTGTCTTCGGGCGTGGTACGTTCGGCTTTGGGCTCTACCGCGTTGTCGGATTTCGACTGGGCCTCGGTTTCGTTGGCAGAGGATGTATGGCTACGTAAAATCGACAGCGTTAGCGTGGGCAGCTCAGCTCGAAGGCGCAGAGCCCGTGGGGCACTCACCCGTTGATGTGAGACTGCGACACCAGTTCAGGCACGGGCTTGTGCGGCTGAGGATCCGACGCTCCCGCGTCGGGGCCTGGGGAAGCCATGATGGCCCAAGTGGCAATGAGGGCGCAGATGCGGTGATGGCGCTCAAGCAACGCAGCACGACATGGAAGTCGAGCGGCTGGTGAAAGCGCGCGACGAGGTAGAAGTCAAAGGGGGGGAGCAGGCGTGGTGCGAGGAAGTGAGGTGGTGGGTGGCAGTTGTGTGCGCGCTCGGAGAGGGGCAGGTGCGTTGCAGATGATGGAGTTGGGCGGATCAGAGGCAGAGGCGCCCGGCGGGTAGAAGAGACACAAAGTCGGATGCGCGCACCGAGTTGGGGCGCGGGAGAGTATGAACTGGGCGCAACGCGAGGACGGACCTGCGCACGCGGCAACGCAAATCAGAGGGACAGGAAGTATTGGGAAGCGACGAGGCGACGGCCGGCGAGGCGTGAGGCGCAGTCGAAGGATGGAGCTCGCGCGTTGCGATGCAATTGCGACGCGCAGTTGCGGCCAGCTGTCGTTGCTTTGCTGTTGCTGTGCGTGCAGGAAGCTTTGGTGGAGCTTCTCCTCGTTGCGCGCGCGCGATCGTTGTTGGACCGTGGGGGGAGGAGGGGAGAATGAAGGTCGGGCGGCGCAGGTTTGCGATGCGATGCGCCGGGTGCAGAAGGGGGAGGGACTATTCTTTAGGGCGTTAAAAATATTCGGGGATTATGAAGGGGCTTCGAATGGCTGCTCGCGCCAGGGAGGAATGTGGAAGAGAGGGAAGGAGAGCAGGAGATGCGACTGCGCCCGAAAAGAGCAAAGGGTGGAGGTACCAACTGTAGAGAGGCAGGGTACTTGGCAGCTACCTGATTACGTTTGCGGCGGGCGTGGCTCGGTCGGGTACCGGGCGAGGTATTTCCGGGAGGGGTGGAGGGTCTGCGAGGGAAAGCGCGTGCACGTCAGTAGAAAGTCGCCGGTCGGAGGCGCGAAGGTATTTATGAGAGAGAAAGGCAAAGTCCTGACGTGTTCTCTATCGGGGCGCCCCGAGAAAAGGCTGGGGCCAGGTAGAAAAATTTACATGGCCGGGGTGGGGCAGCCGCGCCCGTGGGGGGTCACCGCTTTAAGGGGGTTTGTGGCGCCGTGCCTGTGGCTGTGGCTGCGGCCGGCCTGGTGACGCGAGCGGGAAAGTTCAATCAAGCGTCCATCCCGCTTCACCAAGCATCGAGTTTGCCAAGGTGCAAGCTCTGTTCGGCACCAACACTGCCTCACTCGGCCTGCCTTGCCAGGCCACGGGGCCGAAGAGGTCCCTTGTTGCGACGGCTCCATCATCATCATCAATCAATCAATCAACGCCGTTTGTGACACTTACATAACGCGGCTTGATTAGACGACGAGGGGGCGTACGTAGGTACAGGATTCGGGCTTGCGCTATCGTTGGCGGCAGAGCTTTCCAGCCTCGTCTTCAATGACAAGCACTCGCGAGCAAATGTCCGGACCAGATGCCGCGTCGGAGATTGCTCGAGATTTGTTGTCCTTGGAAGGCCGCCGTCTTCCGCGACGTTCGACCTGAGTCTCTCGGCGTTTCAAGGTGGACGGCTTCATGTCGAAATCTGACCCTGTTGAAGTCATTGGACGATGGTGCCGTCATCATCGTCATGATGGAGGATGAACCCCGGCGATACGCGTGCTGTCTCGCCTCTTCCGCTGGCCAAAGCTGGGCGACGACAATGGCGGAGAATTCAGAAAGCAACACCGTCGTTGATCCTAAGCCTCGGAGAGACGCGTCCACTGGAAGACGGTGTGCCTGGATGATGGATGGATGGTTCTAGAAGACATCCGACGAAACCGGCCTGCGGGTGGGGAGGGGAGTCTAGGGTAGGTCACAGTGGGGACGCGGAGTCGGAGCGAACTGCGGTTGCGCAAGATAGGCCCGGGAAGGGAACGGATCGCTAAAACGGGGTCTATGCAGCCTCGGGGGTTTGGGCTGTGGCGCACGGAAGCCCACCGGTCGCCACCGATGTCCAACCCGGCATGGACTTCGTCCGTCACCTGACCTCGATGCTGCCTCGAGCAATTTCCGCCAGCAGAGTGCCTTGCTGCCTTGATTGCGCCTACGAAGAACCAAGAGGCGCTCGAGCTCGATGGGTCTACGGGTCGCGAGTTTTTAGGTTGCGACATTGTCCAGAACTCGCACCGCAGCTCGTCACCGTTCCGTGTATGTCGTGCATCCGGCCCGACGAACAATAAGCTCCTCTAATCTGTTCCATCCAGCATACAGTACACGCTTGAGTGAACCCACCAATGGCCCATTGGCCTGGACGAGGATCGACCAAGTCACTGACACCACTGATTGCCGCTACATAAGCTGCGCTGATCGGCTTCTATCCTTTAGGTACCGAGGTACGGATACTTAGGTACCTACCTAGGTATTGTCCTGGTAAAGGCACGTGCAGTAGCACATCCAGCAGCAACTCACTCAACTCGCACCGCTTTTTCTTCGATTATGTCATCATCACCCATCCCCCTCCTCGGACTCGACCGGGCCTGGTTCGAAAAAAAAAAGTTAGACTGAAATCCATCATCGTGAAAAGCGGCGTGAAAATTTCCCACCCCAAGGCAAAACAAGGTCCGGGTGCAGGTACTCGCTGGCCTGACGCCTCGTCTTATTGCGAAGGGCCATTCTCTGGCTGCCAAGTTATTTTTTTCTTTCGCTTCCCTGCTCCGCATTGTTTTGTTTCCAGGACACGGAAAAAAATCGGCTGCCTCGTCATCCAGGACAGGACCCGGAGCTTAATACCCGCCTCGCCTTTTGCAAGTCCCGACTCTTTGCTCACTGGCCTCGGCGCCGGTATCCCTCATGCCCATGTCGACAAAGCGGAAAGCGCCGACGAGGCTGGCCCCCCCTGTGGCCAGGTCGGCGGCCAAGCTTCCCCTCAAGAGCACCATTGACGAGTCGAGGACCTGCGTCTCCGGCACCGACGCCCTGCAGAGCTCGCAGATGGAGACGATAGAGATCTCGTCCGACGAAGACAGCGATGAGGACGTCTCGGATGAGGACGAGGCGGTCCAGGTCAACGGTGCCCAGGACGCTGCTAAGCCCGAGGGCGCCCCGGCCCGCGTCAACGGCGGCCGCAACAAACCAGATGCTGAAGAGTCCGACGGAGAGCCCACATCGCCCTCCTTTGGTGAGCTCCTGCGCGACAACGAGGCCATCGACGTGCCTGCCCTTCTGCAGCAGGCCGGCACGACGAGCGCTGCGCCGGCCCAGCGCCCGCGGACGGCGATCGTCCCGCCCTCTCACCAATCCCTCACCACCGTCCTCAGCCAAGCCCTGCGAACCGACGACACCGACCTCCTCGAGTCCTGTCTTCACACGACTGACCTCAGCACCATCCAAAACACCATCGAGCGCCTCGACAGCTCTCTAGTCGGCAGCCTCCTGTCCAAGTTGGCCGCGCGGCTGTATAGGCGGCCTGGGCGAGCCGGCAACCTAATGACGTGGGTGCAATGGTCCCTCGTGGCTCACGGCGGCGCCTTGGCCTCGCAGCCCCAGGTGGTGCAGAGCCTCAACAGCCTGCAGAAAGTTCTGGCCGAGAGAGCAAAGGGGCTTAACAGCCTCCTGGCGCTCAAGGGCAAGCTGGATCTGCTCGAAGGTCAGATGGTCTTGCGGAGGAAGATGAGTCGCTCGGGCCTGCTGCAGAACGGAGAGGGCGACGGCAACGAGGAAGACGTCGTGTGGGTCGAGGGCGAGACGGATGCCGCCGGCGGGAAAGGCCTGCGAAGGAGGGGAGGCGTGGACGATGAAGACGAAGGCGACGATGACGACGACGACGACGTGCCGGCGACGAATGGCTTCGTGGGCGACTCGGAGGACGACGAGCAAGGCGGTGGGGCCGACGAGGACGAAGACGACGATAGCGACGGGGCCGCGGAGGCCGTCGACGAGGACGAGGTCAACCACGAGGACGTAGACGAGTCGATGGGCGAGGAGGAGGAGAGCGATGTTGAGACGGGCGCGCCGCCGTCAAAGGCCCAAAAGGTGTCCCGGTCGTCTCTGCCGAGGAGAAAGTGACCGCCCTCGACGACAGCCTCGGGGCTGCGCTGCTAGACCCGTGTCCACTACCCCTTCCTTTTTTTGGTTCTTGTTGTGTCTTCCATTTCACACCCCCGACCTATCTACCATATTCGCCTCATAGAGGATCATTCGTCAATGGCGTTGAGTCTTTGCAATACAACGATTTTGATGTCTAGGGACAGGCAGTACCTCGACGTAGACGTCCGTCAATGTATCTTCTATGCATAGCCCGCAAGTTGGCCCTTGACGGCCCGACCCCATCTTGAAGTTGCCGGTGACCCGCGCAACTTGGCGATCCCGTCTACCGATTCGCCCCTTGATCCCCTCGAGCCGGGTCTCGAACCCGCCATTCTTCCCCCAGTCGCCCCATTATATAGATTGTCTAGATGTGCAGCTCTCACATAATTTCGGGTCCCGACAACACGCGCACCCACGCAGATGAAATGACAAAACCCAATATTGTTGAGGTGACCAAAAAGACGCTCGCAGCAATGCATCCGTCACCATCTGGTACTCGCGGCTTACCGCCCAGGATAGACAGAAGAAACTCGAACAGTGCCAGCCAGGAAGAGTGGCAAGCCGCAATCCACCCAGCTCGTCTGCAAACCCAACCGTTTGATATGCCGCCCAGTGTGCCAAGATAGAGATGCTGCCAACTCGAGGTAAGAGAAAAACGCCCGCTGTCCCATGAATAAAGTGTAAAGTAGATAGAGCAAGAGAGAGAAACAGAAGGAAACCGCCTACCTGCAACGACGGCGGGGGGTGGTCATTAGATGGCCCAGCTGCCCCTCCGCTCCCTGACGCCCCAGGCGAGCGGATCGAGATTATCCAGGTCGGGATGCGACCTCGCCCACTGCAGAATGTACACCTTGAGCGCGCACCACCGCGGGCACCGGGCGTCCTCGGGGGTGTCGTCGAGGCGCATCTCGAGCATGTGGCCCTTGGCCATCTGCCGGTCGTCGTCGCGGCCGAGCTCCGCGGTGCTGACGCGGCTAATTTTGGACAGTTCCTCGTCAAAGGAGCGCGCCGTGGCCGGGTAGCCGAGCGACAGGTAGTTGTAGACCTGCGTGACGAACTCGTCGCCAAACTCTTGCAGGATCTTTTCGTCGCGCTCGGCGCGCGCCTTTTCCCGCTCGAGGCGCTCGCCCAGGCCCTGGGGGACCTGCAGCAACTTCTTGGCCTGCCCGCCCGCCCCGTTCGTCCTGGGCCCGGGCTCGGCGGTCCACATGCCGCAGGCTGTGTTGTTGTCCAACGAACCCCTCGAAGAGGCTGCCGGGCTCGGCTTCTCGCCCAGGCGCCCGCACGTGAGGGGTTCGCGGGGCGACTCTGGGGGCTGCGGTGTAACAATCATGTCTGCACGCCGCAGGTCTGCCGACACGACGCAGTCGCCGTTGGATTCCGACCTGCAGCAGTAGCCTTTCCACAGGCCGCCCTGGCCCGACACATCCCGGTTGCACTCTCGCGAGCCGCCCTGGTCGACAAAGGGGTGGTCCGTCTCGAGCTTGGTCTGCTTGGGTGACGGGCACTTGCGAAACGTCAGGTCTTTGCCGAGCATGGGCGGCGAGGCGGCCTGTCTCATGAGATGGAGCGTGGGGTCCTCGGGCTTCAGGCCAAAGGCGCCAAACGGCCGGCCACGCTCGACGTCGCGGCCGCGATGAAACTCGTCGGGAGCCAGATGAAAGGCCGGGGCCTGCCCCGCCCCAAGATCCATCTGCTTGAAAGGTGAGAGGTCGAGGTGGGCGGCGGGCGCCATGTTTTCCTTCATCGGCCGGAAGTCGGCGAGCGAGTCGCGTCCATCCTCGGGGGTGGACCGTTGGTTCGTTGTCCAGAGCGGGTTCGGGGGAACGCATAGATCCATGTCGTCGAGGTCAGAGTCGGTCGTCATGAGCGTGTCTTGGTCGTGGGGTGCCGGGGCATCGTCGCGGCGGTCGTGAGCGAGATGCTCGGCATGCTCTTGCATGTGTTTATGCCACCAGTTCAGACCCAGGTTGGACGACTTGCGGCGCGCACGAGGCTGAGCATGGTGGTGTGCGTCCTCGGCAGAGTTATCGCTGCCAGAGCTCTCGCGAAAGTAAAAGTGCGCCACACCACCTTCACGGGCCCGGCTGTTGGGGAAGGCGGCCAGGGCGGCCTCTTCCATCTGCCGGGCAGCCTCCTTGGCGGCCAGCTCGAGTAGATATTCTTTGACCCCCTCGTCTTCCGTCTCTCGCCGAGTGGGCGGCATATGACGGATGGGCCCGTCATCGAGCGAGTCGCCGCGTTTCCGGCGGTGCTTGGGCTTGGACACGTAGATGTGGTTTGTGTAGGGGGTGATGTCAGTCTTGTCCGTCGGCTTGGTTGCGGGGCCGGGATCGGCGGCCCTGCGCGTCCTCCTCGATGTCTCGATCAACTGGGGGTGGAAGCGTCCATTCCGCTGCGGCTCGGAAATAGTCGGCGAAGTAGATGGAGGGGAGGGATCTGGGGTCAGCTCGGGATGCGGGCTTAGGCAGGCAGGCGGCTTGCGAACCGACTGAAAGGTTGTCTCGATGGGGACGGGGGTGAAGCGTCGTCGCCTTGGTTCGTCGGGGTGTGCCATGGCGTTGCAGATGCAAGGGATTGGTCGAGAAGGCTGAAACAAGGTGGGAGAGGCGAGTGACGAGAGGAGCGCTGCTAGACGCGGGTCATGCCGCGGGAGTCGCGGAAGCAATCGTGGCCCCGGCGCAAGACGACGGACATGAAGGAGCAGTTGGGAGTCGAGAATTAAGCGGTGCGGAGGAGACGAGAGGCTCGGCTCGGGTTGGCGATGATGGACGGGCTCAAGGGCGCCTGCGCAGCGGTGCGAGAGGAGGAGGGATAATGATGATGATGGCAGCGGTGATACGGGATTGTGGAAAAGATCACTGGGTGGTCGCCTCACGATGATATTAAACGCTCAACAAATGAATGTGTGTTTCTGGTCGTGTTCTGCCCGGACGAGGGGTGGGCCCCTATCGTGGTGGGGGTTAGTTACGCCAAACAACCAATTCAGCGTGTATTGAGACAGTGCTGGCTGTCTATAATGCACTGTATTGCTGGCGTTTATGCAGCGAAAAACACACCGTTGACGGTGGACTGAGCGTCGGCAAAGTCACGTGCTAACGCAACGGGGTTTGCCATATACACTGTGCAGCTACTGCAACGGCATCCCCAGCTGTGCGCCTCTTTGCCCCGTCCATGCGTTGCCAACAGCCTTGGACTGTTATTGTTCTGCCGGGGAGTCTCAGACACGAGCACTTCGGAATCCTCAGGCTCCATTCTGCTGGCCGAGTGCCGGCAATTCCATTGACGGCAGGTGCCAAAGCACATGTCAGTGCCCGCGCCTGTGCCCTCAGAACTGGCCGGTTAAGAAAACGAGCGGGTGCCGCTTTCGGACGTTGAGCAACGGCCCAACAGTCAAGTCACTCACTCGAGGCTTCACCAGGATTGATAAAGAGAACGACCATTCATCCACTGATGGGAGTCCATGGCTCCAACGGCGTCATCGTGCTGCACGGCTATCCCCTTAGCTCCCCAGGCGTACAGGTAGGAGCTTGACCCGGATTCAGCCGCGCCACGCTGCCTCGCAATGACCTCATCTGCCGTTGATGCCGGTCAATGCCCTGGATCATGTGACGAGCTCCGATACTCGGCGTCGAAGCTATACAGAGTAGTACAGTAATTAATTACAGTACGTACTTCTCCAAACGGCCAAGCCTGTGATCAGGATGCGAAATTGAACGGCTCGTCATCCCTGCTCATCTAATGAAGGAATTAGATAAGGGCCAGGGCCGGCAAATTGCCATAGATAATAATAATCATCATCTCAGAGTGGGCAGCACTTGATTGAATGTCAACCCGCCACCAAGTCCAGCCCTCGGCTCCTTGGCCGGCCCAACAAGACAGGTAATAGCAGCCGACGTCAAGCTACCGGTGTCTGCAGATGGTGACGTATCACCCACCAGACATCCAAGGCCGCCCCGTCGTTGCCTCGAATGCACACACAAATGCACACACACGGGCAGCTCTGACCGTTGGATAGCGCCGTGCTGCTGCTACTGCTGCTGCTACTGCTGCTGTACCCGTCGATGACGGATCCCTACAGCGCAGCCCGGCATCAGTTCCAGTATTGACTTGGTAAGTAGTTGCAGGTGTCGCCGTAGCTGCTCGCGGCACAAGTGCAGAGACGACCGAGGCGCGCATTTGACTCGGCTCCTAATACCTCCGTAAGCCTGACAAGCTTGGCATCGAAGCATTGCCGAGGAAAAGGAAAATACAGTTTCTGGATGCGCGCGCGAGTGGTGGAAGGGAAAAGCTGAACCAGACTCGGCGTCTGCGCCGTGGAGCAACGCCCTTCTGATGGATGGCTGGCTCAGGTTGGATCCCTATCTCACACCTCTGTGCTCCAGGGGTCGGCAACTCGTGGCACCTGACGGACGAGGATAGAGACACCACGTTTGCCGGGCCCCTGATGCATCTGCGCAAGACATGGACGGCCGAGCTTTGTCTTGCACTTTGCCGAGATGAAATCCGGGTAGCACTCAGTATTTTGGAGTAGCTGAAGATGCCGGGACGGTCCAGTGCATATCTGTGATATGATGGGGCTGGAGCTGCACAGGATTGCACATGGATGTACGAGACACGAAGTGGGCGTCGTCGGTTGATGCCGCTCTCTTTTTCCTTGACTATCTACCAGGCAGACCTGATCCTGTATATATATATACTGTACATACATAACATATTATAACTTATACGGAGCTCGCAGCAACAGCCGCCGAGGCACATCGGCGCATATGCACGGCTGCTGGCATCGAAAGACATGCAGGGGGCTTCAGGGGCCGGCCCCTTGATTGTGTGACGGCTTGCTTTGATGAAGGAGACCAGGCCCCATGCTGCAGGTCGGGTGCTGTGTCTTCCGTCTGGCTGCTTTTCCCTACTTTCTTCATGTGGCTGGCTGCCGTGAAACTCGACGAGCGGCAGCACGACTTGGGACGAGCCGGGAGAGGTCGGTGCAGACTGGAGGGGCCAAGTTGCCAGGAGATGGTTCCGTAAGTGTGTTAAGCAGAGGAGCCCATCTCGATGGACGAGAGGTGGGTACGTATCTTGGACGCATGTGCAGAGAGCTACTACCTAGGTACTTGTATGTGGAAAACGACAAGCTGCTGCCAAGGTGGTCATGCCGAGATTACATGCACCAAGCGGTATCACGCAAGAGAGATAGATAGGTGGGCATGGTGGGCAAGAAGAGGTGGGGACGATGGGCATCAGCGAACACGAACGACGACTAAGGTAGAGAGGGTAGAGAGAGAGAGAGGCCTCGGCTCCCCAGCATCGGCCTTGCCCTCCGTGAGACAGCGACGGCGTGAAGCAAAAGGGCCCTTGCGCCGAGACAACAAGGGCTCAGCTCGCGACGGGACTGGAGCTTGACGAGGAATTACTGTATGAACTATAAACAGGTACCTACCTACCTAGGTACCTACCTATCTATGTAACCTACTTAAGATGCCTAGGTAATTAGTACTAGGCAGGTACTGACTGACTGGCTCCCGCGCGTTAGGTACCTACCTAGCAATGTACTAGTAGCCTGGACGAGGAAGCCGGCTGTGGTCATGCCATCGGCGCCCTCTTTGGCTTCTGCGAGGCTTTCTGTGGCTTGCCAGATGGCGCTGCATTATGGGCGCCGTGGCGCTGGGGCGGAGCACACAGGCTTGGGCGGCAAAAGGCCGAGTGACAGCCTGTAGGAAGGGGGCCTGGGAGTCGCTACCATTGGCCGCTAGCGGGTGCTCCAGGCTCCAGTTCCGGCATTTTTGCTCTCGAGCCCTTTGCTCTCTCGACTGACTTCGACTCGTTCATGCCATGCATTAACTGACAAGGGCATAGCAGAAGAAGGGGGCAAAAGAGCCACGTTGAACCGGCGCGTTGCTACGTCGAGTCAGGCGACCGCCGGGTATCCGAGCACTAAGTTGGGCCTTTACTTGACATGTCGACGCCGGCCGGCCGGCATTCAAAGTCGCCTGTTTGCGCCCACATCCGTCCGCGCCCATGTCCGGTCGGGGTGCGCCTGGGCGGCCTCAGCAGCATCAGGCTTGCCGTCGACATACTGTACATACTGTACTGTACTCATACATGGACGGAGTATGTCTGTATGCATGCACGAAGCATGCTGTTGTCTGCATCCAGCACCGAGTGCAACTGCGCCGCCCTTCTCATCTCACCCGACGCAGCGAGACAGTAATTATCTTGGCACCGGAGAGGGTACGGAGTAAAAGAGAGAGAAAAAAATGTTCGTGGGGCGGGCTTCCTCTCAGTTAGACTTTTGGTTGTTGGCCCTCGGACCCATCGCCAACGGGCCTTGCTAGCTGAAGGACGACAAAATCGGCGGCAGAACAAGGAACCGGGTGACCCCCCCACGGGCCGTTTCTGTTTTTGCTTCTGCGGCTCTTACCATCGTTTGCCAACGCCGCATCCGTCCAGCCAGTTTTGCGAGCCAACGTCTTCTTCTGCCGTCGCCATCATCGCGCGCTCGCTTAAGCTTTGGCTTCGCCGCCGCGTCCACCATCCTCTCTCTCCTCTCCCTTTTGCCGCCTCGGATTCCCAACCCAAAAGGCACGCACGGCAAGAGCAAAAAAACAAAACAAAGGAAAATCACCCCTTTTTTAAACCTTGTCGCGAATCACTCGCTTTTGGCTGTCTCGCCGGCCCGCGCTTCACATCTCTTGCTAGCGCATCTTCTAGCCGGCCGCTTAACCCTTTGGCCCCTATTATGTTTCGGCCAGACTGCTGAGAAACAACTGCCCCCCGCCCCATGTTTACTTGTTGCGAGGCCACTAGACCAAGAGGTATGTGTTGACACGCATCGTCACTACCCTGCCCGTGCTTACAGGTACCCGGACTGGATTGCAGCTTTTTCCTCTTTCCCGCGACCTTTCTCAGCAGCCAGGGCCATGGCCGCCGCACATTCTTCCCCCCAAGACCACGACTCCTCGCCGTCCTTGTCGCCGCCCCGATCCGTCGTCGACCGCGTCGCCACGCCCTTGAGCCTGTTCTTCGACTCGTCCTCGACGCGCAGGGTGCCCGCCGTCTCGAGGGAGGACCCCTTTGCCGCAATGTCGCTCGCCGAGACACCAGAGCCCGCTCGCCAGCCGCCGCTCGCCGTCGGTCCCACAGCCCAGGGCCCCGACGCCCGCGCCAGGGCCGCCCGTCAATACGAGCCCCCATCGCTGGACCCTGTCGCGCGAATGACAAACACCATGTCGCCCCCTGACAGCAGCGCCGACTCTCACTCTCCCCTCTCCGACCTTCGCCCACTGCGCACCGCCAGCGTACGCGCCGACACTAGGCTCGCCCAACCAACGCCCATGCCAAGTACCAGCCAGCCGGGGTCCGACCTGAAGATGCGGCCGGGCTCTCCCCGGGGAAACATCGCCCAGCTCGAAGCCACCGCCGAGAGGCTGTCCATGACCAGCTCCATCGACGACGCCATCCGCGACCTGCACGGGGAGCTGAAGCGAAGCGACAGCCGCCGTTCCTCGCTCCTCGCCGCCAGCCTGCGCGCCTCTTCGGCTGACGCACCCAGCAACGACCACTACACTCACAACAACGACGAGGCTACCGCGGCCGTCGAGCAGCTGCGGCAACACCTATCCGCATCCTCGTCCATCGTCTCGACAAACACGGCTGCTCGCCAGGGCGGCTACTCGCCCGCTGCCTTTGTCATGTCGCCCACCCACTCTCTCTCTGGCCGTCTCCGCTCCGGTTCCAAGAGCACCGCGGGGCGCCCTGACCTTGATTTCGATCCCTTGCTATCCCGGCACGGCCCTGGCAAGGCGTCTGACAGGAGCGCCCGCTCAGCCAAGATGTCCCTGGCCGAAATCTCAGAGTCCGAGCCAGTCTCCCTTACCCAGGCGGCCCTCGACGAAGCCGACGTCGCCCCGCCCATCGAGGAGCTGGTGGGCGAAGGCACGCTCATGCTGTCGCGTCATCATGGCCAGCACTTGTCCAATCCTGGTGCTTTCTACCATGTGCATGACGATGATGCGCACGCCGAGGTGCCTTTGCCCCTTAGGATCCGGGGGCAACCCGTGGCAGGCGACACTCCGCGCCAAGACGACGACACGAGATGCACGAGCTCTCACTCAAACAATACCTTCCAGCAGTGTCGCGATGCCTTTATCGACTTTGACGGCGTCCACTGGGAGCCTGAGCCTGAACATGACTTGCTCGCCCCGCTGGAAATCGAACAAGACTTGCCCACACCCCGCGGACCCTCGACTGATCAGACGACACCGCAATCCTACCTCGATCCCGAGTCCGGCCAGGAGATGCAGTATTATCCGGCCCGTGTTCCCGCCATGCTCAACGTGCCGCCCAAGCTGTCCAACAAGATCAAGACGGTCGAAAGGAACCAGAGACAGTCCAAGGTCCTGAGTGTCATGATGGACACCAACGGACAGCCCGCCTTGCCCGAGGCCCCTTGGCAATCTGAACCGAACAGCCAATCGGCCATACCAGAAGCCGCGCACCCATCCTGGCTTCCTGACCCCATCGCCGGTCAACGGGATTCGTTTGCCATGCTGTCGCCCCCGAGTCCCCGAAAGAGTCGGGGCGCCAGGTCCAACAACGGCGACGAGGGACCACCAACCACCGCCGGGGCCGAATCGGAGGGGCTTGCAGACACCCTGCGCCGCCCTCAACGACTGTCGGCGCTCGATTCGGAGAAGCGAAAGTCCAGAGCCTCGTTCCTGACCAAACTGCCCCCTCAGCTTCGTGCCAGTGCCTTCTTCGACCTCCCCTCGGTCACGGCCGATGTCGAAATCAAGGATGGATCGGCCATGGCCACACTTGACAGCATCCTCGATGCCTCTGCGACCGCGCCCGTCAGCGTCTTTACGGACCACGCCTTTGTCGGGAAGCTGGGGCCGGAAGTGTACGGGAAAAAGAAGAAGCACAAGTCACGGAAGTCTACGGCCACCCTCGGCGCACTTTCTGCCGCGCCCGAGCCCGAGCCCGAGCCCGAGCCCGAGCCGCGTCCCAAGAAGAGGTCGTCGCTCATGTGGCTTAGGAGACGCACCAGCAACAACAACATCGACGAGAAGAAGCGACCGCGTAGCATGGCCAGCGCCCCTGTACTCGGCGCCGATGCTGGAGCTGGAGTGACCGAGGACCGGAAATCGGCCGATGGAAGCGGTGACGACAAGTCGGTGCATGACGAGGCGACCGAGGCAGAGTCGGAGAGCGACAAGGAATCCGAGGAAGAGGAAGAGGCGTACCACGGCCCGCCGAGCACACTTCTCGCCGAGCTTCAGCTCCGTAAGCAGGAACAGCAGCTGCGAAAGAAGAACATGGGTAGCGGGTTCCCCAACGGGATCCATGCGACGCTCCTGGAAATGGACACTGTCGCAGAAACGCAACGCAGGCATCGGCAGACGAAGCGTGTCAATCTCGCGTGGGAAGAGCCCGGCGCACATCTGGACCAAAACGGCTCCGAGGACGAGGATGTTCCTTTGGCCATCCTCGCTGCCATGCACCACGGCGCCAAGAACAGGGCGGACCTCGAACGCCCCATGGGGCTCATGGAGCGCCGTGCGCTCGAGGACAACGAGCCGCTCAGCCGTCGCCGCGCACGCCTGCAGGGCCTCGACACCCTGCCGGTCGCTTTGCAAAAGCGCCAGAGCGTCATGTCTTTCCCCGCTCTCGGGGCAGTGGAAAACCGGTCTCCGCTGCCGGTCATGGGCCCGGTCTTGAGCCCTGCTTCAGGCCCGGTCTTGAGTCCTGCTTCAGGCCCGGTCTTTAGCCCTGCCTCAGGTCCCGAGGAGGAGGACGGCGAAGCTGAGACGCTGGGCGCGAGGCGGCGACGACTGGCCGCCACAGAAAGTGTCGATGCCAAGCTTCCTCAATCCCGGCCCCTCAGCATCTCGTTCTCGGCCGAGTTGCTGAGCCAGTTCGGCGACCTTGACAAAGCAGAGGGGAAGCCCGTCGGCGACAAGGCAGACGCGCCACAGGAGACCACCGGAGAAGAGACACTCGGCCAACGGCGCCGCCGACTACAAGCCGAGAAGGAGGCCCGAGAGCAGGAGATGAGCCACGGCAATATGACGGCTGGGTCAGCGCAAAGGATCAGCCGGAGAATAAGCATGGCGGATGTTTTGGCCGCGCACCCCAAGAAGGACTCTGACGTCCGGGAAAAGGAGGATGAGGTTCGCCGAGTCGACGAGAATCGTGCCGTCATGGAGCGAGAGGCCAAGATGGCGGCCATGAGGAAGCAGATGCCCCAGAGCCTGATACAGCCCAACGTGGAACGCTCTGGAGGCTTCCGCGGCGGGGCGTACAACGACGGAAACGGAGGCTGCGGCCCCCAGATTTCCCGAAACAGCGTTGCCTTTGCTCCCCAGGGCCTCACCCAAGGGCCCTACGGGTACGGGAACTACAACAGGTCCAGTGTTCTGCTCAACAACTACAAGGGACCAGCGCAGCAGCCAATGTACGGCGCCATGAGCCCGTCGAACCACGTTGGCGCGTATGATGGCATCAACGCGACTGGACTCTTCAACGGCAATACGGCGATGAGCATGTACGGCGGCGGATTGATGCCGCCCGTGGCAGTGAATGGCGGCTCCATGGACCGTGTCGAGCGGTGGCGACGCGGAGTGCACCCTTGAGAGTGGTCAAGGGATTGACCTTTTCGATTCATTATTGCGGCGGTGGGTCATCGCCCAGCGAACACGCCGGCCCTGGGGCGCTACAGTACCATGTCTATTTTAGCGGAGGTTGATTCGCATGGCGCGGCGCCGGTAAAGTTTGCACATATACACGCATATTATCATTACTGCGCAGGGAACAGCTGATGCGGTATGCGGCCGCTGGTCAGGGGACACGGGACACATTGTTGTATTGGCCCGTACGGGAAGATATTCCCTTTGGAAATAAACGCACATGAAACTATCCCCATGCTGGAGCTTTCTATTCCGAACCTGGGTGACTTATGAAAAGAGGCAGAGGCACCTCTCGACACGTGGTGCTATGAATCCAGCACCGCGTGCTTTTGGTCTGCCCGTTCCAGGACGCTTCGAAGGGGTATTTCGGAGAGGTTCACGATCTTTGTGCCTTTGATGTACTTCCAGATCAAGTAAGCCCCCAGCACAAGGGGTATATCGCTACGCGCGTGTCAGCGTTGGAGTGGCGGCGCCTAGGGGGTTCGATGAGTGAGACTCACAGGTAGGCGGAAACAAAGTTGGTGGCGTTCCAGTTTCCCTCTGTAAAGACGGCGAAGCCACTCGTGAGGAGGATGATGACGCACAGAAAGAGGCCGGCATACGAGCTATACACTGGCGACGCGGTTGTCAGCTGGGCTCAGACGCATCACTGGTGATGACGGATGAAAAGTGAACATACGTGTCCACGAATTGTACCATGGAAGCCTCGTGGCCGGGATACCCTGCTTCTTCAGAGCAAGTCTCAAGCGGATGTGGTTCAGCAGTATGGAAATCCACGAGACCAGGACACCGGCGGCTGTCAGGTTGACCAGCCACCAGAAGACGCTCAAGGCGCTGGTCGACAGGCTCATGAAGCTGAGGAACATGAAGACGGTGAAGAGCAGGACGCACATGTAGGGCACGCCCCACGAGGTGGTGCGCAGAAAGACGCGGGGCGCTTGGCGCTTGAGGGCGAGGCCGTAGAGGACACGGGTGCCGGCCAGCAGGCTCTGGTTGGAGGCGGACCAGGCCGAGGTGATGACGACGGCGTTGACGACGGAGGGGATGGCGGGGATGCCGGCGGCCGAGGCGGCAATGACAAAGGGGCTCTGGGCGGCGTTGTCGGTGCCGTTGTTGAGGCGCTCGTCGTTGCTCGAGACGAGCATGCCGACGACGAGGATGGCGAGCATGTAGAAGAGGACGATGCGGATAAAGACGTTCTTGCAGGCGGCGGGGATGGCCTTGCGCGGGTTCCTGGTCTCGGCGCCGGCCATGGCAATGGACTCGACGCCGGCAAAGGAGAAGACGGCGCCGGTCATGACGCTCCAGTAGCCGAGGAAGCGGCCCCAGGGGCCCTGGGCAATGTATTCGACGAAGGGGCCCGGGTCGCGCCAGTGGCGGAAGTAGAGGGCGGGGGTGCCGGGGATGCCGCCGAGGTCGATGACGAGGCCGAGGACGATGAGGAAGACGACGAGGAGGATCTTGAGCAGGGCAAAGGCGTACTCGACCTCGCCAAAGACACGGACGTAGGCGAAGCCGACGGCGACGGTGAGGACGACGAAGCTGACGATGAAGACGGAGGGGTTGACGTCGGTCCAGAGCTGGAAGAGGACGCAGATGGCGGTGATTTCCGAGGGGATGGACAGGATGTTGCCGTAGACGAGGTTCCAGCCGACGGCGAAGCCCCAGGCCGGGTCGACGAGGAGCTCGGCGTGGCGCACAAAGGCGCCCGTGACGGGGAGCAGGGCGGCGACCTCGCCGAGGGCGAACTGCACGGCGCAGACGAGCAGGCCGATGGTTGCGTAGCCGAGCAGGGCGCCGAGCGGGCCGCCCCTCTGGACCGCGCCGCCGAGCCCGAGGAAGAGGCCTGTGCCGATGGCGCCGGCGATGCCGAGCATGGAGAGGTGGCGCTCGGCCAGGCCGCGGCGGAGATGGCGGCCCTCGGCGGCAGTGACGAGGTCGCCGTCGAGATCGCCGTCGCCGTCGTCGCCGTCGTCGGGGCCGTGGCCGGGGCCGGAGCCGGAGCCACGGGGGCTGCCGAGGAGCGGGCCGGAACGGGCCCCGGCATCGGAGAGGGAGGAATGGCCGTGTCGCCGCCGCCGCCGCTGCTGTTCAATGTCGTCGTCGCTGCCGCCGCTGCCGGAGACGTGGAAAAGTCGTTTGGGGTCGTCGCCGTCGGCGGCCGGCGAAGAGGCCGTCGGCGATGACGCCATGATCCGAGCCGGTGCTTTCTCGTGCTTCCGGGGCCCCGCCTCCTCCGCCTCTTGTTCGGACGCGCGTGGTTTCTTGTCGCCGGTCCGGAAGAAGGGGGGAAGGTCGAGGTTGAGGTTGCGGCTGAGCGAGAAGAAGCCCATTGCTACCCTGGTAGTGAGTCGTGAGTGGCTGGTGCTGCCGCCTGTTTCACTCCGTCTTATTGTTTACCCACGATTTTGTGACGAAGCTCCAACCGGATTGGACTGTTACACGCAACGCCTCGGGGTGTAATATCCGTTTCGACAGGTCATTCAGCCGAACAAGGACGCAAGGAAGATTTCGCCGGTTGATGATAAAACATGCCCTATGTCCAATATCCACCTGCATTACATGTCCAGGCGGGAAGCCGACGCGGCGCCCATGTCAAACGAGCTGGAGAGGAGGCAGGGCATGTTATGGATGCGGATGTATGTACAACGAGAGTCAATCGTCTCGAGGGAAAAAAAAATCTCTTCAAGGGCCTGGACGCGTGTTATCGCACTTTGCGGGCACATGTTTTGGGCATGGGAAACGAGCCCACTTGGGATGGCGCCATCGGACTTGGCAGAATCGAGGGGGGCTCTCTTATTGGTAATATCTAGTCAGGCTCAGGGTCCGGGCTTGTTTATAGGTGAGTCCCGCTGCTGCCATGATGAAGCACTCTTGGATATTCTTGTTTGTGGTCTCTTCAACAGAGTCCCAGACCGTGTGACGAGGGGGTTGGACCGAGGACTGCAGCCATATCTACCGATACGTGCTACTCAAGAGTCACAGAGCAGGGCATACATGGCTCTGTCATGCTTTCTGCGTGTCCCGGCGGCTGTTTTGGCACATTCACCTGCTCGATGACGTGCTTTGCGATGGCGACGGGTAAAGGAAACGCGTCTGTTGTGCTCGGTCGGCACTTGGGACCGACCATGTCAAGTCTGAAGAGACTCTGGCTGTGCATTACCTCCTTTTTTTCAGCCTCGAGGTGTTACAAAGAGCTGCTGTTTATACACAGCCCATGCACAAGATTCCTCGGATCTGCGGTCGCGGCGGCGGCGCGGTTCGGAATCGTCGGAGACATCCGCATCGAGGCTCCTGCTCTCGTCTCTTTTGCCGTTTTGTAGCCAACCATGCGAGCTTCGTACCGGAGAGGCACTGGCTGTCAAATCACTTAGGCATGGCCTACGGGCTCTTTCAATTGCGCCTGTATAGGCCAAGGCCGAGAGTGCCGTGCCTGCCGGCGCCGGCGAGCTATCCCGTTCCGTTTCGGCGGCCGGAGTTTGTGCCCGGAGCTACTCCTCAAGCGGGACTGGTCATCCACTTTCCCGGACGAGGTTAGGCAGATGGTCAAGAATTCTGGCAGCCTATTCCGGCGGCAGCTCACCCTGTCTATGGTTTGCGGCTTTTGCTATCTACTCCCCCCCGGCAGCCCGATGCCGTGCTGGGTGCAAGGCTGTCCGGCAACATGCCCGCCTTTCTCGCCGGCCATGGACGAGGGCTTGGTCTCCGTAGCTGGACACTGAGAAGATGCTGCCCACATCCCTTTGGCAGTGCGGAAGCAGCTACAATACGTAGAGAGAGACAAGTCGGTCACATCACGCAGCAGAGAGAGCCTACCAAGACTCGTGCCTTGGGATAAGTCCGACCGACGTAGGCATATGGTACCGGCTAGGACTGCGCAGGGACTTCTATTATAGCGTGGCATGCTAGCAAGCTGAGGTATCTCCTCCTACTCGGCGTCCGACTGGCTATAGTGTAAGTGACGTGAGGGCTGCTCCCGCACTGCCAAAGGGGCATGCCGGACTGTGCCGATAGATCTTTGTTGCGAGTCCTTGCCGGAACTGGCCAAGGACTCCGTAGACGAGAGAGAGCAGTCGCCAGCCGCTCTCCTCCCCTTTCTCCACGATGACTTCGGATCAACCTGGTTCGCGACGCTCGTTTTGATGGGCATTCAGGGGCGAGACATCGACGCCCGATTCTGATCTGAACCCATCCGCCACCATGGGCCCTCCGGAAAAAACGCCCCGCGAGATGAAGGTTCTCGCTCTCGGTCTGCCTCGAACCGGCACTCTCTCCATGGCCGAGGCGCTCACCACGCTCGGATACGAGAACGTCTACCATACGCTCAAGTCGACTTTCTACCAAGACGAGGACTTCCCCAAATTCTACAGCCGCGCGGCCGATGCCATCTTCCCCAGGCTGCCGACGTACGCGGGGCAGCCGTTGACGCGGTAGGACTGCTACGAGGCCTTCGGCGCCTGCGAGGCCGTCACAGAGCTCGCCGCCCTGCTGGCGCCGCAGCTCATCGAGGCGTACCCGGACGCCAAGGTCGTCGTCGTCGTCCGAGACTTTGATCGATGGTTTCGCAGCGTGGACCAGATGGTCCTCCGGCGGCTGTGGAGTACATGCGGCGGCATATTCGTGCGCTTCGTCGAGCCAGTCCTCGGCCTGACCACCATCACGACCATGAGGAAAATGACGCTTGCATTCTTCGAAGCGGACACGGTACAGGACGTGCCGAAAAATGCGCAAATGGCCTACGACCGACACCACCGCGTCATCCGAGAAATGGTGCCCCCGGAGCGGCTGCTCTTCTACAGCCTGGGGGACGGCTGGGAGCCACTGTGCAGGTTCCTGGGAAAGCCGGTGCCGGACCTGGAGTTCCCGAGGGTCAACGACGCGCGAGCCCTGGAAGCAATGGGCCTCAGCTATTTCCTCTTCACCTTCAAGGCCGCCTGCTGGGTGGTGCCCTCCCGGGCTCTGGGGCCCGCCGCCATTGTGCTTGTCTTGTGGATGACGGCGAACAAGTATCTCTTCTGAGAGATGTCTCCGGCATTGTGGCCTATCCCTTCATGGCGGTCCGCATGGTATATCAAGGAGCGACTGAGAAGTGTTTACCACTTGGTTCAATGTAATATATCGTAAAGGGAGCTTTCCTTGGAGTGATACGGCAGAGGCACGCGATACCACGGCAGCCCGAGCATCAAAGGACTGGCCAGGGACATGGGAGCTCGCTTAGACGGGACGAGGGTCTCAGCTTGATGCCTTTGTGCGCTGGCAAAGGGCGGGGCTGGTGTTGCGGCTGATTCGAGCATGAGTCTACCCTGCCGGTGACCTCGTTTACTATATCTGAATAGATGAGAAGATAAGTATGCATATGCAGGCGCCGCGATGCTTGGGATCGGGTACGAACCATGCTTCTCCATCAGCAGTGCTCTTGGTGGCGCTCAAGAAGAAAGCACATGCTCGTGTCGCTCGATATACATAAACATATATTATATATCAATCTTTAATGGCTGAGGACAGAGTCATGCTTTGATGTAGTAGCAGCTTGGAATCGAGCCGAGAGGCCGACCATTGCGGCAGGAAGCAGTAGCCGGCCTCAGCCAGCGGTCAGTTAACGACGGCGTCGGCTGACATTCGTTTTGGGAGAAAAGAACCAGCTGAATGGAAGAGCAGCAGATCGCCAGCATTGGCGGACAGTGGACATGTTATGCGCTTATTCTTGACTAAACGCACCACCGAATAGGCTCGAGCTCCGGATCAGCTGAGCTCCCATTGCACCGGTAGGCCGGAGAGCTATTAAAAGAAACAAATCCCCTCCAGGCACGCTTGTCACGGCCTCGTCAGAGTCGCATTTGCGCACCAGGCTCCCCAGGCCTCGCCAGGTTGCGCAGGCATCTCTCTCTCTCCACACTCTGGCTCGTCCCCTCCCGGTGCCACACGTATGCACGACTCGACGGCCACGAGGGCTGCGAATGACGGGGCACGAGGCCGGAAGCGGAAGGTAGACGAGATAACGTCTCACTGCGACGGATCATGGTCAGCCAGCAAGCGAAGCAAAGCATCCAGCGCCGACCTGGACCGGATACCTGTGCGAGCTGGGCCCGGGATGCCGAGGAGAGGGGAAAGGAGATATGTGATAACGCTCGTGCGTGGATGGATGAATGGATGAATGGATGGATGGATGGATGGATGGATGGATGTACAATGGCATCAGGGGCTTTGAAGGCGAGAGATTCTCAACGACTGAACCGATCAGAGTCCGTGCAATCTCTGGCCACTTACACGGCGTTCTTGAATCCTGCAATCAAATGCCGAGGGCGCCCCCAAGACGCATATGCAGCCACATCGGCCAAGGACACAACCCCAGCGTCGAGCGTTGATACGCTCCCTCACAAACTCACTAGTGCCCCTGCTCCATCCCACCGGGCTCTAGAACCGGAGCGGAGGCCCCAGGGGCGGCTGATGCGAGCATGGGTTCGAGCATTGGCCCGAGAAAGACGCTGTCAGCCAGCCTAGTCGTTGGCACCGCGCGAGCGCCACGACGAGCTGCCTGCCGCCCTTGTTCGAGCCTCGGCGACGCCGACCACTGAGGAGCGGCAAAGCAGGCCTCCGGACTTGGCCATGGCCCGTCCCTTGTCGTGCCGGTGCTGGCCGTGAGGCTCCCGGAGGCCTGCTGGGCGCCTCCGCCGCACCGACGGCGAGAGACATGCAACGGACAGCCGTGTAAGGCCTGCTGCGCTTATTGGTGCCGAGGCAGGTTTGCTGAATTGATTGACAGGTATGTACCCGCCCTGTTGCATCCGAGAGCTTCCTGTCTTGTCTGCTACAGGTCCTTGGAGGGCTGCTTATTATTCGAGGAAACTGGCTGACGATCATGACACCCAATCCTCGCCGATCCTCGTAGTACGGGCTCCGGCGAGTATATATTGTTAGACTGGCCGGCCCTCCCTCTGCTCACTCTGTCTGCTTGTGGCTTCTCTGTCCAACCTTACATCCCGGGTCTCGTCCGACCACTGCACACCATCACCGCCGCCCCCAAGCCAGCCCAGTCAATCTTCTTGGTGCGTCCAGTCCAGTCCGACCAGCAAGATGCAGCTCCCTCTCGGTGTCTCTCTCGCTGCCCTTGTCTACGCCGCCCTGGCAGATGCCCAGGCCCGAGCTGGCACAAGATGCGGCAACACCGAGTACTCGGCCACCGACGTCAACAGGGCCTCTACCGCGGCCTGCAACTACGTCCGAGACGGCGGCCGTGCTGGCAGCTCCACCTATCCCCACGAATACCGCAACTTTGAAGGCTTTGAGTTCCAGGGCTTGGAACCTCCCTTTTACGAGTTTCCCATCCTCTCCTCCAAGAGGGTCTATGGCGGTGGTACGTGATCCTACTTGACACACCCTTTGGATGCCTTGGACGTCCCCCTTCATCCAGCTTTGATCTTCTCCTGACTCGTTGTGCATATTTAGGTCGCCCTGGTCCGGACCGCGTCATCATCACCCAGGACTGCTCGCAGGCTGGTCAACTCACACATACAGGCGCCAGTGGGAATCAATTTGTTGGATGCTCTGGGACGAACTAAGACGGAGAGTTCTGGAACAATGGGCCGGCTGCCGCGCACACGAGGGGCCAGTGCGGACCCTCCGAGGGGACACATCTGTGCATGATTCGAATGCAGAGGGGGTCTGGTTGTCTGGCGACTTGCGCGCTGTCTACGTTACTGCGCGCCAACCCGTCCTATCATGGCTGATTTGGAGCATACCGCGAGCACTATGACAGTGTTTCGCCTTTGTTCAAGTTTATAGAAAACATCTAGTCAAATAAAGCTGCCTCGCACGACTTGGCTCGACGTATGAGTTCGGCATGCCATGAGGCGTCCATGTAAAAATCGAGAAAGACATTCTTGTGTACACGTACTCCGCAAACACATGAATGCTTCTCTGCCAGCAGAGAAGCCTCGCAGTTACACAGTGTATCTGAAGAACGGGGCCCTGTCACCCTTTTCCGCCCCGGCCATCTTCTCCTCTCGAGTATACGAGTCCTGCCTCTTGCACAAGCGGTCCCGCCTCGAGTTCTCCCGTCGGAGATACCATGTCATGAAGGCGGCGAGCATACAGCTGGCGGCCGTGATGAGGAGCAAAATACCATGGCCGGAAACCAACCGCCGAGCATCGTCTTGTCGAATGATGAAGCCAGCAAGAGCACCGCCCAGGTTTCCCTACGCGACATCTGGGTTTCAGCGCCAGGTGCGTGACCTCGCCCTCGGCCAGTCAAAAGGAGGAGAACATCAACTCACGAAGCCGATATGCATTGCGATCCCCACGGCGCGCTTGGTCGACCCCCCAATGTTGTTGGCGTTCCACGCCACGTCTTGGGGGACAATGGGGTGGATTCCCATGACGACGAGAAAGCAGGCCATGTACTTGACGGCATGGCTCTGAGCGGAACTCAGGATGGCGAATCCAATCATGCTTTTCCCGCCGTCAGCCACTGAATCTTGGGCCTGGAAAGAGGAGGCCGAGAGGAAGAGACGGGGTCGCATGTACATACGCCAAGACGCAGAGTCCGATGATGAAGACGCCGCGTTGCCGGAATCGATCAGCCGCGAGCCCGGCACCGAGGGTGAGCAGGGCCGAGGCAGCGTGAGGCGGCAGGGCCATCAAGAGGGCGCCGTCGCCAGAGTAGCCGAGGTCTTGGATGATGACGGGGAGGAACTCGCCAATGGAATAGACGGGGACGCAGATGCCGACGGTCATGACCATGTGCACCCAAATCTTCCAGTCCAGGAGCGCGTGCTTGACGTATACGAGCTCGAACCGGTCCGAAAGACAGTTGGCGTCTTCCTCCAAGCGGCTCATCACAGCGCGCCTCTCCGAGTGCGTTAGAAACCTGGCCCGGTCCGGATAGTCGTGCATCATGGCAAAGGCGATTCCGGCTATCCTCGTTAGATGACGGGGTGGAGAAACATGGAGGCAAGGGGAGACCATACAGACGCAGAGAGTGACAAGGCCTTCGATGATGAAGATCCAGGACCAGCTGTTGAGGCCGCCGACGCCACGCATGCCCACGATGGCGTCCCCGAGGAAGCCGTTCATAGAGCCGCCGGCCACGGCGACCGCGAAGAAGATGGAGATCCGAAGCCCGTATTCATAGCGGCTGTACCACCGTGTTAAGCTGCCGCGGCCATCAGTCGAGGTTTCAACATCAAGACAAGGACAGAAGCATCAATGCCAAGGGACCTCACTAAAACACGAGGCCGGGAAACACGCCGCCCTCGACAACGCCCAGTAAGCACCGCATGGCGAGGAGGCCGGCAAAGTTCCTGACGAAGCCTAGAAGCACGGTTACGAGGGACCAAGCCACCATCAGTGAGGGTATCCAGAGAGAGGGCCGGAGCCGGTGCAGGGCCAGGTTGGACGGTATTTGCACGGCTAGGTAAAAGGGGAAGAATATTGATATTGCCGTCTACACGTACCCACGATTAGCCACGATATCGTGCCCATCAGTGACGAGAAGCTATAACCGAGGAGATACAAGGTCCGTGAGGCTTACATTGTAGTCATATTTGCTCGTAAACTTTAAGTCCTCTCCCAGCCCACTTCTCCTGGCGTTGCCCAAGTTGGAACGATCGAGGCACGAAAGCAGATATAGAACACAGATGAGCGGCAAGAGGTGACGGTCGATCTTGTTGAGAAGCTTCCTGGTCTCTCGCCTCGTTCGATGACGGCTCTCCACATCTTCATCGACGGCCATCTCAATCGCGCGGCCACTGTTCTCCCTGGGCGGCGCATGTTCGCGGCTGTGACTGGGTGGCTTGCTCGACTTCATGATGCCGAGCAGGAAACGGAGGGATGGCATTGAAGAGCGCTAGTAGGGCTGGCGAGGGATGCTCTCATGTTTTGGCAGCAAGTGCTCGATTCCTGCGCGGCGACAGTTGCAAACCAAGCCGAAAATGGAAGAGAATCATGATCAACCACCTCGCTGCGCCCAGAGGCTGATCGAGCTTGGAGGCTATATCCATCCGGATGGGACGCATGTTCACGCCCTAGGGATCAATAGATTCAGGTTTGCAGTGGAGAAACAGGGCTGTCGATCCTCCTTCAATCTCCACGGCGATGGCTTCCCGACGCCCGCGTATACTTGATATTCGGAGTAGTCGTAGTGAAGCAAAAGCAACTCCTACTGTCCAGCCTCTTACAGACTCGTGGGGCTCCCGACTCGGTGAGCAGGGTACGAAGTCTGAAGTACATATATGGGTATACGTATGCATAGACAAAAATCAAATCACCGAGCATGTACGCCTTGGCAGATGGCTCATCTCCGCTCACCTCGTGTATTGAAGAGAACTGAAGCTTACCCTTGATCCGAGATTGCCGTAGCCACCAACGTGTCTCAGGTCTAAACGCCACGAGTCCAACTGGCTCTTGGCAAAAACATTCTGCTGCCAACCGATGTCCTTACCGAAAAGTCCCCGGGTGACAGATTGATCCTTCGAAGCTCCCCAAAAGATGATCTGAAAGTCTGTTCTACAGAAGTCGTGGGCAACTTGAATTGATTGTTACTTCGTACGTGAAGTTTTATTAGACACCCTCTGTATAAAAGAAAAGACTTGCTTGAAACCCCTGCAGACTGCACACTCAATTCTTTGCACCGTATTGTTGGGTCGAAGTCAGGCTGCATAAGAGTTGCATGATACGGCTTGATGTTTGTCTAGCTGCAGACACGAGAATCTATCTGCCCTTTGGCTGATGTGCGACGGGTGAGCAAACTAGGTCAATAGAACAGCATGGGCTCCATGGCGCTCTTCATCTTTGGTTCCCGTGTTGATGCCGTTGGTCATGAAGCATCGGCACAAGGCTACGGCAATGACTTCGCATCCGACATGTCTCGGGAGAGCGATATCCCTTGTGCCTCAAGTCCTGACACCCGCGGTGCCAAGAACAAGTCTTGTTCGGTGCAACGTCCACCTCATCTACATGGCCGTATCCCATACCCAGACCCGGGTATAAGTATGAGGAAGGGCACGCTCGATGTCGGTATCTCCTACGACGAACAGACACCAATATCGACTCCTCAACATCTTTGACCCAAAGCAAGTGATGGGATCAGGGCAGAAATGTACACTCGTTTGCGATTGGCGGTCAAAGAAGACTTTCGTCTTGCGTCCAGCCATTGTGTGAGCCATATAGTTTATCGTCCATAAGGGTAGTCAAGACTCAAGGGATACCCGGGTATCCTCCAGGACCATGAAACTCTCCAGGGGCAGCTCGAGGAGCGCTTGCAAGCAGCTCACAGAAGGCACGGTGCAATGACATGTCCGTGTAACCGCAAGTAGCCAACCCACATGTAATGTAATGTAGGCTGTTGGTTACTCCCCGGTGTTGGGCAGCCATCAACAACGCTCCCAGGCATCTCCGACACGTATGCCCCGAGGTACCCAGTACGTCCTCGGTATGAATTCCATCTTTGTTTGAATTATTAGCTGGACTTGCCGTCGCCATCAACCCACGCCATCGAAAATCTGCACCCTGTTCGATACTTCGCACCAGACATCGCCAGCCATGTCCTCGACGTGGAGGCCTGAGCATCCGCAGCAGTTCTATGCCCCCGGATGGCATGAAGATGCCAAAACGCCCGTCGTCGACGGCAAGTACTACGACCGCGCCACAGGCGAGGTGCGCGTTGCCGACGCCGCCGAGTACGGGGGCCCGCCCGCGGTCGACATCATCGTCTCGAGTATTCATCAAGACACTGTCGGCTGCAGTACCCGCGCAGCTCGCCCATTCCCTGTCGAGGCACTCCTGTACCATATCATGCGCGTTATCCACGATGGGAAGCTGGAGCTTGATTCGCTCATTGCGACGCAGTATGCCATTCGCGTCGTTCTCTCGCATGAGCTGACTGTGGATGGATTCGGCGACGTGGCTGACGAAATGGTGAATGGCATCTGGAAGCAAGAGGGAGAACAAGCCACCTGAAAAGAATTCGATGGGGGCGAGACAGTGCACGAGAAATCGTGTTATATAGGACCCTACTTCTTAGCCCGAGCATACCATGCTCGCTTTAGGCCACAATGCCTTGCCTTCTATCCCTCCTCGTCCCCAATCTGATGTTTTGACAGTCGAAGACGGTGGTGCTGCTGTGTGTACGTCCAACAAACGGAGTACCTTGACCAACATGAGCAGTGGCTCACCTTAGAGGCCAAGACTCCTTTAAACACACTCCTCAACGGCTTCCCAAGTGGCGTCCTCGTCTTTGCCCTCGCTCCTATCCTTGCTTGCCTGGAAAGTGCATTCTGTAACCTGGGAGAGGCACTATTCGAGGCATTTGCCAGGGTCACTGCAAAGCGCTTGCTCCCTTGACTTGCGGCCTTTGGGGCGGCTCGGCTGGTTGGTCTGCCACCAGGGGCCGACATTTGGCACAAGACATTCGTGACGCAATGAATTTCCCCCGACAATATAGCCGTAGATGTTAAAGAGAGAGATATGCGTATTTTAATAGGTGTACATTGTAAACATAGTTATATCTTCTGTTCTGACAGCTAAATGTAAGACTTTGGCGGAAATCTGGGCCTTTTTGCCAGGTGGAATTGGGTTCGTCATCTGGTGGGTCTATTTGCCCCAACCGGCTTGGTTGTTGATCGCTTCAACAGCCGTGTCACGCTTTCCCCATCCTGCTTGGTTGTTGATCGCCTCGACGGCGGTATCTCGCTTTCCCCAGCCGGCCTGATTGTTGATGGCTTCAACGGCCGTGTCTCGCTTTCCCCAGCCGGCCTGGTTGTTGATCGCTTCAACAGCTTTGGTGGGAGCAGCGTTCACGAATCCGAAAAGGAGAGAGGCAACGGGAAGAATCTGGGTGGCCTTCATTTTCCCGTCTGATGTCAATGGTCTTTGAGACGTGATAGTCAAATGTATTAGGATGAATGATAATGGTATGTATGCCTCGCCAACCCGACTGCAGCCAGCGCTTGCCAGGACTTTATTGCTTGCCCGTGCGTGTGATGTATCTTGCTGTCCTTCTGGACCGGTAGGAGAGGATGCTGGATGGCTGGATGTATCGATACCTTTGACCAGGGTCAGCCGCACACCAGAACAGCATCTGGCCACCCATATCACTCCCTGCGCCTGCGGCATGTAAGACGCGTTGCAACGTAGGTAGGTTCGGCGGTGAGGAGAGCCATGGAATCAAGCCAAGGGCTACGACCGATGGGCACTAGCCGTCAGATTTGGCACGGGATATCCGAGTCTCGCCTCATAATATAGGCAGACTGGAAACATCCAAGACCCTGGATCAGGATTCCTGACCCAGAGAAACGCTGATCCTTGTATGCCAACTTTGTGTGTGAAAGGCGCACGTGCCAAGGGCACGTTGCATGATCTTTAACGGGAACCGTCACGCGTTGAACCATATCAGTTCCGGTGCTCTTGAAAGGTTGGCAGTACTCCTGGTGCTTGCTCTTGTTGATAGAAGAATGGAGTTGCCAGGGGAGGTCTCCTCCAACATTTGATCGTACCGAAACACCGTATTTAACCAAAAAGTGTGCCGATGGGAGTCTCTCACTTAATCGAATAATCGTGTCCAAGCCAACGTTGTGAGGGCGGAGCCTCGCATAACCAGCGGCTATAATCTCACGGCGTGGGGCAACAAAGAGCTCAGGTCCGGGGCAACTTAAGCCTTGATTTGATGTAGAAGCAGTTGATACACCCGCGTAATATCATGTTTTCAAGCACCAATCCCGTTGAGATAGTGCTTACTCTTGCAAGTACAGCACCCACTTCATGGCACAACATGATCATCATACTACCATGGCCGGCGCTTATCCCCAGTCTCTAAGCAGGCAGAATTGATGTGAGATCCACTTTCCCACCGTGATTCCCATTGCCTCTCCGTGCCGGTCGGGCCTGCATTCGCCAAGACAATCGAGGCTTACACAATTCGATCCTCTGGCTCCGTCCCGTGGCTTCCTCGATCCTCCGAGCTCGTCGCTGTTCATCCTGATTCGGGTCCCAGGCTCGATTTCATTCATGTCTGAGACTCTCTCGGGCAATCCGAGATGTTTCCAAGAAGGTCGGACGAATCTCTCGACGAAGAACACCTGCTACCCGTCGCGAGAGAAAAAAGACACGACCAATCGCGGCAGGCTCGCAGGCGCTCCTCAAAATCTCAATGTTTCGTGCTTTCCATTGCCTTGAATATCGTTTTGTGCATTTACGGCACGTCCATATGGGTCTTTTCGATTCGAAAAGCTTGGGGACCCTATATTCCCAATGAAATTTATTGTACGTTAACGTTTGGTCCTCATACACATATATGGAGGCTCAATGATTCTCGTTACAGCTCCTGCGTACTCTGCTGTCGAATACGAGACGGTCGTCTTCACCGGAGGCTTGCATGGCGATAAATCAGAGTATCAAGGGTGGTCCGACGAAGTGAACGCGCGATGGGAGGCATTGTACAACGGTATGATGGCCTCCATTCTCATTTATTGTCGTCTACCATATCGGGACTTTTGTTAAACGGCCTCTTCCTAGATATCGGCATTTCACAGATTCCCGCGGACTCAGCTGCTCGCCTCCCCAACGCTACGACACCAATCGCAAGCGACCCGACACAGTACATGGTCGAGCTCGACGTCTTTCACCAGCTGCACTGTCTAAACCTCTTGCGCAAACTTGCATACCCCGATGTTTTCCCTCTAGACCTGACGCCGGGCTCGGAAGAGGCTCAGGACAACATCTATCACATGGAGCACTGCTATGATCAGTTGCGACAGTCGCTACAATGCTCGTCTGACATCAGTACCATCTATTGGGAGTGGAGCCCGAAGAAGAGCAAGATGTTCGGGAACCTGCGCACGACACATACGTGCAAGAACTTTGCCAAGATCCGGGAATGGGCCGTGGAACATAGACTCAGGGAGGAGTTTGACTGGTTCAAGAAGGTTCGAGGAGCCCCGATTAGACACTCTGAGTAGACAGACGGCAACTGAATGGCCACAACATGAATTCACTATTTGGTCTTGTATCCTCATAGATCGAGCTACGAAGTAGAACGGACTTGGCATCAGAACTCGGGAAAGTGTGTCTCCCAGAGCAGCAGTTTCTCGACTAAGATTGGGTGGACGGTTTTGTGCCAGAATCAAGGTACGGAAATGCAGCGCTGGGCATCATGCCATGTCAAGGTCTTGGAAGGCACCGGGCTGCTTAGCAGAGCGACCACAAACATCAAGCCGGTAGCCTCATGCCATGTAACGTCGCCTGGTCATGGATTCATTGATTTAGCGTCAGGCAGACAAACGCCACGATGCTGCAAGTCAGCACTACCTGCTTTTGATCCGGACCCTGTGCGGGCCCACGCGCAGGATGCAAAGGGTGAGGCGCGTAAAGAATATCCGAGAGATCGGCAAGTCTCCGTGGCATTGGAACATGAGCGCAACTTGGCCTCACAATGCTTGATGCTCACCGGAGTGACTGTAGGTGAAGCCAGGCGCCTCTCACGGCAGGCAATTTTTCAGGATCATTCCCACAAGTGTGGCCTTGCTGCTCAGGCTCTTCCTCAAGAACGTTGCTGTTTAACCGAGCTACTGACACACAGTTCAGAGTCAGCTAAGAGGGCATGATGGATCGGATCAAAGCAGGCGTTGGCTTTGTCAAGGCCAAGGCGACGAGTTCCCGCGAATACTCGATGATCGCCAAAAGCGACGGGGACGACGAGCTGGAATACGAGCACCAGGAAATCCAGAACAAGGGCCCCCAACGGCGGTGGCTCCCTCTGACGACCTCGTTTCTGCTCGGAGTCTTCATCATGGCAGTCGTGTCCGTGGCCTGGGACTTGACCTCGCTGCGCAAATCAGCAGCAGCGAATCGCAAAATCCCACAGATTCGGCAAGGAACAGACGCGAAAACGGGCCTCCCGCTGAGCTGGTCCCACGGCGACTGCGGAAACTCGCCGGCCGATGCCCAAACGCTGGGGTGCCGCTACAGCATCGTGCTTCACGCATGGCTCCCTCGGGACTGCCTCACGGACGACGACCTGGCAGACGAAGGCCTCATGTACCGAGGGCGGGACTGGCCCTACGAGACCGACGGCAAGAACCTCACCATGGACGAGCTGCGAGGCGGCCGCTATCATCACTTCACCACCACCTTTGACTGGCACGTCACTCATTGCATGTATGTGTGGAAGCGGCTGCACAGGGTGATGCTGGACGCGACCCAGAAGCTGGATTCTTATACGGCGAATTTCCATCATACCGGTCACTGTGTCAAGATGATTGGGGGGGGATCGGGGCATCAAGGGATGAAGAACTCGGGGACCAAGATTTTTGTGAAATATCCGGTATGTGCTTAGTGAAGCGTAAACACAAACCTTGACGTCCAAGTAGGAGCAGGATCTGTTCAGTCCATACGTACATACGAATACATGTAAGGCTCACAGTGGTATTTGGCCACTCAAGCAGCGTAAAATCGTCCGCGCCTATCTATAGTCCCGTATGCTGCCCAGTGGTTACGGGAGGCAAACGCCTGTACCCTCCGGCGAAGTCAATCTGCGGAGACGACCATAGCTTAAAGAGCCGCATGCATGTCAGCACGAGTATTGAAGCTAAGTCCGGATGCCCGCTGCACATGCCGCCCCAACGAGCCCTTGTGATGCCTCCGCGTCGTGCCTCTGCGTCCGCAAGCGCCTAGCCTGGAGATGCGCCTCCGAGGGGGCGAGCAAAGAGGCAAGTACTGGTACATCTGACCCTTTTATTACATTGTGGGATGGAAACGTTGCTCTTCACAGTGACGTGAGATGCCGCCGGTATCATTGCCTGCCGGAGCGTACCATGCTTTGCCTGCTCCGCCGCGTCCACCGACGCCAAAGTCCCTCTTGTCCGTCTAACATGACCGCCCTCGCCTGTTCAAGGCCTCGAATGTACTGGAGGAGCCAGAAGTCAACGAAATCATCATGTTGAAGCCGCCCAAGCCTGAAGCCGGATACACTCCTCTTGCCGAGGCGGAGTCGGTCACGGATACGCTCAAACCCAGGGCGCAGTATCATGAGAGACGACGCTCCAGGTCGTCTAGGACTATTCACGGAGGAATAATCTGCTTTGAGCTTGTAGCTTGCATTCTTCTGATCGTGGGCTTCGTCGTCTTGCGGGTTTCCAGTGGGAAGCTTCTGGACGGACTGTCTCACCTCGCATCGTACAACACCAGCATGAGGTTCGAGAACAACTCGCATCTCCTCGCCGATTCCCGCCAAGCCGACGACTACTGGAGACTCCTTCTCAAGAGCGGCGGAGTCGTCTCCCTTGACACGGAGTGGGCGCTCGGCCAGGGCTTGCGGCCGTCAGCGCAGTCGCCGACGGATGCGTCCCAGAGCATCTACCAGATCGACGTTTTCCACGCGCTCCACTGCTTGGTAGGTTTGTGGTGTGATTCAGTAATCCACTTCTTTTTCATCTGTCTGTATTTTGTTGCCTGACACCCATGTGCATCTAGAATTCGATACGGCAGAACCTCATGTCCAAAACGCCCCCTCCCTGGGACGAGAAGCACATGCTGCACTGCCTTGACTACGTGAGACACCAGCTACTATGCCATCCAGACCTCACACTCGTGCATACAAACGACCTGGAAGAGTTTGTTTTGGACCAAAGTCATTCATGCAGAGATTATGGGGCACTGGTCGATTGGGTCCATCGCCATCGCTGGGTCGAGTTTCCCGAGTGGTTGAAAGCCAAAGGCACCAAGGCGACGCACAATCACGCAATACGATAAAAAAAAGAGCACCGAATGTTGGAATTTATGAGACTACTGCTACCCGAGCGTGTCGACGGTTCACAATCCACAATCAGTCTTGTCCGGCTCGTATGTGCTGTGTGCAGAGGTATGAAGCATATCATGTACTTCTGACTCCCGCATCGGCGTGGAAATGGGTTCTCATTCAGCTTTAAAATGCCACTGCGGGCTTGTGAGCCAACGCGAGCTTCCAGTACTTGAGAGACGGAATGTCCGTCCTTGGAACGGTTCGACCAGTCCGCTCTGAAGCTGGACTGCATCAGTGGCCAACAACCCGCAACGTGAAACTGCATAAACCCGGATGAGATGAGAAGGAGGAGGGAGTTGCTTTTCCGACAGGAAAGCATGTGATTTGGGACATTTCCCATGGCTGAAAATGCCAGACCGATATGCCCTCGCTGCCGTCTGCACATCACATGCAAAGCGATGGCGGTTCAATATTGATTTGCATTGCTTTGATATGCCTCATGAGATGACCAGGGCACACGCTTTATTAGCATGTCTTCGAGATTCTCCCTCTCTTGGTACTATCAACTGGTCTTGCAAGAAAAAGCTGGCTGCCATGTCACCATCAGTCTTTTTCCTTCCCCATTCTTGGCGTGATCTAGGTGCATAACTTGCACCCATTGCCGTTCCAAGTCCAAGATGTCCTGCCATGCAGAAACGGGTCATCTCCAGCATGTATCACCAATGCATCGAGGCCGCTGCGGGCTGGCTTCAACAACAAGGCTCGTCGAGACTCGCTGCGGTCAGGCCCGTCACATCAAGCCAAGCCGGGGGACATGGACGCCGGGCAAGAAAACCACTTGGTCGTCTGCAGAGCCATCACTATGCATGAACCTGATAGTATCACGGTAGCACCGCATCCTCGGTGATGCGTGGTGCAGACCCGCTCTTCCTCGCATGCCAATAATACTTTCAGCCCCTTTCAACCAAGGCAAATCCCCACCAATAACCAACCTGCCCAAGTAGGAAGCCCGTCACCATCTGAACCAATGAGACGCCTTAGCGACAGCCGCTAATCCCGGACCGATAGCCGCACGCCGGAGCCAGACCGGATCCAGTACCGGGCCTCTCGGGTCTTGCTAGGAGCTGAAACACCTGCGAGCATCTCGCCTACCTACTTGACCACCCACTGTACACATTACCGCTATTTTGCTCATGATAACAAGAGAAAGGAGTCGCGCCTAATGGTGTGCGAAGTAGGGGCCGGATACTCCGAGGTCTTGAGGGCTTGACCACGGATATTCGGAAAGCCATGATGGACAATAGCAGACGAGATGTTACTCGAGAAAATTGACGAATGCCCTCACGTAAGTGCTAATGTCTGCCCCTCGCGAATGACGGGACCTCCCCAGATGTGGCAGTGCATCGCAGCTTCTGGTCAGACCTACCTCCCGCCTCTGGCATCAATACCAGTCTCGTCTGTGCAAGAACAACATTCATGTCTGCACTTGTCTAAGCTTGAAAATGTCCAAGGGTCGCCTAATTGCTTCATCCCCTCTCATCACGTCTTGATTCTCGGTTCAGGTAACCGGGCAAACCCGGGTCTCTCCTTGGCAAAGAGCCGAGGCTGCTCTGCCTTGCCAATACGAGACGGAACCTCTTCGCCGAACCGTCTCCGTCCTCGTCAGGAACAGGAACAATCTCGCTTCCGCCTAGAGCAGCTGCCTTTGCCTAGTCTGTCGGTGCAAGCTTCAAGAAGTCATCTCGTCTGCAAACCTGTCAGTGCCTTTGGGGCCCCCTAGGCTGCTCGTACAGTCATATCCCTGAAAGATTGTTAGCTTTTGTGTAACAATTGTATGGGGCCTACTGGTGATACAAATTGACATACAATCTTTCAGGGATATGGGTGTAGGAGCCAACAGCACCGTGATATTACGGAGCCATTCGTCTCTCCATCGCCGACTGACAACCCAGCCTCCTGGCCGTACACCGCGGCTGAGGTTTCGGTCCCTTTATCCTCCCACTCTCGCCTACATACCGCCTCACCCATCGCTCCGTGACGCACAAACCCTTCCTCCACTTACTGTCTTGCCCTGATAGTCGGTTGCCTTGTTTTCAATATCCGACGAACAGTCACGTCGTTGCGAATATAAAGAGCGCCGCTTCCCTGGCCTTTATTTTCGGTTTGCATCAACTCGCACTCCATTTTTAAGCACCGCTCGTCAATACTACTCTTATCTGCCTCTATCTTTGCTCTCTTTGCCCTCTTTGCCCGTAGAAACCCACCTCCATCAAGACACTTCTCTCTAGGTAATCATCCCTTCCAGCTTGCCTCGGTATCCCGACTCGACTCGCTCCTTGAAGACTGGCCAACTCTTCCCTACCCCAGTCCCTTAGAGCTCCATTCTCACCAAAATGGTCGCCATCACCAGCACACTCCTCACCCTCGCCATGACCCTCGCATCCGCTGTGGCTGTTCCTGCTAGCACCGAGTCCACGGCCAAGCTCACCACCCGAGCCACCGGTGAAATTACCTATTTCAACCCAGCCCTCGGTGCGTGCGGCGAGACCAACGGTGATGGGGACGCTGTTGCCGCCCTCGCGGCGTCCCTGTTCGACGCCGAGCGCCCTTGCAATCGCAACATCCGCGTCTCGTACGAGGGTCGGAGCATGACGGTCCGTGTCGTTGACCGCTGCCAAGCCTGCGTCGGCAACGACGTCGACCTCTCCCCATCGGCCTTCCAGCAGGTCATTGGCGACCTTGGCCTGGGCCGCGTTCAGGCCTCTTGGGAGTGGGCTTGAGGATGGGCTGACCGGGTGGCTCGGGTTACGTTCGGCATGGGCAACGATTCAAGAACTTCGAGTGGCGATGACTCGGGAGCAAGCAGGGGGACTTGGAGCTCGAAAGCATAGAAACTCACGAGAAAGAACGATAAAGGCAGTCTCCAAAGGCTGTGTTGACTTTCACCTGCCATAGTAGACTCTCGTGCGGATACGTGCCCGACTTGCACCCCACTCTTGACTATTGAAGGCTCTGCCGTGTCCATATCAATTTCGATTGGTTTCTTTTGAAGCATTCAGTGTTGCTTTTCTAGTCTTTGGTCAAGTGCCCAAGCCAAAACCCAACAAACGCCATGCCCCCGGTTCATTGCACTCGTATCCAAAAGGAGCCTGCTCGAAACGCTATTGGAAGTTTGCTCTCATGTCCCATCCTTGATCAATGGCACCAATTCAGGCACTCCCCAGCGACACCGCTCTCTCCATTTGCGCCTGCTCCCCGTCATGTACAAAGCCTCTAACTAGTCTTGTTCTTGGAAGTGTTGGGCCGCCCAAAAGCAGGCAGCCACTTTCTCCGACTCCCCGGGCCAGTGCTTGCACCCGCGCCCGTCCCACTGCCTTCGGACTGCTGTGCAGGCGCCATCTTCGCATCTTCGTTAACGTCCTGCGGCGCATTCGTGGCCGGCGTGGCTTCGGCCGGCAACAGAGGCGAAGCCGGCCTCTCCGCCTCGCACGTGTTTCGGCGTGCTTGGCGTGGGTTCAACACAATTGGCGGAGGAGTTGCCCCGGAACGCTCATCCTCTGCAGGACCGTTTCGGAGCACCCACGAGGGAACGCCCATGGGGTGGTAATTCTTGGAGGCTTCGGCAGCGACCCCCGTCTCGGCAGTGGTGCTGGCCGGGGCGTCTTCGGCCGGGGCATTCGACGACGAACCCGCGCCAATCGATCGCCTCAGTAGTCTGTTAAGTCCGGCGCGAGCCCCCTGTTGCCCCGAAATGGGCGGGTAGCGCTTCTGATCGCTGCCGGGCTGGGGAGGGGGCGCCTGTGGCTGCTGCACGGGAGTTCGCAGGTCTGCCCTCTTCTGCGTATCCTCGCTCTGTTTCTTGCCGTGACGGGCCCGCGTGCTGGCCGAGTTACTGCCTCCGTCATTACTGGCAGCAGCCGCAAACCCGTCAAATGTCGAGCCTGTATGCGCGTGAAGGCTGGATCGCCGGTCGGGCGGTTGAGGGCCAGAGGTCCAGGGGAACAGTTGATGACGGAGCGAGAGGAGGCCATGCATGTGGCTCTGACTGGGCGCGATGCTTGCACCCTCCGTCTGGCCGCTGTTTGCGCCGCCATACATGGGTTGCGCGGCCCAGCCACCCTCGGCAGTGTTTGTGGGGAAGCTGAAAAGGTCTGGAGAGACCTGGTTGTCAGGCTTGGCGCTCTCCCGCAGCCAAATATCGAGGCTCGACTCGAGCGAGCGCGTGTCCGTGTCATCGCTATCACTATCCCAGTCATTGCCCCCCTTGCGGAACACGGCGGGCTCGCGCGCAGTCTGCGTGCGCAACGCAGTTGCCTGCCGATGATCAGTGTGCGTGCTGCTCGTGCCATCGCCCGTATCGCCCGACCCGTGTCTAGATGAGAGATGTCCGCTCAGGGGAACCCCAGACGCGGGTTCCGACGTTTTGGCGTCCTGGGGGCCGGTCTGGAGCAGGGCACCGTTGAGCTCCTGCTCCTGCAATAAGGTCTCATTCGAGTTTTTGAAGCGGTGGAGCGTGGATGTCGATATCGTGTCGGGCGTCGGGGGCATTCCTTGGTCGTGCAGGCGAGCGCCGCCTGGCCCGTCGGTCAAGACCCTTCGCAGGGCTTCTCGCTTCTCTTCCTTGGTAGGTCTGCGTGATGGTGCCGTGTGTGCGGGTATGACTGGAGAATCATCCAGGCCTATGCTTTGGCCCTGAGACCCGACAGCCTCTCTCCAGTTCGCATACGCGGGGTCGAGGCGCATGATGCGCTGAAGAGGGGACTCGTAGCCAATGACGCCCGTGATAGACTGTAATGGCACCGCGGTGCTGGACCGAGGCGGTGGTTTGCCAATGCCCGCCACCCGACCCACCGATGCCGCTCGTCTCCTGGACGCTGGAGCATCATCTGGGCAGGGCCTGTTGAGGCCGACGTCGAGCCCATCCAGTGTCAGAGGCTCGTCAACGAATGCAGGCGGCATCTGCCCCAGCTCCTTGCCTTGATCCTTTTGTCCGTAGACGCTCACAAAGGAACTTTCGCTTAGGACACTTAGAGTTGGACTGGCCAGGGGTTGGGCGGGTGTGCCGTCCGGCTCCACGGAGCCCTCGGCGACTCGAGGCAGGCTTAGGGTGCTACCGCCGCGGACGCCGAGGTACACGGTCCGGAGGTGTTCGGTGTTCTCGCTTCGTTCCGACAGGAAACTCGGCATGCGGTTGACGACCTTGACATCGTCGTCTAGCTTGGTGACGCGCGGTCCCGCCGCCTGGGGTGTGGCAGTTCCGTAACTTGAGCCGAAGTCCCGGGTGCTGAACAAGCCCGCGCTCTCCACCCGCTGCACCATGCAGCGCTCCGTGACGAGTTGGTCAACCTTGGCCTCGAGCATGACAATCATGGCAACGGCTTCCTCGACAGCCTTGTCGCGTTTCTCGAGCTCCTCGACAAGCCTATCGGTTACGTCGTGTGTCTTTTTCCGGTTAGCGTCGAGAGCCTCGATGCGCTCTTCCAGCGCCGTCTGTCTCTCGCGCCGGTGGAAGAGCTCGAGCTTGAGGTCGAAGTTTTGTTTATGCAGGCTGGAGACGACCTGTGTGATTCGAGGTTGGACAAGCTGCTACTGAGCCAGCGGCATGAGGGACACGCACCTGTTCCATTTCCTTCAGGCCCAGACCCCTTTTCTTAGGCGGCTCCATCCCAGCGCTCGATCGGGGCCGGCCGCCGAGAGGGTCGGGGGCTTTGAAGAGCGAGGTCTGGACAATGCGGCCAATGTCGACCGAGGCGCTCATGTCGGCCCGGGACAGCGAGGCCGAGAAAGCCAGCTTGTCGCTCTCGGCCTTGCGTTCCCGTTGCAACTTTTCCTGCAAGAAGGAAGAGAGCGCAGGCTGCCGCACCATCTCAGGGCTACCCTGCCGGGAGGGATGGGCCATGGCTCGCGAAGCAGGTCGTGGTGAACCAGGGGACTTTGTGAGTGGGCTATGGGGATGCCGAGGGGCAGCCGAATGGGCGGCTGCAGGCTGTGGCGAGCCCGCAACTTGGGAAGCGGAGCTATTTGCGGTGGGAGGCGTTGTCCATGAGCTGCTGGCGCCGGACGAGCGGGATGGAGCTCGAGGATATGGAGCTCGGGACTGGCGTCGAGGCTGGGGCTGAGACGCATCCATTTCGAAGAGCCGATGGAACCAGCCAAGGCGCGGACGAGCGGTTCGAGTGAGCCTTTAGGTTCGAGACTGCAAAGTCGTTCAGTCATCGAGGCCGGGAGCAGGGATGGCTCGAAAATAGGAAAAATAAGGGGGGGGGGGAGGAGGTTTGGAGGTGGGAGGGGAAAAGAAACTGACCGTGAATGGCGAGCGTCAATGGGGATGGTGCTCGCCGGTGGTCGGCATTCGTTGGACGTAATGGCTGATACGAGCTCCCTCGCTGACACACTGGCAGGCTTCACTCTGCGACAGTGTTGCTATTCGTGTGCATGAATGTCTCAAAGCACACCATGTGCTCGGCTGCGAGATGGGGGGCTGCGGTGTGACGACGACGCTGGGGCGGGTTGTTTCTTATTTGGCGAGCGAGCGGCGGCTATGTTGCTTGGAGCTTTGGAGGGATTGAAGAGGGCGAGGCCGTGGCGGGTGACGTGACGAGTTGCGGAAGAGCTGGTTGCTCCAGAAGCGAGGACTTGTGGTGTCTCAGATGGATCGAAGACGATTGGGGGGAGCGGGTTGCTGGGCAGTCGAGTGGCTTAGACAATCGACATGATGCGCACGAGCGGGTGGAGGAATGCCGACGAGATCATAGGTCAGAGGAGGAGATGTCGAGGTTGATTGAAGGAGGAGGAGTTAACAGAGGAGAGAGCAGAAGAGGTGTCGACGAGGCTGGGCAGAGAGAGAGCTGCCGGTGGGTACCCGGTACCTTGCGCGGCCAAGCAGACGGTACTGTGCGGTTGGGACTGTGCCACCAACGGGGACATTTTTAGGGTGGGTGGGGAGGAGCGACCTGCACCACCTTCTACCAAAGGCAGGCATCAGCACGGCGGGAAGGCCCGTGCATCCACCAGAAAGGTACGTACTGCTGATAGAGCACTAGCATTGTTGAACAGGATTCATTGTTTACCCTCCGGCCCTCCAGCATTAAGATGGCAGGGTGGTAATGGTCAATTTACATGCCCTTTCCCAAGTCCAATTGGAATGACACCTGGGATTGGACATTAATTAAGGGCGCCGACATGAAATGCAGCCCCCCGTCACTTTTAGGGGTCGTCGATGCAAGCCAATCTTTCCGTGGCCGGCTGACAAGCGCCTGTTCAGCTATCGCCGACGCCGTCATTCAAGCTCTGGTGGTGTGCAGACTACGGTACATACATGCAAGGCCCGGCAGCCCTCTGAGCCAAGGGGATGGAAAAAGAAAGCGCATCTTCTCGCATGTGCAGCGCGACACATGCAGCAGCGCCCATGTCCGCCCACAGCCAAAGTCGCAGCGCGACAAAAGGGCTCAAGGGCTGCCTCGTCTTCTGCGTGTCCGCCTGTTGGCTGGCTGCTCTTCTCCTTCGTCTTTGCTCTTTCCCATTTTTTACGTGCACTGATGAAACGGCTTCCCCGGACGATTCACCGCTCAGCAGTCAAGCCCGCACCGTGCGAGCTGAGCGCACCAACAGGCCAACCAGGCGCCTCTCCGTGCCGGCGGTCACAGGGGGTCCCCGGCCCCGGCTCCGCCTTCCGCCTGTGCCCCGGTCGAGACAGGCCAACGGCGACGGTACCGTACGGGGGCTGGTGTCTCAACACTGTAAAGGCCTGAGTACTCGCCTGTGTCTTGTAGCGATAGCGCTCGAGTCTTTGGAGCACGGGCGAGTGTTGGGGGGTCGAATGCTGTCCAAGCGTTTACTCCAGACCTCTATGGATCGGTCCCGTCGATGCCAGCGAAGGCGAAATGCCTCTCCCCTCCTTCTTCCGAGCCAATCTCGTCAAAAGCTTGGTATGGGTACATCCCAAATCGTGCCAAGAAAACAGCCCACATCCCACAGCCCCATCTTCTCCCTTCCATCATGCACTGTACTGTCTGTACCCTCTCCTGTGGGCGTCCCTACGGACGTACATACACACACACATGCAGGGTGGACATTGGCGCAGCTACGGCATGCATCCTCGCAGCGCCCGCCAAACTTTTGCTCGTCCCGGTCCGCTAGGCCGGCCCCTGATGGCGCCAAATCGAGCCAGCCCCTTCGGATGAGCCCACTGGTACTGTGAGCTTGGTCCCCTCCCATCTTCGCCCCATCCTCCTCCACCGGCTCGAGCCTCCTTTGCCGACGGCTTGGGGGCTGAGGCGAGTCTTAGGTCCGTCAGTGATCCGCCGCAGGCAGTTGAGCAGCTGCGCCTCGTCAAATGGATGGAGTTTGAAGCTCGGCTCATGAACATGGTCGATGAAGGGAATACCCGATGTTGAATCGTGCACTTGGCTCAGTCATTAATTACTCTCTATTCGTAATTCTAGGCCATCTTCCCCCATCATAACATTATGTACCGCTGAAAATCCCCGCTATTTGCGACCAGTCTCGGCAGCCGTGGGCCATCCGGGAATCTCGGCAAACCAGCGTGACCGATAAAGTGCCTCGCCATTAAAGAGAGTCGAATATACCCCCGTTGGGCTTAACAGGTTGACTTGCCTCGCGATCACGCTCAACGACCTCCATGGGGCCTGGACATAGAGCGCACCGCCCTCTGGAAGCAAACTGACGCTTTTTATGTCAGACCGAGACAAGACTTCCCCGTCATATCCCATCCGGTTGCCCAGTGCCTGAAAGCCCTTCAAGTGGTCCTTCACCAACTGCTCCCCGGAATGGTTAAACTCCCCAGTCGAAAGATTGATGGCGTGCATGCCGCGGTCCATCGGGAAGAGGAGTAGGCGCTCCGACGGGACGCGGACAAGATCGTGCGGACCATTCCACCACTTGGCAAAGCTTCCGTCCCATTCGGAGCCTAGCTGTTTGGCAACCGACATAGTGTAGGTGGTAGATTTGCCAAGCCGGGGAAACTCGTTCAACTTGTACCCTTGGATGACGCCGTACGAAGTGCCGCCGCTTCCATCCGCTGCGTCCGTGTTGCCCGCTGCCCATAGCGTCTGGCTCTGCTGTTCCCAGACCATCCCATGAATAGCCCTCACACCCGGCAGCTTCTGGACGGGGGCCGGACTAGCAGCCATCTTGCTTGCATCATACACCCAAACCCCGGCGTCGGGTCCTTGGCCAGTAGTAGCCACTGCCAAGAGGTTTCCTGGTAGCAACTCGAGAGTGTGCGCGTTTCCCAATTCGCCCTCGAGACAGACAGCAAACTGAACCGCTTTATCGTCATGCTTTCCCGGCGCGTGGTTGATCAAAACAGCAGCACCGCCCATGATTGCCACAATCTTCTCCCCCTGATGAGCAAACTTGACTTCAGTCGCAGACTGGCCGCCCTGGACGCAGCGCTGGAGGCTAGCTGGGAGGAGGCCTAGCCCCGTGTTCACGTCCCAGGTCCAGGAAACTTTGCCCTGACCATCATGTATCGCTATCTTCGGCACGGTCCCGTAGAACCCTGTAATGATTTGGGGGGTTTGGTGGGGCGCTTTCGATTCTGGATCTGTCAATGACGTGACTGTGCCGGCGAAGAAAAGGAGCAAGACATAGAGCAGGTAAGTTGCCAACGGCCGGCATGTACTGAACGTCGGAAGCATTATTGAGTTGGCTTGAGGGGATAACGTCTAATAGAGTCAAAGGGGATAAGAAGCAAACACTCAAAGCGATAAAGACATGCATCTCAAGCAACGTTGCGTCGCTGGTCTTGCCCTGTTATATGTACAATGGGCCGGCGAATGCAAGGTATTCAGCCTCGGATTGCCGTCTATCCGGAGGAGTTCTCATAACAATGATGACGCGTTGCTGTACGCCAAAATCACTATTCGTATCCCTTACGAGGCCCGAAGGCTGCAAGCATGTACTCCTCTTACCGTCCCCTGCATCTGCTGCTATACCCTTAGTGACTTGATCTGCCATGTATAACTGCGCGTAAGTAAAGTACTGCTATGTAGGCTGTGAAGATCGAAGGACTTTTGTGTGGGTGGCAATTAATATGCAGGTCAGCGTGCGGCCTCTGAGTGGCCAAGGTCACTGAGAGATGCCCCATTACAGCCTTCGGGCCTTGAAAGAGATACAATCTCGTGCCACCCCAAGCCTACGGCATCTCCCTTCCCCCCCACCAAGATACGACTGAACAGTACTTGTCATCGCCGTGGCCTAGACTTGAGCAACCCGGGTAAGCCGATCGTGAACAGTGACGCGGAGTATTCGTAGTTGTATAGTAAAGGCTTACCCGTTGATCTTGGTGTGGGGCCACAGCAGCCCAACTAAGTGTCTTCGCCACTTAGTTGGCCCAAAAAATCCGGCACAGCCCAAAAAATCCGGCACAGCAGGGTCCTCAATTTGGGGTGCAAAATCAAGGAAATTCTACGCTTCGCTTCATGGTGCCGTCAATGCGACTTCAAATAGCTAAAATATACATGTGATCAATAGCTGCGGATCACCTAAAGACGCAAGTAACAACGAAAAGTGAAAAATCACGTCTTTGGGCCTATTTAGAGCTGCCGCCTTCCAGTCGAAGAGATAGGAAGACCGCGTTTGTGAGTCCAAATAGACGTATTATGTAGTAATTTCGCCTGTTGTGCGTCTCTGAGAGCTATTTTATCCATACCTGTGTTCCTGGAGCGTCTGCTGTATCTTGTTGGACGATCGGGTGCGCGGTCGAGGGCATGGTGTATCGACTACCGCTTCAACCGCTGCTAACGGCGGCGATGAGGGTATATTCTCTTGCGTGTCGAGTAAATTGTCCTCGTCTTCATCGTCGGCGCCATCCTCACTATGTTTGTCAAGATCGAGGCCTGTGAAATAGACGGTATCGTCACTGCCGGGCAACGACGACATATCTGTAAGTGGGCGAGGTCGGGTCGCTGCGCGCCCTGACATCTCTGGCGGAGTTATTTCTCTTCGTGGTATCATAGAAAAGGATTCCTTGGATGGCTCTTTGAGCTCCCGCATGAGGGTATCGCAACTTTGCTCCAGAGTGTAGAACTCAACGTCTCGTCCCGTAAACTCTAGCCAGGGCTTAAAGTTCAATGTCTTGACTCTGCCATTGACTAACTGCTTCTTCCCGACTTTATAGTCTTCTCGGATCTTCTGCATCTCTCCACGAACTCGTTTAAGATGCATCCTTATCTCCTGGCGCGTTTGAAGCCGGGTTTGCTTTGCCTGGGCTCCTCATACTCCCGGGTGATGTCGGCCATGCTGGAGCTCGTGATAAACTCTCCGCGCGGCCTGACAATCTTGCCTCTCTTCATTCGATTCGCATACGCCTGGGTTCGGCTATTCTTATCGCTGACTATGCCCTGGGAATGTGACGCCATCGCGATAGACTCGGTGTTCACTTTCGCAAGAACCCGCAAGTTTTCTCGTGATGGCGAGCTCATGAGGGCCCATACCGTTGCCGGATATCATTGAGGGCATCCGCGGCGACTTGGAAACGCGTCTCCGAGGGTAGGAGCGAGGCGTATGCAGGATTGATCGGCTGCTGTTGTCGTAGCTGCTCGTGGAGGATCTTGGTGATCACCGGCGCTGGGTCGACAGGAAAGAGGCCTGTTTTTCAAATGCCGCCATAATGTTATGCCGCGTGAAGCCAGCCTCATATACGTCCTGAAAAGCTGTGAGGAAGTTGACCCGCGAAAATGATATGTTGCCTTCTGCGAGCGACTTCCGAAGCGCTTTCTGATGTGCTGACTTTAGTGGCTGGAATACCCCAACATCAAGCGGCTGCATGAGGTGGGTGGAATGTGGAGGAAAATAGCAATGATGATATCAAACTTGATACAATACTCAGCAAAGTCAAGGGTGGTATGCCCTGTAAAGCCATCCACAACAAGCAATCGGTAGATCTTCTCGTCGTCAGGCCGTTGGTTTGGCGGCGCCTCACGCGACTCATCCCCATGTTGGGGCGCCGAAGATGCTCGTCACAGCCGAACCACTCTTCCAGCGAATTTCCTGACTGTTTTGCTTGCGCTGACGATGCCCAAGACCAGCAGTTGAAATGCCTTGCCCACTCAAGGTGTATCTCTGCGTTGGAAAAGCCAGTTGGCGACTGGGCAAACCGTACGCCTGTCATGATGTCGATGCCGGCCCAGTTGGTGGTAGGGTAATGTTGGAAAACAAGCCAGGGTGGAAGAGAGTCCCCCACTGCGTTAACTGAGGCAATTACCGTGCAGGATTCTCGGTTTGCTGGGTCTAAAACTCGGGGCCGGGTGCTCTTGACTCTAGTGGTGCGCGTGATGAGAACTTGGATGCGTTCTCGCAGGCACCCAATGCGTATTCCGGCCTCGTCTTCATTCCAGATCTCTGAACTGCCAATACGGTAGCTGGTGATGATTTCTCGAAGCTTTGAGTAGAAAAATTCGACTTCTTCTACCCCGTGGGCTTCAAAGGACTTCCGGGCTCGTTCAACTGCTTTGAGATACGTCTTCGCGATCGCAGGATGACTTCCACGCCAATTGTCAAGCCAACTTGACGAGACCGGGCGGGCATTGGGATCTCGACGCATTCTTATTGCATTTGCAACAGCTTCAAGTTGCTCTCTCGTGGCGGGCATGCCGGTGCGTTCCATCCACTGTACATACGCAACCAGGGCGTCGTCTTCGTCCTCCGTCAGCGCCAATGGACGCCCTGGAGCACGGGAAAGGGTTTCTTATGAAATTAATGGCTCTCTGTACGGATGAGCTCTTCACATTGTAACGGATGGCCGCATCTCGCACGGAAAGAGGCGTTCTTTTGGTGTTGTTGAGCGACGAACATCGGCTCTGGGGTCGCGACGAGACGCCAGAACGGCTTTTGCTGCCTCCAGGGTAGCCATGTTATCTGTCATAATGTATTCCGGCAAAAGATACGTAAATAAAGTCAAGTTGCGCGAAAACGCGGTTGAGATGCATAGGGTTGACGTTTTGGAGGTGGGCTGCTGTGCCGGATTTTTTGGGCTGTGCCGGATTTTTTGGGCCAACTAAGTGGCGAAGACACTTAGTTGGGCTGCTGTGGCCCCACACCAAGATCAACGGGTACGTTACTAAGCTTATTTTCGCCTTCCCCGTCCCATTAGTCTTGGTTAAGCATAAACTTGAGCCCCACGGCTCTACCACCCCTTCGAGTTCTAATACGGCGCCCATCGCGTCTCCACCCTGGACGTCCAGAAGCCTTTGGAGCGGTCTTGGCTTATAAATAGACGAAAGCATTGATCGGCGGCTTGTGGATAGACCAGAGCATTAATGTCGGCAAGTTAAACCACAATGAGATTAGGTCCCCATCATAAATACATGTAGTAAGACAGGTTGTCAAGTTCGCATAAAAAAGCGGATTGTCCCTATTGCGTGGGTAACTCTGGAAGACAGGGTAGCCATTTTCGATAAGACCTTCTCCAATGATTCTAGAGCGCCTACTGGGCACCCCACGTGGCTTGGTTTATACTCCAACTGGGTACAATTGCGTTACTTTCTGACACTCCGTAAGTGTATTATTGCTTGTTCAAAACAGTTGTTCTGGAATGCAATAGCGTGACACGTGACATTTCCCTTAAGGCCTTTCGGAACACTTTTGCTTTGCAGCCTCCACGATTCCCCTTGGTGCCAAATCTGACACGGCTGAGCGTGCTGAAGTGGTACGCCGCTTCTGGTAGCTTCGGCGTCTGCGTTTCGGCGGAGGCCCCGGCTCCTCATCATCAGGAATGGTCTCCCATTCTGACCGCCGCCTCAGTACGCTAGGTTGCCTGTGCTCGGCTTGCCGCACGCCTGTCCGTTTGCCCTGGCAAAGGTTGATAGTCTTGCTTTTGGATATTCTTGTTGTGTTGCTCTTGTCAGTCACCGCTCGACCTCCCCAACACTCACAAGTTACGGCCTAGTTGATTGAGGAACAAGGCTGTATAGCATTCTTCGGACGTCCTCTAAGGGTTTATGCGATTTTATGGTCGAGAATTCGGCGGTAGGGGTTACGTGAAGTATGTTCTCTTAGGTGCCACCGAGAATAGGAGTCCCATTTCTTCAAAAATGTCCCTGCTTACAATTTGTTATGAGTTATATGACGGCAGGGTATCCCTAGCTGCCAGGAGTCAAAACAGTCTTCATTGCAGTCTCCGATTGGGACAAAAACTGCTTGGTATTAATCTTCAAGCGTAATGGTATTCCTCGGCAAGCAGGTTAAGTCCTGGCCGGGACATCAGTAAGCTTTCCTAGGTACTTTAATCTAATGCCAGAGTACATCTATACCGTTAGTATTTTATCTTGCAAGTAATGATTAATGAAGTCTTGCTTCTAATCGACCAGCATGCCCTTAATCGCCTCAATGAGTCCATACCAATGGCTTATTCTCTTAAACAGATAGCTTTTTGACATTATTATTGTCATCCTTGGTGCCAGAGGGCACCTAAGCCCCGAAATATAATATTTCTTGATAGAGTGGTAAGATTACTGTGCGCTTATAGGCAAATAGATTTTATAAAAATATATTTAAAATAGCCTGCTAGTCTTTAAACTCCTTATGTAGGTGCACTTATGCCTCCTTATAATCTTTCTTGGTTTACGTAAAGGTTATATACTTCTACGCCTTAAGGACGCCGTGGTAGTCATCGGGCATAGGCGCGTATATATATATA